TTCTTTCTTCATTGCCTAGGTTTATCGTTCGTCCGCAAAGAATTCAAGAATGATCTCACTGCTGTACTTCGCGATAAGAATTTTCCCCGTCGGCAACACGTTGAAACACGAGAATTCTCGTCTCTCGTGCACAATGTCTCGTGCCAAAATCGAATAGAACCCGAAGGAAATTCGAGCCGGTGCGTTCGTTTCTCGCCGGAGAGTTTTGTTAATTCGATAGCAACTAGGAAGGTATCAACGCGCCCGCGATGCATCTGCGTTGCAACGAAGAAACATGGCCCCGCAGGGTGAAACAACCTTCCCGCGATAATTACCACTAGCACATTTCGTGGCTGAATGGGCTGGCCAGTTTCAAATTCGTAGCCCGGAGGTTTCGTGCAAGCTGTACTCTTCGCGCAGGGACAAAGAGAGAGAAAGAGAGAAATGGGAGGAAGACGAAAAGAGAAAGAGAGAGAGAGAGAGAGAGAGAGAGAGAGAGAGAGAGAGAGAGAGAGAGCATCGTACAGCATTGCAAGTTGTAATGCACGCACAACCTTATACGGATGCGAGAAAGCGAGCTCGGCCTCTCCCTCGTTCCCCTTCCACCGCAGCAGTTAACCCTCCCGATCCGGACCGTGGAACCCGGTCCTGAACATCAAACAGGACCAGATATGCTATGCTGCGGCGCCCGAACTGGTGTATGTGCGACTACGCTCCGCTCTCTGGACCAGGTGCAATCGACAGGTCGCTGCCGTTGCAACCGCAGGATAACGTTCGTTTATCGATCGTCGTGGGATCGACGGAAACGAACACGGCTTGGTCAAAATTTTCTCGAGACCGTCCGGCCCGATTTCGCGTCTACTTTCGGAAATCTTTTGCCTGGCGGTCCTCGGTACGCTGCACTTTCTAATTTTGTCGCTTCTTCTCTTATATAGCAATTAGATATACGTACACGTTAAACTGCACTCTTGTAAATTAAAAAGATTTTTTTAATTGAGTCGACAACGCCAAAGTAGATTTTTTTTTAGGGTTGACAATTTGTTTCGAGACCCATTGGTCGAGATCCATTTGCCAAATTGTTTAATTTTGGATTTATCAGTGATTAACTTCTAGCTAGACGCGATTTTCGGAAATTAAGAGACAGGATTGCAAAATTTATTTACTCGCGCCTAACGTCGCTTGTAACGTTAAATAAAATAAATGACATTCTAATCGATTGATCGAAACAAACGATGTCAAAAAAAAGGAGCAATTTTGTTATTTATTATTATCGCAGATACAAGAAAGATAATTTTTGCGTTCGTTGACACATTTCATTCTAGAAAGTGTTCAATAAAGGAGAATATTTTTATATCCGCCGTGTCCATAGACTGCTTGCATTGTTTAAATCGTCTTAAGCCCGGCGAACTGCAATAAAAGCATTGCAGGACAATAAAGGAATCCGAAGTCAAAGAAACAATGGCGAACGAAGTTACTAAATAGATGGTCTTTGCTCCGCAGAGCTTTTCTATTCTTACGACGGAACGTCAGGAGAGGACCTACGCAAGAACTTCACCTCAGGATTAGAAGCCGACTATTTTCAGTTTGTTTCGCTTCCAATTCTTCTTATTCAATCCTCCCTTCTTTACCCTTCTTTCTTTTTTTATTTCGTTTCCTCCTATTTTCGATTGCCGTCGCTTTTCGAACTGCTTTTCTAACTGTTCTAATTATTCTTTTCCCAGACGAAAGAATATAATCCCGGCAACTTTAATCTATTGCGCTGGAACGACGTGCCACGCACGTCGAGAACTTTTTGCCCCAAAATTGCAATATTTTCTCAGTTTTAATTATACTTAAGTACAACCCAGGCAAAACAAATAATAAATTTATTACTTCTCGATAATTTCTATCCAGTGATATCATATCGACGAGTTCAAAAGAAAAAAGAAAAGCGACGAATTACTGTATACGGTTCGGTCACTCGTTATGGTCCGCAATCAGTTGCCAGGGCAAGTGGTTAAAGTAGAAATAAAATTTCGTGTCACGTTCAATAACGACGATAGATGATTCAATTATTACTTGAGCTGTTATCAGCTACGCTTCAAGCGTCTTGGACAGAAAAGATTATTAAATGAAAGGTGACACGCTGGAATACTGTAATAATTAATTCCAACGACCAGTTTCCATCTACCATTTCATTCTATCTGAAATTCTACCTATACTCTGAAAATTTCATTATTCACAAAAACCATTGTATCGAGTAGCAGAGAGTTGCTACTCGAATAAAATTCGTAAGTAAAATTCCACTAGTCAAAACTTTTTTTCAACGACAATGAGATTAACAATTCGATAACCAGCTTCACCGGACGACATGAAGATAACTCACGAAATCGTAAAATCATTCGATAAATCGATAAATTCGTACGAAATCATCGCGTTACGTCTAACGAGCGCGAAAAGGCAAAAAATCGAGAGGCGAGAGATATCCGTACGAAAACTTTCTACGACGATATCGTCGAGTATTCAATATGCGATCGCGCGTTTCATGGGGTTTCTTATTTTTCCTGGGGAGAGATTCCAGGCTTTCTCGGCGCGCCGACGTCGAGGAATCGGCGAACTTTTCGCCGAAATAAAGAGAGAGAGAGAGAGAGAGAGAGAGAGAGAGAGAGAGAGAGAGAACAGCCGAGTTTCGAGTGTTCGACATTGCACGCCGAATTTCTTATTCCGACGATCGGCCGCGGCAGTTTCAGTCTCGCTGTTTCAGTTTCCGCGCGTCTACTTACGAATTCAAATTCACCACCGGCCACCGAAAACGCGCGTTGTTCACACGAGCACAGTTTTCCATGAAAATTCACCCCCCTCCCCCCTCCTCCGGCGCCATTTTTACGTCGTATCGTTCGCGAAACGAATCGAGCAGCGAAGAAGGGGGGAAGAAAAAAAGCCACCGAACCGGAGGCGAGGAGGAGAGACGAAAATGGAGAGATGAAGCGCGACTGGGGTGAAAGAGACGGGGAAAAGTAAAAACTTCGAAAGCTGCAACGCGAGCTGAACGTGTCTGGAAAGAAGACAGAACAGAGGGAGGGGGAGGAAAGAGGCTGTAGAGCCCGCGGCAGAAAGAGAAACAGAGGAAGAAGAGGTTAGAAAAACCACCACCATCACCGTCGCCACCACTACCATCATCATCCGTTGATACGCGTCTATGGAGCACGTATTGCTATCGAGAGAGCCTCGATTCGTATTTAACCACCGTCCGTCCGTTTCCCGCCAAGATGGTTGAAAGCGGTGGCTCTACTCTGTGGCGGTTCCGCCATTTCACGAATTTCCCAACGCAAAGCGTGCTTTAACAAATGAAAAATTTAGAAGGGAGGGGACTTTAGAATACTCTGGGATTTTAGAAAACTCGATCCTCTGCGCTTGCACGGAGAACGTTTCGATGTCGATTTCTCCGTCAATTTGACGATCGTTAGGCCGTTGCAGACGAAACGGCGAAATTTTTAACATTGACCGAGAATAACATTGACTTCGACTCGCTTCGAATTCGTGCTTCGTTTGTAATTAACAAATAATACCGATCGTATTGCGATCTGTTCAACCTTCAGACTTTAAACTAGTCTAACAAGTTAGTTGTATTATAATAGGTAGTTTAATAGTTATTTATATTATAATATTATAATATAATAATGAGATATTTTATAGTCTAATAACTGAGATATCTAACAAATATTATTTATATTATAATACTATATAGTATAGTTATTTATATTATATATTATATAGTATAGCAATTATTTATATTATAATATTATATAGTATATTATAATATAATAAGTTATATTGGTCTAATAACTAAGATATCTAACAAATATTATTTATATTATAATATTATATAGTATAGTTATTTATATATATATATTATATATTATATTATAATATAAGTTATATTATAGTCTGATAACTAAGATATCTAACAAATATTATTTATATTATAGTCTAATAAGATATCTAACATATTTTCGAACGATTCTTGTAATTCATTTCACTTTGTTTCAAACGTGGATACGTAACAACGACAATGTTATATTCTTGCACGGAACAATACGATTGATTAAATTACACAGAAATACGATTCAAAGTGCATCGAGTCGCATGCACGACGATAACAACAGGGAGGAAAAAGAATTCCGGGCGAATGACTTTAAAGAAGGATATCCCGCAACCGATCGAGAATGAATTTAGTAATTCAGCAACCGCAGCGTGCGCCACTTATCGAAAGTCGCGGCGAAACGGCTACTCGTGGTAACCCGATGAAAAACAAGAAGAGATAAGATGATACGAGCGGCGAAGGGAATGAAGAAAGACGGAAAGAGAAAATGCGAGATAGGAAAACGAGAGGAGGAGAAAAGGAGAGAGAGAGAGAACGCGCGCATGTTCCAGTTGGCACGTAAAAATAGTAACCTCGGTTTGGGTTTTGCCAATTTAAGAAACTGTTTCGCTCAATCCCATTTCTGGAGCTCTCGGCAAGGCTACAAAATATCCCGTTTCGAACGATCTGCCGTTTTACTACACTATGTTCCTTCTTTCCTGCCCGGCCTAGTCAACAAAGACAGATAGATCAACCTCGCGGTTACGGCAATCGTTCACTGCCACGATTGTGATAATTTCACTTTAACTCGCTGTATCGTTCGATTAAGAAACAATAGGTATATCGCTACGAGACAGTAAGAAACAGTCGATTCGCAGCGTTTCGCGGTATTTATAGTAATAACATCTTGCTTCTTATCTGGCGGTACTTTAGATATTAGATTCAAGAATACAAAAACACGATCAATCGTTCTTAATATTTTCATAATACAAATTAACAATTAATACCGTTCGTTTCAAATAATGTGTGTCGCGAAATATATTTTAGTAGAAAATACTTTTCTCTTTTTCCTTTTTTTCTTCTTAAGAAAAAGATTGCTCGCGAAAGAATATTCTCATTCTCTACTGGCGTGTTAAAAAGTTTTAATTATTCAGTTTATGATAGAATATATTGGACTTACCTCTTAATGCATCCGCCGTTGTTGCCAGAAGACCTTGCAAACTTCTGCTATGATGATGGATCAAGTCGTGAAAATCTGCCCTGGCTTGGTGTCTTAGCTGTTCCTCGGCCTTCTGGTTGCAGCACATGCCATCGCAAGTTGCTGAAATAAAATGCAACTTTATAGACAAAGTTTTCAAATTTGTCGAGCAATTAAACATAATAGTGATAATATAAATTAAATCGTTAAAGAATTAATCGAGAATATTTGATCAAGATCATCTTCGTTTCGTTAGCAAACTCGAAGTTTTCAATTACTTTCATTAATCGCGACAAAACATATTTCTGTCTAACGTTGCAAAACTTGTACCACGAATAAATGCAATGAATTTAACGTAATTGGCGGCATAACGAGCAGGAACTCAATCACATGGTTAAATGTTTTCTATAATTGTAATAAAACTTCTCGGTGGGGGTCTTTCAAAAGAAATCATAAAATTATTCCGCCTTTATACAATCGCAACTCTCACTGGAAATTCTCAGAAAGACACGTTAATCGCATTTATTGTGAGACTACATTTATTGTAGTAGCAACAATGTAGAAAATATATCCAAAACGTAGCGCTCGTTATAACGATAGAAATAACTAGAACAAATCTCTAATTTCATTTCTTCATTTATAAATGAACACCAACAGTCTAATACCATAATACACCTAAAAGCTGAACTAGATACGTATCAAGTGCAAGTGTCATAATAAACATAGTTGTTACATTAACTTGAGCATTAAATTAGAAAAAAGAAAAAAAATGAGTGGAAGCGCCATTACGATTTAACAAACAACGTTCCAACGCAAATAGAGAAAACAGAGTTGGCTATTTTTACGGGAGAGGATCGTTGAATGTTCGAACGTTAATCGATCGGGGGAAAGGTGAGAAACGATTTCAATGATCGTTCGACGATTCATTCTACAGACCAATTTACCATGACGCGAGAACGTGAGGACACGTCTCGCGTCCTATCGTCTCGCGCAATTACGGCACGGCGACGATTGCTCAATAAAATACGGATGGACTTGCATCTATGTCGCAAGGGTCATGAACGGACAAATAGAACGAGGCTAACGGGATCGTCAAGAGGTCCTGGTTGGCTTCGATAGCTCCTTTCGGCCTCATTCTACTTTTCACATCCTCCTCCTAGCTACCACCGATCGTTCCTCCTCACTGCGAACGTGCACCCTATTTTTTGACCAACGTGCATGTGCTTCATCCCTCATGGGGTCATTGACACATACGGCAAAAGAGTAGAATGTCGGATTCAGCAAACTGGCATAAAAGTGGAATATTTGAATTTCAAACTATCGAAATTATCTCCCTTTTTTTCTTACATTTGTAAAATAAAATAAACATTGTAATATAAATTAATATAATATTATATTATATTATTATTATTATATTAATATAATATTATAAAATATAATAATAATATATAATAATATTAATATTAAAATATAATATTATATTATATTATTATATAGTATAGTATAAATTATTATAATATAAAATAAATAAACAATATTTAAAAGAAATCCTAACACTTTACCGATCTAAATCAATTTGTTTACAGTTCAGCTAAAACCCTGTTTTATGTTTAGAAGCTAAACATTCTAAATAAATCAATTCCAATAGATCAGATTCGTACGATAAGCAACGACGTAATGTTACGACAGTATACACTGCATGCACATTTTGTCAGAACACTCACAGGCATAACGAGTATCAGACGACTCTCTCAATTTAATTTCATTTAGGATCACTTGAACGGTCACGGTGCAACAACCGCCAAAATCGCCAGAAGGCGAACACGAGCACGCCCTTAATTTACAAAATTAAAAAGAACCAATTGTGTCAGATTGTTTATAGTAGCCCTAACCTTGGAAATTCCGCGTAGTTTAAAGTTATTTTTAAGCTAGACATTTCTAACATAAATGTTCGCAATGCCATCACTTTGGTATTCATCGCCTCGCAACTAAAAATGAATATATATTACAGCTAAATGAAGAAGTAACTAACGAGAAAGCGTTTGTGTTCATTCAGTTTTAATTGTACAATGTTACGTGATAAAAAATTAAATTAAATGAGCTCTACGTCCGGAAAATTCAATTAAACGAAAGAATGTAAATCCCATTATTACGCTTCGCGTAATTATTTTTAACGCGAGCCACTTTCGTCTAAAATCCATTTAAAATTCCATTAAAAAAAAGAATAATAGTGAAACATTTGTTTAAAAGGTGTTATCGAGACCGAAAACGAATTCCTCGAGAATGTCATATCTATTTTTATAAACGCGAAACATTAAACGCGATTTAATTTCCGTCAACATCATTTTCAACATCCGATCTCTAATTCGGGAAATAAAGAGTCTAGAAAAAAGAAAAGCTTATCAAATCGACATAGAAATACAAGATTTGACAATCACTGGCATTCTGCATCCAATGAATCTAATCGCGGCGGAGTAAATAAATTCCAGAGAGGTTGTAAAAAAAAAAAAAAAAAAATAAGACACTAAAGTAAAAGAATAATTTGATAACTGAAATGAATCTCGTCCTGAAATAACCAAGTATGCGAAATACCTTCGAATCCGATAACGCATTCACGTGTGTGTATCCCCCGGATTTAAAAGCATTACTCGCAGATTGAATTACAGCCTATGGACATATACGGTAACGATGAAAGATAGATACGAACATTTTGAAAGAAACACGCGGAACGCATTGAAAACGATGAAGCCGTGTCCCCCCCCCCCTCCCCTATTATTCATCCCTGCTGACGAATCATTCGCGCGCAAACTGAAAACGATAAATTGGTGTGCGTGAGCGTTCGGAAGGTACAACCTCGTCAGAGAGAAGTCGAACAATGGAAGGCTGGGACGATGAATCATGAAAAATCGCGGCGGAAAACACGACGGGAGGATCTCTTTTTCTGGGTACCTGTTCATTCTGTGTGGCGCTACCTAGATCGGTCAAGATGTATTCCTAGTGGCGAGTACAAAAGGATCGCCGCGGAGGTGAGAAAAAGGAAAAGAAAGAACAGGAAGGACATCGGGAGGACAGTGTCTCTCGTGACAGGAAACTACGATCCCACGCCGAACGTCGTGGAACGTTCGACGACAATGTCCGAGACGAGAAAACGTATAGACGTTCGATTTCTGAAGGCCCCGTCAGAGGCCCGGCGTTTTCTTTCCTAAAAAAAAAAAAAAAAAAAAAAAAGTAACGCGATTAAGAGGAAGCAATAACCAGCGACAAATTGGCACTTCCTTGCGGAAATATGGATTTATCGGTCGGTAGACAAAGTTTTTCCAATGACTTCGACAACATTCAATGGTATAGTATCAATATAATTTATATATTAATAATTATAATAGTAATATATAATTAAGTGTATATAATATTGTATATTGTGTAATTGTATATAATTAACTGTAATTGCATAGTGCTGGTATTAATGACTAAATCCTTCAAATGATAAGAGACGGAGAAGAATTTCTGATACGGAGTATGTTTGATACGGAAGTAAAGATGCTGTCAACGTTATCTACAGTCTTTCAAAAATATTTTAATCGTTATATAAGAATCGTGATAAATTTAAGAAACACCGCAAACCCCGATTCTCTTCATTTTTTTTTTTTTTTTTTTTTTTCAAAGATCTACAAGCGCATTTACGAAATGTTTGAATTTATATAACAGCAAAATAAAAATGATAATATTAATATCTTTCAATAATAGTAATAATAATAATATTAATATTAATCTCGTATTACAATGTTAATGTTTTTCCTAATATCCAAGTGTTCGCGATTGGTTCTCTTCGGTAATCTTTTTTGCTGCTAAACTGCATCGCTCGCTAAGGCACGAGAACCACGAGCCCCAAAAAGACGTAATAAAAATTCCTATTCATCGATGTAATGAATTCCACATTCTACGTAAACATTCTGTTCGAATTCTTCGTTTCATGAAAAAAATCCAATAGAATTTTTAACTTATCTATAAAAACGGTGCTAGAGCAGCTTGTGAAAGCTATTCCTCAAAACATGTATCACGACCTAACCGTACATACTATCCGCTCTTAATTAACTAACACTCTCTCGGATTATTTAAAAATTATCTTTTAATTTATTACGCCCGACGGTTAGGCCCGATGTTACAACCAACGAAGAAAACAGCATAAACGTAACTAGTTTAAGCGGATTATTCATTAAATAGTTTGCAAAAGAAAGAAGAAATATCCAACTAATACCGATTCGACGCTAACCTGCTAAAAATACCAGTTTCACACGATATCGACTGTACAAGGTGTATCATAATTGTGAGTGTAACCAGAAATGAAGTAATTCTTTCCGAGAAATAATATTATAAAACCAATATTTTTTATATCTTACAAGTTTATTACAAGTCTATTACAATGACATTCAACGAAATATTCATTGCAAAATAATAAATTTCATTACTTCATCACTTTTGTAATAAGAGGAATTCTTTCTCGTAGTTCAATGATTAATAAAGAGCAAAATTATATACTTGAAAAAAAGATAGAAAAGAAGAATTATTTTCAATAATTCTCAAAGTGTGAAAATCTACCAGTGTCCTGTTTCATTGTTAATCGAAACAATCAAATAATTGGCGAATAAATAAACTGAAAGCAATTTATTTCCGAAATGAATGTACTCGTCTCATTTGGAGCGACTATATTTGATCCTTCAATTTATTATTTTCGTTCCAAGTAAAAAGTGACCAACCACTATACGCAAGCTGTATCATTGGCTATGGAACACCCTGTATATTCACAGTATACGACGTCCTCTTAATGTCGCGAAGACAAGAATCCTTGTACCTGTACGACGAGTTTCGTCTTGATTCGTTCGAAATGGCGGAGGCGCCACGAATAGAGATAGAAAAGAAGGAAAAAAAAAAAGAAAGGAGAAATAAAAGGGACCGACAGCGAGAATGTCTCTCGAACGGTTTACGATGCGTTGCCGGGGTGTGGTGCGGCTCATCGAGGGACTACGAAACGGCTTCGTTCTCACGGCAAATGCCATACGTTTTTCTCCCATTTCTTCTCTTTTCACTTTTTACATCTACGTGCCAAGCGCGGAGTAACCGTTCTATCCTTTTAGATATTCAGTTTTCTAATTCCCTAATTAGCGAGCTGAACGTCACGACGATGTAAATCAATCCGCTATCAGTTTTCGATAGCGAAACGAATAATCTCGTATTAATATATAACGTATAGTCGGTTACGTGGAAATTATGAAAATGTTTCTCAACAGAATTAGTTATACCTTGAACGAAGAGAAACTTATTGGCGAAAGAGAAGAAACGATATTTTTTCGAAGCTGGATCAGTTGATCCGATTTCAAAATCGATTTAATAATTCTGTGGATCCTCGCTGTCATCCAAATTATCTTCGGAGACGAAGAAAATATTAATTGAAAATAAAACACAGCAAAAGTACAATTCGAAATGATTAATTAATAACCCTGCGATCAGCGAAATTTAATACATAATAACAGTGTCGAAGATATATATTTACACTAGAATAATTAGTGTTAAATGTAATTTGAATTAAAGATGAATGAATCGATAGATTTGATCGGAGACAGTTCAAAATAATCAACAGATTAACCTACGCAATTAATAAACGTGATGTTATCATTTACTAGCAATTAATTTTTAAAAGCTTTAATGTGCTGAATAAGTTAGGTATGCGGCAGTAAAGTCGTGTTACTTTAATGCGCCACACGAAACAGACATACTAATAGTACAGTGATATTATAACATTAAAAAAAAAAATTAATTCTGTAAGAATTATAATTCACGGAGCTCGTAGTTTTTACGAGAACCGAAAAGATATCGAACGACTTAATTTCCTGTCAATAATTTATTTCTATTTTGAGATGAGCTTGCTATTTAGTAAGTTTTCAAACTCGATTTTCCCGAAAATGAAGCCCCTAACGAACGTCTGTTATTCTCGGTTTTCGTCTCTGGACCAGCCAAGCCACAGAACTTCCCCGAATTGTACCGCGAATTGCACAACGACGTTAGACGCTGATGAAATTTCAAAATTCGTTTCGCCCAACAAACGTGATAACATTTACCAACGATTTCCAGAAGCATTTGAGTGAGCCGCCGCATCCATACGTTATGAAAGTCGGGTTCAATTTCGATTATCGTGGAAAATTTAGCTAACTGCTGGTGACCCGGCCGGCCATAATCGGTGCAAAGTCCGCAATCGCACGTACCATATTCAAAGTGAACCAAACCGACACCGCAGCATGCGGTGAGGCGGTTAAGGATCTCGTTTATTCATCCAACTTCTACCGAATAATCTCAGCCAAGCCGGAAGTGGATTGTTAATTGTTAACGCGAGAGGTAAATTGGTATCAACAGGGACGCGATTCACATCCGGAGATCATTTTGCATCGGTATGACAATGTCTCGACGAAGAGATAAGTTGTACACGATACTATCCAGGGAAAGGATCACGCGCCGATTTCCGATACCAACATACATGGTCGCGTTCGAACACGGAGGGTGAACGAATGAACGAATTACCCGCTGTGGACTCGCTCGTATTCTAACCCACTTTACACGGTTGTAACCACTCGTCGAATCGAGGCCGAAGGGTCGCTGATGTAGCTTCCGGTTTTATGCACTTCCCTGCGTCAAGTGCCGTACATCACACCTAACGGAAAAAATGGAGAGAGAGAGAGAGAGAGAGAGAGAGAGAGAGAGAGAGAGAGAAAGAGAGAGAGAGATAATCGTACGCGCGCGGAGTAGCCGATTCGAGTGGCATGACGCTAATGTTCTTAATTTAAACCGATGAATCGCTTACGGTATCACTTTGCCACTTTTTTTCGGCACTTAACTTAATTACCAATGACACGTATACATACACGCGGGCTTGAAATACTTGGAAACGATGTAGCTTTTTTGCGAATATCTCCCGAGTTATCGAGCTACAGCACATTCACAAAAGAATGTACATATGTTGCATATGGAACATTTCGACATTTTATTTACATTGTGAAAAGGAAGGGAAAAATCCGAAAATGTACATAGAAGCATTATTTACACGCTGTTGCTCTTATCTCGCTTTTATCATAAGATTTACTACTTGTTACGTAAATATCCAAAATTTCGTTTGTACTATCTCGTGATAATCATATCTCACCTCATATTTTAAAAGTTTAAATTATTGTACAATAGTTTACACTATTATTACACCAATTCTATAATTCTCTAAGCACAATTATTTTAAAATAAACTTATTTCTCTTCTTTGTGCTTTAATATTTTATTTTGTACATTAATCTTACTTTATTTTTACACTCCAATTATTTCTAATCTACCATAGTTTGTTAATTTTTGGATGAACGTGTCACTAAAGAAATGTTTGATTATGCGTAGATACAAATATCTATAAAAATAGCTATCTCAACGTTATATAATCATATAGGATTGCAAGAATGGCACGAGAACTCGAAATTGAATTGAATTTAAATCAAATCTTGCATACCAATACCTAAAAGTATATCAAACATTTCAGATTCATAATATGTGACAAATTTTTCAAAAAGTAATTTATTGACGTTTTTAAATAACAAAGAATTTCTCAACTCATTGAAATTTGCACAAATATATTTATCCACGTGGTTGTCGAACGAAATTAATTGCTTTCGTAATGTAACTTTATATACGTAATTAACCGACCGGTTCTCGTTATACTGTAGAATTCTCAATTTGCAATAAATTCAAATTAACGAATCCAGAATAAAGAACTTTGTCGAAAATTCGATTACATTTCAATCTATCTTGTGTATGTATAAAATACATATACTTGATATGCAAAATAATATAAAAATATAAAAATATTCAAAAGACAATATAAAAATATACAATGCTTCATCACTAAACTGTTAAATTGCTATTTGAAATGATTTCATAATAAATTTATATTTATATTGAAATTTTTTGATTAAATTTTCATTACCTATAGTTTTATTAGGAAAATAATATTAGTTATAGCATGTATCAAATTGTATGTACGTATCTTTGCCAATAAATTGAGGTTATAATCGCCATAACCATAAAAACAACTTACATGCTGCTTAAAAATCTTTATTTATTTTGCCATGTTATCCTATTAGTCTAAAGAATAGATTAAGCATGATTATTATTTACTAGATTATCATAACCATTATTTTCTTTCTCTTAGTTTCATATCAAATTGATTCAATTTAACGACAAAAGCGGAAATAAATATTAATACTTTTTATATTAAAGTTTTCTAACTTGTTATTGTTCTTTCTTTCTTTCTCTCTCTATTTTTCACATGTAAAAACAACTCACAATTATCTCACTATCCATTTCAGTCTCTACACTTATCATTAATATAAAACTATATTAATGATACTAATATAAAACATTTATAGTATCCATCATACGATAGATAACAAAATTCAATAGGATGAAATACCTCCAAAATAAGCAATTTTACACTCACAAAATCATTAGAAAAAAAGTTAGAACAATTCTAGAAAATAACAGTTATGAAATAACCTAACATTTCAAGAATGTCAAAACGTTTAGTTACTGCTATAGTTTACACTGGTAAAATCGAATATTAAATTTAAATGCAAACAAAAATAAACCGTCTTTAATAAACTCTACAATATGAGGTTAAAATACGTTAGTAGAATCTTACCGTAAAAAAAAATAATTGTAAGATTTACTGCTCTCACGACAATTGAAACTGGTTTTTACAAGAAGCACTCGAGCATTATTTGATGTAACAACATTAAGTGTCGTTTAATACAACGACTCCGACGACTATTAAATAAAACTTCGTAATTAGACTCAACCAACTGTAATCGAGTCCTTCAGTTCATTTCCTGCAACGAATAGCATAGCACCTGCCACTTCAAAGTTTCGCTCGTTTTCGAAATTCTCAGCCAATAGGGATTACTTAATATGGCTCATCGGTGCAACGAGATTGGCTAATTTAAAACGAAAACGGCCTATCTCATTCGCTCCGACTCAAATCGATTCGATTCGATTCGATTCGATTCGATCCAATTCAGTTTCAGTCCCGACTATATAATTTTGGCGGGATAAAATCATCAAACTCCAAATATAAAATCTTCGTATAAAGAAAAATATGGTTATGGGAATAAATAAATGACAATAAAATCGATCACTTACTTTTCGCATTATTCCCCGTTACGGGCTCCTTCGCAAGCACCAACGTGATATTTTTGCTCTCGAAAAAAGGCCTGACACGTTCACAATCGGTGGAGACAAAATCGGTATCGTTTCTCGGATACTGGGCAAAACGCGGCGACCGAGACAGCACAAGATCGGTACAGCCGCATAACAATATCACGATCGACACAGGTGCCAGAATCGCACGATGGTACCTCTGGATTACTTTCATTTTGGCAAGAAGTAGATGAATTGGCGGGGCGAATCGGTGACAAGGAGCGAGGAAAGCGAAAGAAATAGAAACCGAGCGGAAGCTATACAGTGGTATAAAAGGGCTGGTGAGTTCCGTAAATCGTGCTCAAGAGCGTAAAAAGGAGAAAGAGAAAGGGACACCGAGGTACGAGCAGCGAGACAATTTAATTCCTCCTTCTCCTTCTTCTTCGTCTTCTTCTTCGTCGTCGTCGTCGTCGTCGTTCTCGTCCTCGTCCTCGTCCTCGTCCTCGTCCTCGTTGTCGTCGTCGTCGTCGTCGTCGTCGTCGTCGTCGTCTTCGTCTTCGTCGTCGCGTATTCGATACAATACAATCGTTCGAAGAGTCATCAACCGCGGAACGAGACGCGACAGCTTCCCCTTTCCTCTTGGTTCTTCGAAAAGACCGCGCTGTCAAACGGCACAGCAACAGCTACGGGTGTTACTGCGAGATCTCGAGGAGCGCGAGACGTGCATTTGGCGTGATCGCGCGATGGACGGACAGACGAGACGACGGCTGTAGTAATCACGACATGCACTGCCGAGACCGCGCAACGTGTTACGACCCGCACACATACACACGCGATCACTCCGGGTACACCACAATAATAAGCACACACATGCACGCACGTTTAATCGCACGCAAGCATGCATGCATGCACTACGCGACACGCGTTCCACGAGTAGCTCGATGTGACTGAAGTGCCCGTGAGCCGAGAGCGGCAACGCGTATTCACCAATTCGACCGACCGGCACTCTCCCCACCACACTCTCTCCCGATTCTCGCTCGCTACCCTGTACACAACTCTACGTCCTACTCCCACTTTTCAATCCACACCGAGCTACATGCCCACCTACTTGCTTACTTACCTACCCAAACGCCGTTCCTGATACCTTTTGAAGACGTTATGTGCCGCCACCGACCATTGTCTTTTTTTTTCTCATTCTTATTCCCATCAATAGGTTTGCAAAATAAATTAATGACGTGCATTATAATGTTAAATTGAAAAAGATCGTGAATATATAAAGTATAATTTATGTTGATGAAATACAAAGTACAAATTACTAATAATTAGACTGTGAATTTTTATGCATTTATAAAGAATTTGAAAATATAAAAAATGCACGGAATGCTTGTAATTTGCAAAATTATACAAAATATCTAAAGTGCGATACTCTGTACGATAATTAACAGAGAAAACAATTTTCTATCTAGTTTCAAAATCTTTTCCAAATTTTATTTGTAAAAACGTGAATTTGAATAAAGATCCGCAGTCTACTCATAATATATATAAGTGAGAATGTATAAAAATACTTTTTGAAGTATTGAAGTACTAAAGTATAAGAAATAACAATGTATATTGAATCTGTATGAAACAAAGTATTTAAATAAACGTAATTTGTGTTCTCGTCTGATTCACTTGCCACACATTTAATGCTTCATATTCTTCAATACAGTCGTTAATTTGATCGGGTTTAAATCCTTTGCTTGTACACCGTTCCAATATGTCCGATACTTTAACAGTTTTTTTATCACTTGCCAGTTCTCTAATAAGATGGAAAATTCGGTTCATCGGGTTTTGCTGGACATTCGTTGCTAATGTCTCGGAATAATTAATAGAATGCTTCGACATCTCTATCAATCGATTTGCCTCAACAACATCTGCCTTTTCGACGACATTTGATAATCTTAAACGTGCCAAAGCAGTCGACAAACGTAATAGAGCCAGCAAATTACGTGCAGACGTAAAAGTTTTGTCCTGGCTATTGCGAGCTGCTTTTCTCATTTCCACGTAGGATTCTGAAAATGGTAATAATTGTGCGAAAATATAACTACACATGCAACGATAAATTTACACAGTACAGAATTTAATCAATAAAATTCTTACCAACTATATAATCAGTTAATTCTTCTGGAATAACAGGCTGTTTTGTTTTACATAAGGTGATATATTTTCTAATCAAGTTCATATCCAAAGCCTGCGTTTCCGTCGGTGGTTGTATGCAATGTTGATGAACATAAGTTATGTGTTGAGCCATTCTAAAAAAAAATATTAACTGAATTATTATACATTCTTTCTGTATACATAAATAAAAGAGTACATTAATATAAATACTAACTTTAAATCATTGCTACGATCTGCTCGATCCTGAATTAACCATAATAAATCAAACCGTGATAATAAAGCAGCAGGTAACTGAACATTTTGTTCGATTGTTCTTTTCGGATTATATCTACCATAAGCAGGATTTGCCGCAGCTAATATCGAGACTCTCGCGTTCAAACGAGTTGTAATTCCTGCTTTGGCAATCGATATAGTTTGTTGCTCCATCACCTCGTGAATAGCAGTTCGATCAGCATCTGCCATCTTATCAAATTCGTCAATACAACAAACACCTTCATCAGCTAGTACCAAAGCTCCTCCTTCGAGCATCATTTGACCCGTTAAAGTATCTTTCATGACCGAAGCAGTTAAACCTACTCCAGAAGATCCTCTACCCGTTGTATATTGAGATCGCGGAGCTAATCTCGTTATAAACGAAAGTAACTGAGATTTGGCAACTCCAGGATCACCCATTAAACAAATATTAATATTACCTACAAATAAAAAATGCAATGAACTAAGAAAGAAAAAATATGTATATGAATAATACTCGTAAATATAAAACAAACCTCTAATTTTAATATCTTCTCTGTGTTTGTCTGTACCACCAACTAGCAACAATAACAATGCTTTCTTAACATCCTCAAGCCCATAAATTTCTGGGGCGACAGAACGAGCTAATTTACCATAAAAATCATCCTCTACTAACAATGATAATTCTTCGTCCGTTAAAAGCGCGTTGTTGTCATCAACAGTTTGAGAATTAGTAAGACAAACAATTCTCTGTACCATTAAAAATATATACATATTATTTATAATTTATGTTAAATGTTAAGGATATATCATTATAAAATTATAAAAATAATAAAATCCATACATGTGCGTCTATATATGTTTCATTCAGAAGAGCTGCACCCACTCGAACACTAAAACCAGATTTTATAATAGGTAAAAAGATACCGGTAATTAGTACGTGATCTCCAGGTAAACATTTCCTTGTTGTTTCACCTCTACAATATATTGTCAATGTTCTTGGAATATGACCCACAGGAACTTGATCACTCTTAAAATTATAAAATTATAATTATCATTAGCAAAAAATTATTATAATAAATAAATATTTATAAATGCAAAAAACTTGTATATATACAAAACATACTTACATGTTCTTGTATTTTTAGTTCCTGAAATTTTACAAATTTTGATCCTCTTGTTTGCATATCTAGCACACCACCAGATTTATTTATACGACAATCATCACTGGGACATTGTCTTAATGGCATATATTTGAGAGATTGAACCTAAAAATTTCAGTCTTATTAAATTCTTAATTCATCATATAATATGAAAATATCATTAACTTCTTACTGGTTGGAATGTTTCAGCACCACACTGATCACATGTGTACGTAGCAACAACAAGTAAAGGCATTACATCACTACACCTTGTTACTATACCTCTTACTGTAACTAATTTTCCTATTTTATCAGCTTTTATATCTCTCACAGAGTACACTTTTGCTGCCTCAAAATCCTTGAAATACACTTCACTAAAATTTCCATAAAATTTGTTGTATTATGCAATTATATACTTGCACAAAGAGATAAAAGTTAATATTAAAAAATCATATACAAGCGTCTCATAAGTTCTGGAGCATATTTATTTCTTGGATCACGTTGTTCCCCAAGATGTCTGTTACGACTTTCCATTAATAATCTATGTTCAATATATACGTCTAAAGCATCTTTAGGTGGTACAGATTTTTCTTTAAAGTCGGGTAACATCTCTTGAATAAGCTATATAAATGTAAATATAATATATAATAAATAAATTACAATAATAGAATCTTTAATATTATATTAAAAAATATATATATCAACATGTTCATAGCTTGTTAATCTACATGTGGTCAGATTACATTGACCATCAAAAAACAAATAATGAATATTGAAAAGAAGAAATAGGAAAAATGAAGAAAAACTTTGATATAATATATATCACGTATTTGCATATAAAAAAGAAAAATGAATATATTAATATACCAGATTACACACATATTGTAAACTTACTTCCAAAAGTAAATTGACATATCTTCTAGTATTGTTTGCAATGGATATTGCTAATTCATCATCAAAGTCATGTATATCATCTAACTCTATTACTAAATCTACTTGTTCACGATGGGCAATATTAGTGAGTTGTTTCCTGTACTTAAATGTTTTCTCACCAGTTTCATTATCCACTGCCACGAATTCCGCCAAGAAAGTTTTTAATTGTTCTAATACATTAAAAAAATTAACCAATACATTAAATCTATTTAAATTACATTATAGATTTTAATGGTTAGTTTATAACATAAATACTTACCCCTAACTTTTGTATAATCCTTTGATATTTTCGGTGGCATTGTACTGAATTTATATTTTTCGTAATTATTTCAACTTAAATTTTACTTTTTACGCGAATATCTTATATCCTCTCAGTATGTATCAGAACACACAGTTCTCGAAGTAATCTTCCCGCCTAAACTAAACCGGATATATGCCAAATTTTAATTTAACCTTTTAATTTAATTTATCATTTAAAAATATGCAGTTTCTCATTTACATTTATTTATTGTAATTAGACATTTTAAAATATATATATATATGTGTATAAATAAAATATATATATTATTATATTAAGAACGATATGAACTTATAATTTAACAATAATAATAGTTTATGATTATGAAACTTTAAATAAAGAGTTGAAACGTCTGTTATTATTTAAATAGATAAAACTTTATAAAAATAAAAAAAAAATAGCATTTGAGAACTTATTATTAAAAAATATTTAAATGTCCAAAAAAGTGTTTTGATAGTTTGAATATACTTTACATTCCTATATAAGCATCCTAAATGCAGTATAAAAATACTACATGCATATCACTAGTTGCTCATGGTTGTCATTTTATATTTGAATTTCAATGTAAGGTTAAATGTGTATCACATGTTTCTTTTGCTTTTATAAAATATTTTAAAATAATAAAATGGGCAAAGCAAAGAAGATAAAGGTTTCTAGGAGTGAAATGAAACAGCCAAAAATGGCTTTAGGTGATCAAATAGAAGAAGGAAAGATTGCGAAATCGAGAAACAGGCAAAAGAACAGAGTTCGCAAGGAAGATGACGATAAGGTTATACATGCATTTTTTAATTTTTTGAGATAAATGGAATGTAATACTTTTGAAATTAATTTACATTTATATAACTTCGTATAATCATTTTAAATAATCAATGATTTCAATTGTACAGTTTGTGGATCCTATTCTTACAAAACGAATTTTAACTCAAGCCAGACAACAACAAATGGAAATTGAGGAGGAAAATGCAATTGGACGAACATCAGAATCTGTAAAGAAACCAGTAGTAAGCCTTAGTACTAGTGACATAGAGGAACCATCAAGTGAAGATGAACATGATAACGTACAGTATTATGAAAATATTGAAATAAATGAAGAAGACGAACGTGCTATACAAATGTTCATGTCTAAGGATCCTGTGCCTATGAAAACATTAGCTGACATAGTATTAGAAAAGCTAACAGAAAAGAAAACAGAAATTGAAACTCAATTTTCAGATGTAGGTTCTATTCAAATGCAAGAATTGGATCCAAGAGTGAAAGCAATGTATGAAGGTGTTAGAGATGTATTAACAAAATATCGTAGTGGGAAATTACCTAAAGCATTTAAAATTGTTCCTAGTTTGAGAAATTGGGAACAAATATTGTATATTACTGAACCAACAAAATGGTCAGCTGCAGCAATGTATCAAGCTACCAGAATATTTGCCTCTAATCTTAAAGAAAAAATGGCTCAAAGATTTTATAATTTGATATTATTACCAAGAATTAGAGATGACCTAGCAGAATATAAGAGACTCAATTTTCACTTATATCAAGCATTAAGGAAGGCACTATTTAAACCTGCTGGTTTCATGAAAGGAATTTTACTTCCACTATTAGAATCTGGAACATGTACGTTAAGAGAAGCTGTTATTATTGGATCTGTAATTGCTAAAAATTCAATACCAATTTTACATTCTTCAGCAGCAATATTAAAAATTGCAGAAATGGATTATACTGGAGCTAATAGTATTTTCCTCAGGATATTTTTAGATAAAAAATATGCTCTTCCTTATAGAGTTATTGACGCAGTAGTATTTCATTTTCTTAGGTAAAAATTTAAAATTTAAAACGTGATCCTTTTAATATGCTCTAGTTTTATTTTTTATTTTTAGATTTGAAAGAGATTCTAGAGAGCTACCAGTTTTATGGCATCAGGCATTATTAACTTTTGTACAACGTTATAAAAGTGATATTAGTTCTGAACAGAAAGAAGCTTTGTTAAGATTACTAAAGAAACAATTTCATCATACAATTACAGCTGAAGTAAGAAGAGAATTGCAGTATGCTAAATGCAGAGACACAGAAATCACAGAACCTGCATTAGAACCAATGATTTGTTAGAGTTTGTATTGCATTAACTTTGTAAATTGAAATATTAATAATCATAAAATAAAATTTATCTTTTTTCATCATATGTTTTACCTTACTTGTGACAGAGTTAGCAATCGATGTATTGTTGTTGTACATACTTGAAACACTTGAAATATGAATCTATACTCTGATGAAAATTTGACGATAATAATTGAACATAATAATTATACAATAAAAATATCAGCTAGGCAATATTAAAGTATATTATGTTTGTATGTACTCAACATTAAGTAACTATAATCATTTTTGTTAACGAATGAGTTAACAATTTATAATCTTTTTATAAATAAAAAGTTTAATGTATAAATATATAAATTCAAACGTTTGTAAATAATTTAATAATAAATAATGCTTTCAAAATCGTCCTAATAAAGTTTAGTTGGGAAAAACTGAAACACCTTGACTTATAAGATAATATTTATGGTTTGAATTTATTGAAATGTTTCTTTTCTTAAAATTCTATGTACTTTCTTAGTAACGACGAAATACATGCATTAAAAATTTTTGTGTTTTTATGGTTCAATTTTAAGCCGTATTAGTATTGGGCTCTGAATGAAAATAAAAATTAATAATTGTTTCTTACTAATAATGTTTTAAATATATATACAATGTATTTAATTTTTTAATATTTTGCCTTTTTATTAAAAATTACTGATTGATTACAATTATTTTGAGCAGTAAAAATATACCAAATAAATACAAACACTTTCAAATATTGACATATTTAACTGTATATGAATATACAAAATATATACAAAAATATTGAACTTTCAGATGTTAAAATCAGATATTATTTATGTGGTTGTACTATTAGATTAGTTTTCAGAATTACATGTAGAAACATTTAATAATACAAATTGATGAACATTGAATAACATTATATAATTGGATTTTTTAGTTATACAATATTAAATACTGATTTAAAAACTCAAATAAAAATCTTAAAACCATGAGTCATGAATATTATCTAATACTTTATAAGTTATAAAATTAATGTACTATGAACAAAGTCGATACTTTTTCTTTTGTTGAAACCTATTTTTTCAAAATTTTAATTGTTTTGCAATCTATTTTACATACATCTAAAATTATAAGTACTTCAATATTCTTAAGTGTAGAGAAATTACAACTGTTTAAAATATGTTTTGTCAAACCTAATTTTGAATAACAGTGCTAAAACTTGAATGTTACGTATTGCAATATTTAAGATTTCAAAAGTTTTTATATACTTAGACTTTTTTTAAATTATCTAAAACTTATTTTTTCTTAAAGAAGCTAGTAATGTTCTTAGATCCAGTTGCTGCTTTTTGTCTGGCTAATTCCTTTTTACTAACTGTAGCTTTCTGTAAATAAAAAAAAACATCATGAAAATCCACATGATAAAAATATATTCACTTTATCATTATTATATCAATTTTATCTGTGATAAAATTGAAATACATTAGAACACTACCTTTTCTTTAATTGACTCAGGTGTTTTTGGTTTTAATACTGATTCTTTTTCTGGTGTCTCTTTCTTAGATTTCTTTTCTACAACAGTATCCTCTGGATTATTACTTAATTTTCGTTTTTTATTTTCTGTTTCATCTGGTAGGTTTAAATGTTGTGCTAATTTTTTTGATATATCCTCTTGAAGATATTCTGATACAATGCCATGTGCATATTTTAAATATTCTGAATGAAAAAAAATATATTAAGTATTTATATTTTTTAAATCTCAATAAAAATTATTGTTTTATACCTGAATATTTTTGAAAAAAATAATTAAATGTAGTATTAACTAAAACCTTCAATGCGTAAGATTTATTTTATATTTTACCTATTTCTGAGACAGTTTCAAGCATAGTACTTTTAACATAAGTAGCACTGATAGCACCTTGTGATACATGAATACCCTTTTGTTTTAGTACTTCAACTACTCTTTCTACTTTCTTATGCAACCAGATCAATGCCTTTTCTTCGTTAAATTTATAAGCTTGTAATGATTCGTCTCCTTTACGTTCAGCAACTAGAGTTAGTTTTAAATTTTGACACTGAGTAAGACGGGTCATCTCTGGAAAATCTTCATCCCAAAGGCATTGTTCTAATGGTTGTGCTTGTTGTGACTACAAGTATGATACTTTTTATTACTTAAAATTTATTATTTAAAAATATTAAACTTATGTAACGAAATTAATTAGTCCCTATTTTACATCATGATACATTAATAAGTATAATAATAAATAAAATACAGTAATGCGAATTTACCTTTCTTAAATAAGGTAATATTAAAAATATTGGATCAATAGGAGTAGATAAATGTAGCTTCCCGTCGGATTTTACATTATCATCTATGAACCATGATCTTTTATTTTCATCGAATGTCAAAACTTCTTGTACTGTTACATTGCCTGGACTAAATACGAACATTGCAGGTTGATTTGTAGCTGGATGTCTTAATTTAATAACATCAGGTACGTCATCATCTGTATTATTTAAATTATCACCTGGAAGATTGTTAAACAAATACAGCATAACTAGTAGAACAAGAAGAAAAATAAGAAATAAAAAAATATTTAGGATTATAGACCAATTTAATCATCTTTAAATAATGCTGCTGCACGTCTAACGGCTAATAAAAACTATAAAATTCAGAGATTGAAATGAGAAATAATTTTTATTTATTCACCTTTCATTAGAAAAACCCATGTATTTGTGCCTGGATGTGAATTTGTTGTTTTGATACATTTTTTCGGCAATGATTTAGTACGCGGCATATTTACGCGCGTTTTACACAAATCGATATTATGTTAGGTTATTTATATCTTTTACACAATTTCCCCCTTATATTAATACACATACATTCAACAAATTCAGCGATCAGCCATTTTTCGTAGAGCCCTCAAATTGTAATGTTATATTATTTGAGAATTGAAATATATTATACATACTGTATGCCACTTTTAATACACAAACACGTTAAACGCGACATGCCGCCAATGTTGTAGGGAACAACATTTGAAATCTCGATGTGTAGTCGAATCATCAGCGAATGGTCGATGATCGGAACATTACCGGTGAAGAGGCGTTACCGCGCTAACAAACTATCTTTTAAAAAAGAAAGATGTATGAAAATCGCGTTCTAATATGAGAAATTTAAACTGTACTATCTGATTTTTTCACAGATGCAGCACGATTTAATTTCTATGTGTGTAATTTTGTATAAAAGATATTAACGTTTGCATATATTACGTATGTAACATTAATTCCAAATTACGTACATAATTATGTATATACAAAAAAAATGCTCCAAAATATTATTTCAATATATTGTGATTCAACAACATAATTAAAAATTTATTTTATAAATTTAAATAATATACGTATTTATTACATTTAATGTACATGTATAGAAATATGACAATTATAAATATTCTTCTTATTATTTTCATTATCTACATTTTTTTATAATAGTTATACTGTATAACTTATATAATTAAGACACAATGCTAATATATATGAAAATAGTAAATGCTATTGACTTTATTATTACATTCATAATCTAATTGGATATTTAAGTTTTATACAATGTATCAATATTATATAGGAATATGCAAGAAAACAGTTTAATCATTCAAATGTATAACACTTAAGTTTTCATAACAATTAAGATAAAAAAAAAGTATAATTTTGAACAAATGGTCATTTATAATTTGATAATGAATATTTCTTTATTAACAATTTCTTGTATAAACAAAAACGAAAGTTAACTTATTGATAGCAGACAAAAGTAGACTTATTGACATAATTTCAATCACGTTACACATTTTTCTTTCTGTAACTTCACATAAGAATTAATCATAAAACGTACTATAAATTGAAAGATGAATAACCTCTTAAAAATTGTTACAAAAGAAATCGTTATAAAATTAATCTTAATATAACTGCGATTGTTTCACAACCGTATTCATACAAAGAAGATGCAACAATAATTTCAAATTCAAAAATTCACACATGATAAAACGTACAGATGATATTTATACATTGATATATTGACAGATGACGTTTCCGAATCTCACATTCGCAAAGGATGAGTAAATAAGTAAGTATAACTACATACGTTTATAGTACGTATGCCTATGATGTCATTAAAAGCATTGTGATCTTTTTTCTCTCTTACTTATTACTCACTCTCTAGTTAGTAAGCACCTTGAAAAAACTGCGGATGACGTGATGCGAAAGTGGGTGTGCCCACCATTGGTTAACTGGCTATCAAGGGAGAAGGTTCTCCTTGTTTTCACTTTTTGAGAATAGCTATTGGTAAATTTTTTTAAAATTCTTCTGTTCTAAATACATTTTTACATATATTACATTAACATAAAAGATAATATAGGATATGCATAAATTAACATAGGAAATAATATGAATTATATAGCAATGTACAATACATGTAATATATTCTTTCGTACTGATCAATTTATTAACAATTATTTTCACTTATTCTAGACAGTACCCTTGCGTAGGTAAAAATGTCACAACAACAGTATTATCCGTTTAAAGTAAGTAATGTTTTAATCATTGATTTGAAATTTAATAATATTAATAATATGTGACTGCTAATAAGATTAATCTATTTCTGGCATGAGTATTGATCAGCAGTATTTTTATCGCTATTTCGTCTGAACAAATCAATCAGCATTGAACTTACGTATTATAAATGTTTATTTTTAAAGTTTATACTTTATTAAAACTTACTACTTATGTTTTATTAATAAGTAAACTTAGCGCAAAATGTCGAAGTATAGAAAATTAATTTTTTTTTTATTTTAATTTTCTAAATATTTTTTTCTTGAAATGTTTTCAAAAAGTTTGCATACTATCTTACAAAAACATATTTCTTAACATTCATACACGCAATAACAGCACAATAATAACTTAAAAAGAAAATAACTATTAATCATAGAATTATAAATATTTCAATTTATTTAAAACAATACAAAAATATATAGTCTTCTATTGCAGTGTACTCCTACAGTGTACCCTGCTGAACCATTTGATGCAAATGCAGATGCTGCACTATTGCGTAAAGCAATGAAAGGTTTCGGTACTGATGAGAAAACTATTATTGATGTACTTACAAGAAGAGGAATTGTTCAGAGATTAGAAATTGCTGAAGCCTATAAGACCTTATATGGAAAAGATCTGGTTAGTGATTTGAAAAGTGAACTAACAGGAAAATTGGAAGATGTTATAATTGCTCTTATGACTCCGTTACCTCATTATTATGCTAAAGAACTACATGATGCAATTAGTGGACTGGGAACTGATGAAGAAGCAATTGTAGAAATTTTATGTACTTTGAGTAATTATGGTATCCGTACTATTGCAACATTTTATGAGAACTGTAAGTTGGTTATTTAATTTAGTTAAATTTTAGAGAAGTAAATTTAATATAAGTTTGTATCAATTCATTGTAAAATGTGCTAATCTTAAAATATCTTATTTATAACTTATTAACAGTATATGGAAAATCTCTTGAAAGTGACTTAAAGGGAGATACTTCAGGACATTTTAAAAGACTGTTAGTTTCTCTTGTTCAAGCAAATAGAGACGAAAATCAGGGAATAGATCAAGCACAAGCTATAGCAGATGCTCAGGCACTTTATGAAGCTGGTAGTTATAATAATATAAAGTACTTTTAATAAAAGAAAAGTATATATTACTAGAATAGAAATAAATGTATAGAATAGCATAGAATAAATATATAATTTATTTTGATATAAAAATTATTTAAAAGTTATACATAATATTTGATAATAGTACAATAGAATTTTTATTTAGTATTAATATAATATAATAAAAAAATATATAATAATATATTTACTTGAAATATTATTTATATTACCACAGGTGAGAAACAATGGGGCACAGATGAATCACAGTTTAATGCTATTTTAATAACACGCAGCTATCAACAATTAAGACAGACCTTTATTGAATATGAAAAAATATCTGGTCATGACATTGAAGTTGCTATTAAAAAAGAGTTTTCTGGAAATCTTGAGAAAGGTCTTCTTGGAATAGGTAAGTATTCTTTTTAGCAATGATTACTTTATGAGTTAATTATTTTATTTAAATAAAATAGAACAAAAATTTTCTGGCAAATATTGCAAACAAACAAATAAAGTTTTCTTAATAAAAATGAGTCTAAGAAAGATCATCTTTTTTCAAGTAAGCACATGTTCAAAAAGCACATGTTTTTTTAAGTAAAAAGATTTCCATTTGTATTTTTTTTATGCTTTAATTAAAAAATTTTATTTAGTATAAAATTAATATAAATATTATAATTTTGCAACAGTAAAATGTGTCAAATCAAAAGTTGGTTTCTTTGCTGAGCGATTGTATGCTAGTATGCATGGTATCGGTACAAAAGATCGAACATTAATTCGCATCATTGTTTCTCGAAGTGAAATTGATTTGGGTGATATTAAAAAAGCTTTTGAAGAACGTTACGGGAAATCATTGGAAAGTTGGATTGCCGTATGTATTCATATCACTTTTTTCAATATTTTGTGATTTAGTATCCAAAATAGTTGATTTAAAATTTTATATATATACACATAATTGCATTGCAGAACTAATTGTAATTCCTGAAGCATTAGTTTCAATTAGCTAACATAGAAGATTAAATATTTTTAAATTTATCATCATTATATATCAACATTAAGATGGATTAGTGATTACGTCTATTGCTAGTTCTTTAATTAAAAATTTAATATTTTAATATGATTGAAAATTAAAATAAATATTACAATTAACTAAATTAACAGAAATTTAATATTTTAGGGTGATACATCTGGAGATTACAAAAAGGCTTTACTATCGCTTGTTTCTACTTAATTAAAGAGAAATGTTTTATACTAAATTTTAAAGTTCTAATAATATTTATGGCACGAATATGATGATTATCTTGCACATGTTTGCTTAAAAGCTTGCAAATGCTTGCAAGAATCTATTAATTAAATGTACGAATATAAAGGATTGTGCATTTTACTATATTTTTTTGCATACTTTAGAATCTCTGAAGAATCATTGTGGTGCTATAATGTGCTTTTTATAATATAGTAAAATTTATTTTTTATGAAGTATACTATTTTATTAAATCATACAATCATATACTATTTTTTATTAAATGTTTATATATATATATCTATATTTTACAATAAAAATTAATATTTGTACAAATTGTTATAAAAAAGATCTTTATGAATATAAATATATTAAAATTTAATTATCCGATTATTATCTCGTATATTTAATACCGATTAATATCCATATATTATAGATAAGTTTTAAAATATAATATTGTAATTAATATAATTAATTAAATGTTAATTAAATTGAATTTGACTTTATAAATTTCGTTATAGTTTTGTTATAAAATGACTATAATATTATAAATTTTTATTAATACTACGAAATCTTTTTATATTTATTTATTTAAAGAATTTTTATATACACGTAAAAAAAAATTTATTTTTTTATGTATGTACACGTAAATTTCTAAGTATAAAAAACTTTGATTATGTTCAGATTATATAGAAAAATAAAACTAATAACAAAATAACTGATTTTTTTAAATATCAATAAAATAAAAATAAATGTAGACATATTTATTCATCTATGTCTACAAGATGTACTAATTTTTTCTTATTTCTTGAACTTCTACGTACAATCTCTAAAAGGAAAGTTAATAACATTAAATATGTCATTTTGATTAGTATGTAATTGTATAAAGTCATATACCTGTATTACATTTTTTTTTTTTGGAAAGCATTTTATTATTTGATGGATAAAATAAAGTTGGCATTCTTTCAAAATATTTATGCATTGGAGTTGGTAGAGTTCTATCTAATGGAATCCAACGAGGATTAGGTAAAGTGTAAAATACTCCACTATAAATTGAATGAATATCAAGAACATTTTTTCTGCAAATAAATATTAAATTATTACGAACAACAATAAAATAATAAAATTAAATAATACATTTTATGAATCACTTACCCTGGGCCTTCTGCTAATTTAGAAAGAGTAGCAAATGCTCCATTTCTTATAGTATGTCTCATAATATAATGACCTGGAGATAAATCTGAGAGAGATTGAACAATGTTATGTAAAATTATCAAAGAATCTTCAGCTTTTATGTTATAAAGTCTCTTAATTTCATTATTTATAGACATTGCTGTACGATGTTCTATTTGTAATACTTCTGATGTTTTTGTAGATATTCGAACTGGAATAAATACATACTACATTATATTTGGATCATAAGATATTTATATGTATATATTTACTACCACATTACAAATAATTTACCTCGTGCTAGATATGTATGAGGTCTGAATATCAAAGATATCCATTGTTTCAAAGCTTCCTCTAATGTTACAGTTTCAGCACCAAGATCAGCCTGATGTTCTAATTTTGGTGTTAACAGTAACAATGTTTGTACTTTATTTTGTAAAATCTATAAAAATAAGGAAAATACTTTAAGAAGAAACATTATTTTACTAATATTATCTGTTTTTCAAAAATCTTAATAAGTTAAAAGAGTATTAAATATTACATAGCATACCTCAAATCCATGTGTTTTTGTCCTAACTAATATTTTATATTCTTTAATAACATTTTTCATCAATTCACTTTGTTCCGATTGTGGTCCAATTGTAAACAAATCATATGATATACTGTCTTCTGTCTCTTCAGAGATTTTATTTTGTATATCTATTAAATCATAGAATAGATTATTTTTAATGTTTTTACTATTTGTTCCTTTAGCATTTAAAATTTAATATAATTGCAATATTATTAAAGCTTTTGTTAAAAAATTTATTTATTAATTAATAATTTTCATTAACTCACAACTTTACCTTCATTACTTATACAATTAGAAGCATTACAAAAATTAGAGGTGGTAGTATTTAAAGAGTCTTTTTTACAGTTCAACACATCTGAAGAATGTACATCATTTGTAAGATTCTGTTGAGTTGAAATTTCTTCAAGGTTTTTATCCTCTTTTGATACATTTAATATCTTATTCTTAACTTTTGTTAGAGTATTTTCATATTCTTCTTCTAATTGTAATAGTTTTTCAGAATTAACATCATCAAATATATTATCATCTTCATTACTATTATTATATAGTTAAAAGTGTCAATTATAATATTATTAACAATTAATCAAAAAGTAGAATAGAATTTAAATAAAAGTATATAAATAATCTTTTATCTTACCTTTCTGAAGTTAAATATTTAGTACCAATAAAAAAATATTTAAGAATGTATTTATACACCCAACTATTTTTTTCTGGTACAGTGCTTGCAATTGGTGGTGCTGGTTTGTCTATGTAGATAACATTTTTATCATTGTATCTTTTTATAACTATGGGTAAAATCCATGAATTTGAATGCGTTGGATCAATATTATTTACTAAACAATTAAGGCCACTTGATGAAATTACCAAATCTACATTATTATCTTCAGCTAATTTTTGACAATTTACATCTTCACTTACAGGTAATTTAACAGAATTTGATGATTCTTTAAAAGTATTCTCATTAGGAAGAAATCGTTTTCGTAACTGTGCTGAATTTATTTGTAATATACATGGTTTAGTAAAAGTTGGCAACACTATTTTTTGTAATTTACCCTTAAAAATAAAAGGTTTATATATACACAATCAGTAAGACATAATAAGATATTTTTATTACTCACCAATCGTAAACAATTAGAAATAAATTTTACTTCAATGTTTTTATCTGCTGCGAATGGAATACTTGTTACTTCAGAGTAATACCTCGGTAATTTATATATATGTTGTAACTTTGATTTCCAAGATAAATTGATAAAATCTTCATTTATGATTTTGAATAATCTTTCATTCCATTTGCTTTTCGCAAATTCCAAAAATTCATCCTGTTCTTGATATATTATTTGTTGTAACTCCTATAATAATGAACATAATAATGCATATATTTATATATTGTGAACAATATCTTAAAACTGTATTTATATACATAATCATCTTTATTAAAAGTAATTAAAAGTAAGTAATTTTTAATGATTACCATGTATTTTTGTAATTCTTCTCTTTCTATTTGCGTTAGTTTTGGCTTATCAGATTTTGAAAATCTTAACAAGACTCTTAAACACATTGCTTGTTGTTCCTTGTTCAATTTAGATTTTTTAGGAAACTTAAATATTGGTTTAAAACTGCCAGATACATAATTATTGATTCTTTTTACTTGTTTGACTTCACATTCTTTTTCCATTTCATTTAAGTCAGGATCAGCATCCTTCATCAGATCAATTTCAACATCTTTATAATCTTCTTCAATATTTTTAAAGGGATCTTTGAAATTTCCAGTCAAAATTTTATATATCACACTCTCTTTTTCTAATCTTTCTTCATTAATGAAAGTATTATCTATCAAATCTTCCAATGGAGCATGCCTATTAGACGCATAATATTAATAATCTTTATTAGTTATAGGTAAAAATTTATTTCATATCAATTTCAATGATCTTCTGTAATTATTTTAAATGATCAAAATTGTTTTGAGAAATTCTAAGCACTATTTAAAAACAAAAATTTTCATCTTTATTCAAATTCTCAATTTGTATCTTTACATAAAATACAAATAAGATGTTCATTAGTTTATGTTAAATATATTGTACAGGTTCAAACATTTATAATATAATGTAACATTAAGATAATAAAATAATAGATTATATAATTTCAATATAAACATTTATAAGGAATATTTTCTTAAACAAATTAGATTCTGTTAAAATAATTTTTTGTACATACCAATCAATAGATAAGAATCTATCCATGGCTAATAAATTAAAACAAACTGTTAAAGAGCTCCATATATTCAAATTATCTTTTTAAATTTTTATACGTGTATTTCATAAATTACACCATACAGTTATAAAAATTCATAAATTAGTTGTAATTACTTTTTTTTTTGCAAACGAAAATTTAATCTATTTATGGATTTTGAAATACTGCGTACGATAAAATGGTATAACTAAATTCTCTTTAACGTGTATTGTTATGCCCTTGTCTTTCAGGCAATGTATGTATGTCACATACTTAGTTTTGCCACTATAAATCAAAGAAGATCGGAGAATCCGATAGATAGCAGCACCTAACTTGTTCACAGCAAAGATAATAACATTCGACAAGGATAGATATACATATGTTGCGTGACAAATAAGAAACGCAAAAGTGTGTGATAAGGATATTGATAGCAACTAGTTCCACTATTTCCCGATTACATGGCGATATTTCAGTGTCCATAATTCGATTAAACTTTTATTTGCGAAAAAATCTAATTAAAAGAATTAAAACTGATAATCATATCTTAATTATTACATCCTAAATTTTCTTCTTACATTCTATTATACATATATAAAAATTTGCAAACTTTATCCAATGAATCGAAGAACATACTTGTTCGAATATTATTATTTCTTCTCGCAAACATTGTGTTTAAAAATTTTTAAGAATATCATCATATTTTTTAAAATTGTAATCACTCTGAAATTTTTTGATGATTTTTATTTTGTAATTATTATCATATTAGATTTAAGCGTAAAGCGCGTTGAAAAATCAACGATTTTTCGATATATCGGTATTTCAGAGCATGGGACACTAAATCCTATAAGATATATGTATATATCTCGTCTGTGTTGTGGCAAGAACCTACACCTCGTCTGGGAAATGTCACAATACGAAAATATATCGTATATTAATCTTATCCTTTATTTTCCAAGTATAGAGAAACAAACATGAGATTGAAGATCATTCATTATGCAATTCTCTTTATTGTTTTTTTAATCACTTATATACACTGCTATAATAACATTATAATCCCAACGAGGAATTTTGAAATTTATATTTCGTCTGTAATCCAAACTACACTCTCATTGCTAATATTTTTCATTTATATGTATACAAAAATATACAAATTCTTTATATATATATTCTTCTATACATTCTCATTACGTGTAGATTCATTATTGATGAATTTTCATCTTGTAATACTACTGTAAAACAAATTGAAAAAAAAAGGAGATCGAAATTAGAAATAAAGCAAATATATATTCCATGTCAATGTACAATGGCAATTCTTATATATATGATTCTATTTCTTCAAATATTATTATTTAAACTTAATTATTTAGATTGTTTTAATTATTTAGATCAGAAGAATTCATATAAGATTCATATTAAATTCGTATGCAAACATACATACTATAAATATTTATCACATTAATGTATATTTATCACATTATGTGATATAGTATAAATATTTATCACATAAATACATCACATCATATTACATTCATCATAATAAATAATATATTTACACATTATTCATTTAATCAGATATTTTGATTTTATATAATTTACTTATCATACCACATGAATGTTACGTTTTCTAATAGCTGTATCAATTATCTTTTTCATTATTCATATCGTTCCAGTGCAACTATTTTGAATTTCGAAACATGTTTTACAAGTAGAATTTTATAACCTAACCTTACTTGGATTTAATACGAATCTAACCTATTTAATATAAGATACTTTCCACGTGTACCACAATGTGGCGCTGTAATGCATTTTCTTATTTCACATATTTAACTATTGTATAGTATGATTTCAAATAAAGTAATTAAAATGTAATAAAAAAAAATTAACAATTTTACATGGAAGAATACCTTTAATCGCAGAAATATATCCGAATCAATGTCAAAAACAGTTTATAATAATGATAAAATTGTATTAGGAATGGCGCCAAGGTGTCGCCATTTTCATAAAACTTTACCAAGACGGTAAATCGAGAAGGCTGAGGGGAGGAACAATTCCTCAAAGTGTGTGTGTGCATCCGAAAATTGTTGGAAAAATTGCTAAAAAGCAAGAATAATGTACTGGTCGTAAGTATATCTTTCTTTAATGCTATTTTCAATCGACTTGAATCATTTTTTGGCACAAAACACGGGACCTATGGCATGGGACTTCCGTTTAATGAACAGGAACAGGAAGTTCCTCACAATCTGAAATGGCAAAATAAAAACATCCTGTACTGAAGAAAATTTTGAAAAATATACATGCTACGTTTCTGAACAAGTAGGCAAAAATGAATAAATCGTGTTAATTTTACCGATTTGAACTTCAAATTTTAATTTTACGACCTACTTTCAATCCCGGTACTTCAAGGTCGAACAACACTGACGAATTACCGAATGAAAAATGGAATGGTCACAACTAGCCCATTTTATTTTTAAACAAGTTCCAATGATATCAATTGTTATGGATCGTTTGATTTTAGTGTGCATCAAAAAGAAGGGGATTAAGTTGAATATACAAAAATGCAAGCTGAAAGTATTTGCACGAATGATATTGAGGGTCTGGACTCAGACACCCTTATTCCTGTATGTATAATTTCATATAAATCTGTTTCATATAGTTATCATTTAGGCATATTGTTTTACCTATAAATATTTCATAGGTTGAAATTCTTTCCTGTGATGTATCTCATCGAGCACGCTCACAAGATGCCTTATCAATAATGGAATTAGGAAGACAATTACTTTTTAGTGCAAAATATGGGGATACTGATAGTGTTCGTGACCTAATGTGCAGAGGTGCACCATTTACCACAGACTGGGTATGTATTTTTATAATAAATTTCTGTAATCAGCAATTCAATCGTAATAATATTGTTTGACAGTTAGGTACAAGTGCATTGCATTTTGCTGCACAAAATAATCATACAGAAACTGCAGAAGTTTTACTTAGAGCAGGAATTTCAAGAGATGCAAGAACAAAAGTGGATAGAACACCTTTACATATGGCTGCATATGAAGGCCATCACCAGATGACACAGTTACTTCTTAATTATGGTGCAGATGTTGATAGTAGAGATATGGTAATTAAAATAAAATTATATAAGTAAACAAAATATTATGCATATCACACATTTAATATAAAAAACATTTTCAGTTAAAAATGACACCTTTACACTGGGCAGTAGAAAGGGAACATGTAGAAGTAATGCATGTTTTATTAGAACATGGAGCAGATGCAAATGCAACTAGTAAATTTGACAAAACACCAATTAGTCTTGCATTAGAACATGATAGACTAGACTTAGTAGATATATTACAACAAGAAAGAGAAATTGTAGGTATTAAAGCACACCAACAAAATCAAGCCAATTCAGCAGAACTTGAAGTAGCAACTCATAATTTAATACAATTAGAATCTGAAAGAGAAGAAGAACAAAAATTTGAACTTCCACAACAAGAATCGCAATCAAGAAAAAAAATTACACAAGGTATATTACTTGATAATAATTTTAAATGTTGAAAATAATTAATGGTACCATGAGCATTTATTAAATATTTAGTGCAAATGGGGAAAAAACCACGAATGATTTTTCAACAAATTCATGTCGGACCAAATGTTGATGTTAATCGGGAAAAGGAAATTGAAAGCGTGAATGAAATCACTGATGCAAATAATATTAATAACAGTAAAAAACGCAAAGATGTTACAGCTATTGGAGGAATAAATAAACAATTTAGGTTATTAGAAGCACATGGAATCACAATGATTCCTGTAGATAATGATTCATCTATTGTTGAAAATGCAATGGAAAGCGGAAGAACAGTTGTTTTAACTGGTATAAAACAGTTTAATGAGATGCACAGTTTGCTATATTTATATTTATAGACATCGATAATTCATTCTTGCAGAAGCAGGTAAACTTGCTCTAAATTTAACAAGAAATTCTTCAATAGGAATGAAACGACTTCATGTAGCTGGAAAAAAAGAGACTTCTAGGAAAGTAATAGCAATTAGAGCAGATCAAATTTTAAATCACAACACACCTACTCTCGCATCTAAAGGACCTAATATATTAAAAAGATCTGTGGATAATAAAACTGGAAAATTATTCATTTCTTCAATTTCTAATACCACGCCTGTATCAACACTTACACAATCTAAAACTGTAATATCTCCTTCAGAGGTATGAAATCAAATATAAATAAAATAATCAAGATAACACATGTTCTTAATTTTTAATATATTTATATTTCGTGATTTCAATAGAGTAAGATCATTAATTCGCCTACAAAAATAACAGAACCAATAATTTTACAATTGGACGATGATATAGAAGAAATTATCGAAGATGATGTGACACATAATAATGAACAAGTTATGGACATTGCGCTACTAAATAAACAATTAGCGGAAGCACGAAGACAAGCAGCTGAATATCGTAAACGACTTCAAAAGAAAGAGGAAGAAGCTGAAATATATAAACAACAACTTAAAAATATTACAGCGCAAAGGGCATCCAAGTGATTTTATGAGTATATATTTTATTTTAAGTTTTGTTTTTTGAACAATCTTTTCTACAAAAAAAAATCTTTCTCAGCTTTCAGCTTTGTACAAGAGCTCTATTGAAAATTGTATTCTAGTATTTTAATATATTTTCTTTCGTTGTTTCATCTTAAAATATTACAATAGTATTTATGCGAGCTTTTCGTTACTAACTACTTATTTTTGTACAGATTATTTTACGAATATAAGATTCTTTAACTGTCTATTATTAATACTCTTGAGTTATATCAGAAAATTGAATTATTCGTTTCGCAGAATATAATTATTTAATATAATATGCGTTTTAAAAGCTGCGTATTATATGTGTATGTATGCGCACGCACATACGTAAGTATCGTTGAATGTGTGATTAAGTCTGATTTATGCAGTACACAAATATTTTTTAAAAATAAATGTAGATATATACAAACCATCAATTTGCTTTCCACATAATATCTTGCAATAGATTATAATTTCTTATGTAGTATCACTATTTTCAAAGTACTTTTTTACATTAAACTAAATATCACACTATTAAAATAAACACATTATTTACTAATTTAGCTACCTTTTTTATAAATTACAGTATTTCCCTCATTCTCACATACTTCTAAACACATACTTCTAGGCAATGTTAAAAAAAGAAAATTGTATAAAAAATAAATACTAATTTAGGAAAACGTTTTTAAATTGTATATGATCTATTTTGTATATAGTGAATTTTTATATATATTTTAAGATTGCATAATAATTATAATTACAATGTCGTTAAATAATTAGAATTATATGAAAAATGGAACAAAAGAAATCTATAGAAATAATAGAAATAAAAAACTTTTATGAATGAAATTTAAAATAATGGATATTATCTATCTCTTTATATTTTCTAAAATGAAAATATTAGTAATGTTTAGAGAAGAAACATTTGTTATATTGTATGTTGCTTATATATATATAATCAAACAAACAATAATTCAATATTATAATATGCTCTATTGATTAAATACAATAAATTTCCAATCAGTAAAAACAATATTTTATGGATAGTTTGCCAAAAACATAAAATGTGGAAAGCAAATATAAATATAAACTAAAGTTTGGTTAACAAATATACTTACAGATTATTCTGATAACTACTTGTCATTTTGTACAGTTTCATATAAGTAACATTTCATTTCAAATAGTTTCTCAATAATTCCCAACAAGATTATAATTTAAATTCATTTTAAATATAGTTCAAAAGTATTATAACATTTTTTTTTGTTTCACAATCTGTATGGTGCTATTTAAATGATATCCTGAATAATTGAAATTTTTAACTTAATAATGGGAAATAAAATGATGTATAGGAAACAAAAAGAAAGTAGTCCACTCAGGTACAAATGATAAAGCATATAATGTATAAAACCAGAATTGACAAATATCAAATATATTTAAATCTATCAAATTACATAATACCGGAACCTTTTTTTTAGTAATATATGTTGTAAATATAAACAATACGATAATAATAATAATAATAATAGAAGTTGTTGATGCAAAGTTGCAAATTTTTATTCAAGAATAAATATTTTATATTTCACAAATTATTTGTATTGTTGTGCTATTCAGTACCGAATAGATGTAAAAATAGTTTTATAAAACGTCAATTCAATTAACGATTCAAGAAACATGATATATAAACATATAATATATTATATATATGAATTGTTATATATAATATATTATATAATAAATAATTATATATATTATTATAAGATATGTATATTGAATAATTGCTCTTGAGCAATTATTCAATATACACTATGCTTATACGAATTTAGTACGGTTAAATTGTTTAAAATATGAAATGTGATAATTTCGAAAAGTTCTCGTGCAACAATCGATATTTTTCGTGATTTCACAAAGAAAGAGACTACGGGAATCGATAATCTTACCAGAGTACCTTCCGCGCTATCGATTTGAAAGTATTGGTGGCAGCACTGTGCGCCACAAAGTTTCATATTTTAAAAACTTTGCTTATCGATCTGTTCGATGGATTTCCGTTTCACCTGCTATCGACTCGAAACGGAACTATCGCTCGGTACATCCTTTCGTTATGAATTGTAAAAAGCGACCTGAAAATGGCCGGCAACGACTAATCGAAAATTTTACCATTTACTCTCTCGTAGTGTAATGGTGTCGACAAGGAGTCTTGTCTGTACGCCGCATATAGGTATACGTTGCTCGTGTTTCTGGTTCTCGCGATCGATCGCAGCAGTCGCACAATCTCAACCTGCTATGAAACGTCGGCGTGTTTACTGGTGTTTGATGTATAGCGCCATAGAATAGAAGGCCATGTAAAGGCAACGATAAACAGTGCGAGAAAATCTAAATGGTATAAAAATACGCACGGTTCGTACGCGCTTTATCGGATCGTGTTCGTTTGGCAATTTATTGAATCTGAAAGTGTTCGCGATGGAACAGAAATGATAGAAAACAATATTCCCTCTGATTAGCCCTGAATCGATCGACTTCGTTACTCCCGCTGTTCGAAATTGCACGAAACTACGCAGAACTACGTCATACGAGCGACAGCGTCGTTTAGGGAAACCTTGAAATGTGCGTTTGACGTTCTACCGTACTTTTCGCGCTCTTTCGCTGTAACTGAAACTCGAGATCCGAACACCGAGCGAGTTAAATGTCTAAATTGATCGTTTATCATTCGCCTATCGGAGTCGTGACTCGATACCAGATGATACGACGGGAAGATACGTGTAACGAATACGAAGTATAAAGGAGCCTGATGAAAGGATGGTTGGTAAAGGTGGCTTCGAAGCTTAGTAGGTGCTCGAGTGCCGTATCATACGTCAGGTTGAGAACCCTCCAAATGTTTCGTAGCCCGGACCCGAAGGCGATGTCCAGTGCGCCGCGGTGCAAAGAAGGGGGCTGTTTTCATTGTCGTTGTGGTTATTATCTCTGCGCTGTCTATATACCCTGTGATTCGATACTAACGATTCTCGCTGATAGAACAGCGAGGTGCGAATAACGTGTCCGAGAAAGGCGATACCCCCACGATTACGTGCATCGTTATTATTGCGCCCGAAGGTGCGCGCGCGCGCGCGCGCGTGCACACACGACACACACGTACACACATATACACACTACACATCTTGTATATCTCGAGAGGCTCAACGATCTTCGCCTGTATGTATTGGTGTGTTTGTAGTGAACATCGTGATATGTGGAAAAGTATAAAGTGAACGAAGAAGAAGAAGACGAAAACGAAGAAGCGCGCGAGAAAGTATTTCGTTTTCTTTAATGCCCGAACCATATACGAAAATAGAGTGGAAGTTTAGGACAATAACACACGTACGTGTACGTTTCTTTCTTTTTTTCCCTCTCTCGTTTCTCTTTTCTCTATCTTCATCCTTTTCATTCGCCTTTGTTGGACGCGTGTGTCCGTTTGTGGTTTCGATGCGGGTGTGAGTAGCAGGTAGAGAACATCAAGGTAACGAAAGCAACGAAGCGGGAAGCAGTGTTCGAACGTTCTCAAACGTTTTCTGTCATTTTTCTCCTTTCGAACACGCCAACAGCGCTTTTTTTCACGAATAAACTGTGAGAAAGCAGTGACGATCGAAAGTAATTTGACGAAAATGCGATACGAGTTGTTAAGTCGCCTAGCGTAGTATATCGCCTAGCGGCGACGGGCCCAGAGAGAAGCGGTGGAAAAATGGCGTCCGATAACGAAGCCTCTTGCGCGAGTGACCCAAATTTCGCGGTGATTTGTTCATTCCTCGAGTGCTTCGGCAAGTCCTGTGGCATCGTTTACCCTGATATTGCACGCCTTCAAGAGATGCTTGAAAACACGCAGGAGGGTGAGTAACACCTGCATGCTTACGTGTATGTGTAGAAAAGAGAGAGAGAAAATGATTGACCCGCCCCCGCGAGGCCAGAAGTCTCGCGTGTCTTATTAGCTCTCTTTTGCATTTTCATCTGTTTTTCCTCCGAAGTTTCATCTTATTTCACGCCTTTTTTCGTTTTACAATTCTCACGTTATTTTCAAGTGATCATCTTATCCCGGATAAATACAGGGTATCAGATTTATAGTTGTTTTCATCCCCTTTTTTCAGCGGAATTCTACACATCATTCTTACGGATCTTCATCATCTTACTTATTTACTTTTCATAGTAACGGTTACCAGTAAGAAAATCTAACAACTAATTAGCAGTTATTGATAATTATTCGTATCAAACTTGTTATTTCATTGAAATAGTACTATTATTGACAGCTTAGTTCAATTTACTATTCACTGTTGTTATTTTCTCATGTGCTGCCACCTCCCTTGTTGTCAACCTCGGTTACACGTGATTACGAGTTATGAATCGCGCGTCAAATTAGTGATTTGGAAATAATCGTTTCAGTGACTTTAATATTTTCTAATAAAAGTGACTTTTGAATTAGTATTAGTTTTTACTAATTATGCACGTGTAAATAAAAACTTTTGATTTATTGTGCAAACTCTTGTAGTTTTTCACGTATTTTTAATAAAGCTTATTTCAAATTTATTCTAAATTTATTTCTGTTAAAATATTTAATTATATTTACGCATATTTCATTTCTACTTACAACCACGTTTCTTTTTAGTACCACAACAGTTGATCGATCTCCACATCAAATTATTACGAAAAACACGTAAAACAGTGTCACCAGAAAAATGGGAACGTGCACTGGTTAAATTCTGCCACACATACTCTAATCAAGATGGATGGGAACTCGAACGTTTTGGTTACAAGAAAGCCCGTATTGCAGTTAAACTACGACTACTTAAAGTATAAACATAGTTATTATATACTGTAAAATGTGCCAGTTATGTCTCTTTGAAAATGAAAATTATATATTTTGTTTATGTACATTTTACAAACACTATTTTCATTGCAGATTCTTTTAGAAACACAATTTGATCTAAATCAAAAGTTTAAAAATGAAGTAAATAAATTAGCAGCTAAGGAATTACGGGTAGAGCCTTTAGGAAGAGACAAATCTGGTTTAGCTTATTGGTGTCAGCTTGATGAAGAGTGCAATATAAGAGTTTATAGAGAAGATATAGATGAAGAAAATTGGGAACTTGTAGCTAAGTATGTGTTTAATATGAATGTGAATATTCTTAATTTTATTGATTGATTATAAATTCATTAAATATGTTTAGGGATCGAGAAGGTGTAGTTAATCTTATAAATACCTTATCAAATGGAGAGATTGGAGCTATTCCAATTAATGAAGACAGCAATAGTTTAGAAATTTCTGAAAAACCCATTATTGATACTGGACAAATATCTTCATCACCAAGTTTGGAGGATGAAGGTGTGCAAGAAAATGGCATTCACAATGAGGGATCTGATGAGAAAGAATTAGATAAGAGTGGAGGTGAAGATTTTGAGGATGAACAAGAACAAGATGATATTAATGAGGGCGATAATATTGAAGAAGATATGGATGGTGAAGATGAAATGACAAATGATGAAAGTTCTAAACAAAATACTGAAGAAGATGATTCTCAGCAGACAATACAAAATGGAATAGTAGAACCAAATTCTACTCAAACACCGTCTTTATTATCACCAAGTCCTCTCAAAATTTTAAATTGTAAGATTGATATATTATCTGAGAAGGAAACAGTTTCATCTCAGGAGAAAGAATTAAACATTACTCAAAACTTGACTACTGTTATATCTAATGATACTAAACCTGCAGAAACATACAAATTTGAAGAGCATACAGCAATAAGTAATTCAAAAATTGGTTCTGAGGAATCAATGCCTCTTAAATCAATTGAAACACCTGTTATTACATCCCCTCTTAAATTAGTGAATGTTTCTGAAATGAAACAAGTACACGAAGAAAAAGTCATTACCGGCATAACACATACATTAAATATAACAAAGAAATATGAAGATTCAACAGATCAAATGAAACCGCTAGACAAGTTATCCAATAAAAATAATTTCCCCTTTACATCTACTGATATACCAACAAGTCATAGTAAATTGTCTGTAAAGCCAATAGATCAATTGGCTGCTAATCTTGTGAGGATGCAATCTGAGAAACTTGAGAAACCAAGTGGAACAAAATCATTAGAGAAAATCGCAGAAAACTTAGCGCGATCAGGAAGTATTGTGGGAAACGCAATAAATGGAGATGATGATAGAACACCGCAAGATTTTTGTGCAAGAAATCAAATAGACAAAGTGAATCCGCTTCGAGAACATAGAGGTATAGATTTGTCTACGTCACCCAGAGGATGGGAGAGCACGAATGAGCAGAACAGACCAATGGATTTCTCTGGAATCGATTTATCTAGTCGAAAATTTAACAAAACCATGGATTTACCATCTCCTGGATACAGGACACAAGATTTTCAACATAGAGAAATGGATCTTAGTACGAAAAAGTTAAATAAACCAGAAGTTACAAATTTACCGTACGATGCTCGGACTGTGATGATGCGTAATCATGCTATGGTAGCAGATTTAAGTAAAAGGCAAATGTCATTTCCTGGTTATGATATGTCTTCTGCTGCATTTCATAATGCTACGAGAATATCTAGTAAAGACGATCACAGATTACCAAATTATACGATATTGCCAGATCCGAGTAAAATTACGGCTCTAAGAATGAATCCGACACCAGTGAAACGTCCATTAGAAGGAGATGATATGCAACAAGACATATTAAAGAGAATAAGAGCAGATGTAATACCAATTAGAGGTTCCATGGATAAGAGATCAATAATGAATAGTAATTGGAGAGACGAAGTTGGTGAGGCTATTGAGGAACCGATGATAATGATTCAAGGTGAAGGGTCCGGTAGTGATTGTGATGCAGTTAATCCTGGGCTTGGAGAAGCTGTAGAAGAGCCTATAATTTTTTTTTATGGAGAAGGATCTGGTGAGGACTGTCAAACAGGTAATCCTGGTGAAGAAGCAACAACTGACAATAAAGAAAGCAACGAATCAAAAACTGAAGCTGATTCTGCTACTTCTTCTCCGCTGTCGAGTAAAAATTTAAGCGATGATAGCCTTATAAATGAAGTGTCTACTGGATCGTTAGTAACAAGTAAAAATGCCATAAAATTAAATAGAAATTATCCACAATCGAGCATTAACATAAAAAGTAATTGTCAAACTATAGGTTCAACACAAGAAAGGTCAAAATTCAAACCATCATTGGGCATTCAAATAATACCAAAAAATACCAACAGTTCTGTAAAAAGGATATCGAGATGGGATGTTGGAAAACCAGAAGAAAAACCAGAATGTGACAGCAGTATCATATCAAATGAAGAAGACATATCACAGAAAAAAAATAAAACTGAATGCGAAGATTCCTCTAATAAAAATCGAGATATTAAAATAGATGAAAATTCTGTAAATACTGAAAATTCAACTTCACAAAAAAAGAATGTAGAAACAGAAAATTTACAGGAAACTACAGAAGGAAATTCCTTGAGGCAAAAATTGCCTCAAGGAAGCCCTGTTTCTCAAGATTCTGTGCAGTGTGATTCGTCTATTTCTTTATGTCAAGCAGATACATCAGAAACACTTGAATTTTATTCAGAAACTACATCCACATCTCAGTCAATTAGTAATAAAAATACTGCTGAAAATGATTCTCACAGTGTAACTTTGCATGAAACAAATACTTCAGAAAAAGTAGACAATGAATGTAAACCAGCAGTTGCGTCACCACCAAGATTTTTTTTTGGTCCTAATTGTATTTCGTACACTTCTAGAACAGAAATATTTGAATCACCATCTGATCATACAGTTTCAACAACTATAGAATCTAAATCTGATACACTGCAATATGAATGTGTTTCTTCTTCCAAACCAGCAGAGGATGTAGTTACTTCTTATACATCAGCTAATTTTGATGTAACACAAATTAATAATAATTCGTTAAAAATAAATTCGTATGCACCCACAAGTAATAGTCCACTTTGTGAAGATGATAATAATAAAATAGAGAAGGTTGAAGGTTCAATTAATATATGGGAACAAACAGTTCCTTCAAAATATTCTATAGATGAAGAACATTGTGCAGTGCAAAAAGCAGATATGTCTAATTCTGAATCAAAAGAAGAAAATTTTAAATCTGTTGTACAAGATTCTATTTCTAGTAGTGAAAATACAAAAACTGAGTATGTGAAATCTGAAGAATCAGAAATATCAGACATAATTTTACAACCTCATAGTACGAATGATATAAATAAGGAAGATTTAAATATAAAGCCTGACAATGCAATTGTAACACCATCTACAGTGCAATTTGACTCAAATATTAAATCCATGCAATTTGAAATATCAAAAGCAGAAAATAATACATTAGAACAACTGGAAAGTCAGAATAAAATATCAGATTTACAAAATAATACCAATAAAAATGTAGAAACACCAATTCTTTGTTCTAAAGATGAAGATGATTATAAATCGTCTGATACATTGACATTTAAAAAAACTGAATCGGAAATGGATCCAACATGCATTAATAATTCATGTTTATCTTTTGCTCAAAATTCAGAATTAGGTTGTACAAGTAGAGGAGACTTTTCTACTTATCAAGAAGTAGATAGTTCAGCAGAAAAAAAAATGGAATGTGTTTCTGAGAAAGAATGTGATTTGTCTGTTGAAAGTTCTAAACAAAATGACAAAAATGATAATATCCCAGAATTTCATAGTCAAAGAAAACAATTAATAAATCCTGATAATGAAAACATGGAAAGTTCAACTGATTCTGATACACATTTGGCACATAATTGCACTAAAGATAGTAAGCAAACAGAAATTTCACAACAAAATGAAATTTCAGTTGGTGCATTTATCAAAAGTTCTGTGCCTGATATTAATACTGAATTAGATTTCACAGATAATTCCACTGTTACTAGTTCAGAATCAATCGAACAATGTAACAAAGATGCGCTAGTTCCTACAATAAGTAGCTCAGATGATAATTGCATTCAAGACATTTCCATGCGTGAAAGTGTCAAAGTGCATTCAGATTCTGAAAAATTGTCCTTTAAAGATGAATTTTCTATTTACAATGTATTACCAGAGACAGTACCTGACACAAATAATTTTAAACCATCCAAATCTGATGCAGTTGAAGCTGAAGAAGAAATGAATGTATCTAATATAACTGCAACATTAAAAGACCAAAGTTCCTGCATTGATCAAGATTCAAATAAAGATATGATTATTGATGATGATTTATCAAAGCCTGACAAATCTCCTAAACTAAATGAAGAAAAAGAATGTTCTGATGAAAATTTGTCATCTAATGAAGTTATACGTGATATTTCATTGGAATTATGCTCATCTTCTGATGAAACTGATAAATGTGGTGCTCTTATTGAAAGAGAAAAAATAGAAGACATCAATAATATAGAAGATACTCAACAAAAATCTGATAGCATTATGAAATCTGTAATTTCAGAAAATGAAAAGACGATTGAACAGGACGAAAAAAGTGAAAAGACCCCAGTTGAAGAAAATAATATAAAAAATGATGAAGAGTCAATTTCTGCAAATAATAGTGTAGAAAATCCAAGTAATACTCAGCAAGAATGCATTATCCAAAAATCAAAGCCAGAGGAACCAAAACTAAATCAAATAGATACAAATCCTGTAAACCTACAAGAAACAAACAAAGTGAAACAGTCTTTAGTTGCAAATTATGAGAGTAGTGATTCCAATGATGATAGTAATGATGTTTTTGAATCTCTTGAAAGAGGATCAATTGAAAATAAAAATAACTTGTTTACAGATTTAGAAGAAACAATGATTAGTAATGAATCAAAAATAAAACAAACAGTTGAAAAATTAATTACAAAGGATGAAACATCGCCCGAAGAAATACAGATTACAGTTACTAATAAGAAACGAAAAGTATCAATGTCAGAAAATAATATTCAAAAAATGGAAGACGAAGAAGTAGAACATAAAAAGGAAATGATAAGCAACAAAGAAATAATTGAAAAAGAATATAATTGTATCATTAATCAATTTGATTTAAATGAAAAATCAATTGTACATGAGAAAAAAGATATTAATATCTCAGAAGAAAGTAGCACTATGGAATTAGTAAAAACAGAGATATCACCAGTTTTTTCTGAAACTGATGAATCAGTGAATAAAGAAAATGTAAATTTAACACAAACTAAAACAAATAATTTAATAAGTGAAGTAAGTGAAGCAGAAAATAATGGTTTAGTTCAAGCTCCAGAAAAGATCATGAATACAGTTTCTGAAGAAAAAAATGATTCTCAAACAGTAAATTCTATAAATATAATTAGAACTCAAAAACAAACAAATGACAACATTGATTTTAATGATATTAAGAAAGAAATATATGAAAATTTAAAGGAACAATCTATAAAACCTGTGGAAGAAAAATTAATAACAAGTTTTGATAGTGAGATCCAATTTATTAAAAATAAAGAAGTTGAACATGTTACAGAAGAATTTCCAATCATAGAATCATACAATAAATTAACAGAATTCAGTAATAAAGGAAATAAATTTGATATACATTTACATAATGAAGGAGATTTCAATAAAGATTTACATGAAAATGATACAACTATTCATTCTGTACAAAATATTTTACCACTTGACAAATTTGACAATACATCCTCAGGTGTAGATAAATCAGAAATATATAAAAATAACATTTCAACTGTATCAGAAGATTTCAAATCTATGGATAACTTACAGTTTGCAAATTTTATATCCGAAAAATCAGAAAATTTGAGTATTACAGATAATCAAGAGAAGCATAATGAATCATTTCATATTACAAATAAAGCTATAGAGTGTCTTCCTGAAAATACTGTCTCTAGTCTAAATGATAAATCAGCAATTTTTAATGTACAAGAAACTGCATCAGAATCAACAATCATAAACGATTTTAAGAAGGAAGCTAGTAAAAGATTAAGCGATGTTTCTGATATTCAACATGTTCCTCCATTAAAATCTAAAATTCTATGTACAGAATCTAATGAACAAATATTAGAAGATTTAACAAATTCTAAAATAGAATCGGATCAAAATTTGGATAATTTTAAACAAGATGAAATTGATGAAACCAAAATATGTGAAGATATAGTATCTGATAGTACCACGGAATATTTAACAAAACATAAATCCAGTACAATGACAATGGCTGATACGGCGGATATGTTGAACGATGTTGTACAAAAAGATAACGATGAAAATGATGAAAAGAAAGAGAGCTCAGAAATTCAAAGTATCGAAGTGAAAGCAGTCTCCTTAGCATCTGACGATTCTATGGAAGTAGACAACGAAAATTTATTCAGTACAATTCCCGAAGAAATGGATCCTTTAGCGTGTACCGATGACGACACATTTAAAAAATTAGATGATACCGAGCAAAGTGACATCTCTGTTCCAAAAATAGGTTTACGAGTTAAACCCGTATCTGAACTTGTTTACGATGGATGGAAATTGGATTCCACCGAATCACCAAAAGTATCCCGTAAACGACGTCATAGTTTCCATGAATCAAATTCCGAAGATACAATTACAAAACAAAATGATGACGGGGTCGGTGATGAAACACTAGGAAGTAAAAGAATAAAATTACGTGCGAAACGTATACCTGATAAAGAATTGCGAAAATCTCTAGAAGAAAGTCATGTTGTAACAATAAGTTCAGAAGATGAGGCTGTGAAATGTAGTGCTGAAAAATCAGAAGACCAAGAAGTTAAAGATGTCAGTGATGACCAAAGTGCTGCGCATTCAGTTACAATTGGAAGAAAAACAAGAGGACGTCCTAGAGGAAGACGAAGGCGCGGTTATAGGGGAAGCGGACGTTCGGCTCGATCAAAACATTCAGAATTTCAAAATATTCAACCTTCTGAGATATCGCCTGAAATTCATCTTGATGGAACCCCAAGCAATAACGACTCTTTAAATATGACACCAATTTCACAGAAGAAACGAAAGAAAAGTAAGTTTCTATTCATATGTTTTTATATGTTTATTATACAGTTTAAAGACAATATACAATTTACTACGTAGAAAAATATTGTTGTAGGAAAAATGGTTTTGGGTCTGGAAGTAGGTAGAGATATTGTTCCTGAAACACAGACAGGATTAATCCAAGATGAAACACCTGTAAGACAGTCTAGAAGAATAGCACAATTAAAAATTAAAGAAGAAGCAGATAGACGAAGGATCGAGGAAGAGACTTCAAATGAAAGAAAAGAAAAGAAAGATTCTGTGGAAAAAAAGAAGCGGAAAAAACCAAAGGTATATTTCTATTTTACGTAATTTCTTAATTAGTATTAATATATTATATAATTATTACAATTTTTTAGCCTGAAAGTGAAGAGGAGATCGTGATAAAAGAAATAGAGAAAGAAAAGAAATCAAAAAAGAAACGTAGAAAAAGGAAAAAGAAGAAAATGTTGGCTAAATTTAACGAAGCAAATCCATGGCAGAGTTCTTCAGGTTCTAGTAGTGATGATGAAAATGAGAATGAAGAGGAGGAAGATGAAGAAGAAGAAATAGAGAGTGAAGGATCTTTGCTTTTCAAAAGTGATCATGAATTTTCACCGGAAAGCGATCTTGAAAAAGATCAAGAATCTGAGCCATTAAGAAGAGCAAGGACTGCACAGAAAGGTATTTAAAAAATTTAGTAAATTTTACTAAAATATACTCCAATGTATTAACATTATTTGATTGTAGCTCAGAGTGATGTTGAAGAAGCAGATGATGAGTATGCCTGTCAAAAATGTGGTAAAGCAGATCATCCAGAATGGATACTTTTATGCGATTCTTGTGACAAAGGATGGCACTGTTCTTGCCTTAGACCTGCACTCATGCTAATACCAGAAGGTGATTGGTTCTGCCCTCCATGTCAACATGTAAGTTTTTAATCTCAACATACTTATTGAATAAGCTATTTACTGAAAGATTTTTTATCATAAATGAATACTTAATATTTTAGAACTTGCTGGTGACTAAATTAAGAGAAAGCTTGAAAATGTATGATCAATTGACGAAAAGGCATGAAAATGAAGTTTTAAGAAAGAAGAGACTAGCATTTGTCGGTATAAGTCTAGATAACGTCCTTCATAAAAATGAATCACAACGTCATCAAAAAGGATCAAAGGCATCTAGCCAAGAGTCTGATAATGGTAATTTTTCATTTTTCCACTATGCATTTTCTTGTTTAAAATTAATATTTTATATTTTTCATAGAATCTTCATCTGCTTCATCTTCGACAAGTACAGAAACATCTAGCAGTGAAGAAAGTGAACCTGTATACCAATTACGTGAAAGACGAAGCGCTAATAAGTATAAATTTAACGATTATGATGCCATGATCAATGCTGCTATCCAAGATGAAGTAGAAGCAGTTCAAGGAGCTGGAAATCAAGGAAGAGGAAAAGATATTGCAACTATAGTTAATGCGGAAAAAGAAGAAGCGCAGGTAAAACTATCATTATTTATATTTAGCTTTATTTTACGTAAAATTTTTATAAAAATAAAAATTTACTTTCAGTTACATTTTAAGAATAAGATACTAAATATCGAAGAAATTCCGGAAAGTAAAGACGACATTGATAAAAAATCAGAAAAAGATAGTGATGAAGAGTACAAGATGGAATGCGAGGATGATATTGATGAGGAAGAAGAATTACGACATAAAGGAGTAGCAAAGAAATTCTTGTCACGTAAGAAACATCGTAAACTGAATAGTCTTGACATAAGCAGTGAAGATGATCCTGAAAGTGATGAAGACTTTAAAGGTTCAAGTTCTGAGGAGGAAGAAGATTTTGATGATCATATAACATCTTCCGATGAAAGTACTTTTGCTGATGTAAAACGACGTAATAAAAAAGGAGATTCGCGATCCGTACGGCGAAGCACTAGAGCCAGAACAACACGTTACGATGAAGACTTCAGTAAGTATAAGAAATCGAATATTACGTGAGTCAAGAAAAATATTTTAATAATAAATCTTTCATAGTAAATGACGACAGTGAAGAAAGTGATAGGCCAAAAAGAAAAAAATCTCGATCTACATGGGATTCAGATAACGAAGATAGCGATAATTCATGGCGACAGAGGAAAAAAAAGTAAGGACATTATTATTACGTGGTTCATTTATGATTAGATCATACTTTAATGTCATTATTTTTAAATTTTGTTTTAGAAGTAGAACCATATCAACATCTAGATATAAAACATTACCGAAGACAAAGAGCAGGAAGAAGAAAAAGAGAAAACGTATAATTGAATCTGATAATCAAAGCGAAAACGAGGAGTCAAATGATGAACCAAAAATTGAAATGACGTGTCAAATGCAGCCGCAATTAGAAAACAACGAAACCATAATGTCTGATGTATTAGATGTTAAACTTGATAATATAAATGAAAACAACGAAGATAAACATATTAATCAGATAAAAAATATAAAATTACCAGACATAAATCCGGAAATATCTGATATACCTGCCACTTTACCATTAGAAGAAATAACGCAACAAAAGAAGAAAAAGGTAAATTTATAGATATCATTTATTTGAAATAGTTGTACTTGTATTTGTTCTTTCTCTTTCTTTTCTTCGTTTAATATTTATTCTTTGTTAATTTATTATGTAGGATAATGCAATGAAGACAAAGAAAACACCAACAATTCGAAGAAAAGTATGTTAACTTTATATTATCTTGCCTATTTTAAGATGTAACAATTTAATTTTAACTTAATTATATTTCCAGATTATATATGGCGGTCTTCCAGATGAAAACAAACCAGAAGAAGAAGAAATATTAAGTAGACGAACACGCGGTAAAAAAATTAATTATCAAGAAGAAATAGCATCGGATAGCGAAGAGGTAATACACATCAATGTAGTATAGAAGTATTTGGAAATAAAAAAAATCTTTCATATAACATTGTAGGAGTTAAAGAAGGCATTAAGAAAAACGGGAGAAAGTGAGGATGAATTTGTCGTAAATGAGGGCGAAGATTTAAATGAAGATGCCGAAAAAGATTCAGATTCAGGTAATTTGAAAAAAAAGCATATTAATATTAAAAATGAACATAGAAATATTATGAATTAATATATAATATCACCTTATAGGTGATATTTATAATCCAAAAAAAGATGGTCATAAATTTAAAAATAAATCGCCAAAAACTAGAAAACCTAGGAAAAGTAAGAGTCCTGGTGGTAAGCGGAAAATGTTGAATGATGGAACACCGAAACAAAGAAAAAAACCTGGTCCAAAACCTGGAAGTAAAAATAAATCACGCAAACAAAATTTTTTATTTAGTTCTGTTATTCAAAGGAGAGATGATCAAGACAGCGAAAAAGATATCATCGCGAATGTCATAGATAATCCTATAGGAGAGATAGATACCAAACTCGATGACAATCTTTCAGAGAATGTAGGTTTAACTGGTACAGCTATGTCAGTAGCAAGTTCTTTTACTGGGGATGTCCCAGAGGGTTCCTTAACAGTACTTGGGCCTAGTGAATTGGCTGATTTAGATGATGAACAATTAGAGCAAATGATGATGGAGGACGAAGAATATGGCAGACGACAGTTGGAACTTGCAGCTATTGAAATAGCGAAAAAGAAAAAGAAAGAAGAACGAGAAGCAAAAAAATTAGAAAAGGCACGATTAAAAGCACTAGAGATATTGGCAGCTGAAAGGCAACGAGATCCTAACGCGCCAGAAGGAACTGACGGAGATGTACCAAAGAAGAAGAAAAGAGGCCGTCGGAGTAAAGCTGAAATTCTTGCAGAACAGATGCGCAGGGATGGAGCGCCAAATTTGAGTACTACTACTTTGGCTGCTAGCGTTCCACAAAATTTGATAACTACTATGCCATCTAATATTACAACCAATATGTCAGCGATTATGACGCCTGATGCAGAAAGAACAGGCGAAGGACACATTCCCATGATGACAGGACCAGATGGACTTTTTAATCCTGATGGATCACCTATGAAACCTAAAAGAAGAGGACGTGGCAAGGGTAAAAAGACTCTTGCGCTGGAAGCGGCTAGAGCTGCTGAAGCAGCAGCAAAAGCTGCTGCTGAAGCTAGTTTAATTGGAATGGGCACTGATTCCAATTCGGAGATGAAACCTAGCGAAATCCCGAATGTACTTCCTACACCAGGTAGTAGTACCTCCGGTTCGGCTCCGTCCACCCCGCCTGCTGGTGTTGTTACAACACAAGGACCACCTTCCTCGCAAACTCCGACTTCACAAACTGTTTATCCATCATTGCCGCCTAATCAACAGTCTTCCGTTATCACCAGGATGCTTCAGTCTCAACCTGTGTCGAGTAGTCCACAATCGTTCTCCGCTGCAGCTGCAGCAATGGGACATAAATATTTTGGTGGACCAAACGCTGGGAGTCAAATAATGGGCGGACCTAGAACAGGTTACGAAATGCAACCACGCGGAAGAATACCTTCTCCATACAGACAAGCGGGACAATCCTCTATACCACCTCATTTTGCTGCTGTAAGATCAGGATCTCCGTCAATGAGAATGAGGGTGCCTGGTCCACAGATGTATCACACCCCGCATCATCCAATGGATCCTTCTCCATCAGGTGGTGGACCAATATCAATTAACAATCGAGATCGTAGTTCTCCACTTGGTCCTGGACCTGCAATGATTCCACCCGCTGCTGGAAGTCCTTTAGCAAAAGGTGGTCCTACACCTCCCCCACCTCCTCCGTATGTCAGAGGAGCACCTTCCATGTCTAGGTTTACAGATAATCCCATGGGTACCAGACATCAAATGCCGCCTTTCACTAATGCTTCACCGGTAAATCATAATATGCAACAACCATCGCCACCTCCTAATCGACCACCTGGTAATTTTTCACCATATCATCCTCCACCTCCTAATTATCACTATGGTGCCTATCCACCTCCACCGCCGATGTCCACAGCAGATGATGCAGCCGCATATCAAGGATCTCCTTATCCTGCGGATCATTTTTCCTCCTCTGCAGATAATCAACCACCCATTCAAGCTCCACCTCCCCCTCAGCCTCCACCCCAACAGCAAACGCATGCAAATGATGCTAATGCTGGAAATAAACAGTACGATGAAGAAGGTACTGGAGAGTTCGGCGGTTTAGTATCATATTTCAGTAGTCAGAGAGAAGATGATCTTGATTCGTAGCATGAGTGAGATCTTGGCCAACCCTGAAACTTTATGTAGGATGCATTCGATAGTGGTATTTTAACGATCAAGTAAGATCACAACTTTTGCTCGAGAGGGACAAGTACAAGAGAAACATAAAAGGAGTTAGCAAGATGTAACGTAATCGTAAATAAAAAATAAAAGTAGATACACATCTGTATCTACTTTATGTATATTATACATATATGTGTCGGGGCATTGGAATGTTTGAAATAACGATGAAAGAAAGAGTATTTGCATAACATATGATGATGTATGTTCTAACATTATTTTATATGCATATTGTACTGTTTTAAAAAATAAGAGAAAAGTAGAATTTAGAATTGTCTTCCTCTTTGACCTCTTAAGCAAACAGTTGTTCAAAACCTTACTTTCGAAATAAAGAAAAAGAAAGCCGCCAAAACCAAATCCGAGGTTGGCCAAGCAAATATAAAGAAAAAATATTATATTAATCACTAACAATGGAGCCTATTTCCTAAAAGTTGTAAGCTTTTTGTAATTAGTTCAAGTTTGATTAAATTTATATAAAGCAAACGAGACCAGCCGCTAGTAACAACGTAAGTTGCGTATTGCTAGAGAAAGGATTATACAAAAGATCTGACCAGAATTTTAACTAAACATTCATTAGTATTTACAAGGGAAATTTGTGCACAGTTACTTCTGAATCCATTGTAGGTGTGTAGATGTCCTTTCCCAGATAAACATTTGCTGTTGAAAAAGTCGATCTTAGTAGTAATCAGGAGAAAAATTAAAACAAATTCAGACTATGCGCCGTTGTTATATGTATATATGTAAATACAATAAGTCCTTTAGATTATATTATATTATATGTATTATATATACACAGTCACGCAAAACACTATAAAATGAATTAGTGCAAAGGGCACAAATGTAATATTTAAATTAAAACGAAAGAAACGGCATCCGATTATAATAAATTAACAAATGGTGTGAAGACTACTACTATAATTATTTATAAAAAAAATTAAGAATTTATGACAGGTAGTATGTATATTGTATTTTACAAATTTTACTTGATAATTATAATAAAAGAATAAAATATTTGGATATAGTGGTATTAGAGAACAGGAGGCTGCTAAGTCCAATTCTAAGAAAGTGAAAAATAAGAAATTTAATGAAACTGACGTTAGGCGTGTGTAGATAATCTGAAGAAATAGCTTAAAGGAAAAAAGTTTTTATTCTATTATGGCGTGCAATTACAAATACATATAAATACGTTTACGTGTAACTGCATATGTGTGAATATATATGACTTTCTTCTCTTTTTTTTTATATGCAACAATGTTGGAAACCAATTAAAATATTTTTTTTGTTTTTTATTTTTTTCTATATTCTTTTTTTGGAAAATCTTTTTAAGATAATTTTTAAGCTTTTAAAAAAAGAAGAAATATATATATATATATATATATATATATATATATATATATATATACACACACACCATAATAATAATACATAAAGAATTAATTAAAATATACGAACATTTCGTATTATTAAAAACCGTGAACTAGACTCAAATTCAAAGTTTGTGCCTATAGAGCAACTTTGAAAAATCTATTCGTTGAATCCACTTCTTGGATAAATGTTCAAAGAATATTTATTCAATCAGTGAATAGAAACAAAATTGGATAAAGTGATTCACTGAACAGATACAAAAAGAGGTGACAAAGTAATCAAGATAAAAAGTGTTATTTTAACATTTATTTTTCATTTTACATGACAGCCTCCTGCTCTTTGATAAATTCGCAAAGCTGGTAGTGTCTTTGCGTCGCAAAAAATCATGTATCTGTTTAGTTATCACAAGTACATGCATACCTAATACAAATAGAAGTTATATAAATAAAAAAAAAAGGAAATACATTATCTTAGGATTAGCTGCTTGGGATAGTTTCCTTTACTTCGTCGAATGTTTAACAACCGAATTTGAACGATTATATACACACATTACAACACGCCGTATAATGTAATAGAGAGTTTACTACCGATAATTTTATTATTTTTACATCTATACGATATATTTCAGTTGTATATTGTTTAATGTGCAATCTATTGTACATTATCTATTGTCTTCTTTAAATGTAACATATGTCTTCGGACCATTCGTTCTTACGGTACGCTTCAAGGAAAATGCGAATTTTTAATGTAAGTTTTTTTACAAATGCTCGAATGTTTATTAGAACCATGTAAAGCATTCATCGTATTGTAAAATATTATCACATGCAATTTATGATTATATCTCGGAAAATGGAGATTAATCTTTGATAACAGAATGATCGTGCATATTTATATTAAAGAAAAAAAAAATTGAATCTTTTCGATATGTCCGAAGACTCGTTTTTTATCCGACTTTGGATTCCTCTAAACGAAAATTTAAAAAAAGAAAATGAAATAAATTTTTTCAAGAAATATGTATATATAATATATTCATATATATTTGTATTGCTTTTAGGCATGGTATGTGTCCACACTTAGAGAAATTCGTATAGCTCATACAAGATATATTTATGATAACACAATGATTTGATCTCAAAACTGGCGTATCAAACGTGATTCATACAACTTAAAAAGAGGTACTTCATTTTCATACATGTACCAATTCTTTTCGCATTTATAAATGTTTCCTTGAAACGTAAACGGACGAAGTGTCTTATCGAGACAAATGTGGTGCAGTTTAGCTTTTCTTTTTCGTAAGGGTCTAGACCAAACGCAATTATTATATTACATGTTGTAGCCTAAATACATTTTGTAATAAAATTCAATATATTGAATATCATAGAATGTTTTTTCTTTTTTTTTCTATACGTTGAATTTTAATGCACTTTAGAAGTTTATTTAAGAAAAATTTATTTATTTATTATTTGTTTGTTTTCAATCATGTTATTCTATAATATAAAATTTTAATATTATAAATATATACATATTGCAAGTCAATTATTTATTTTGGTATAAAAATCAAAATGATAGAAGATATATGTTAATTTAATATACCGTAATATTAATTTTTTCATTTAAAATGAAAATAATATTGAAACATTGCATGTAATCTTTCTATTATATATGATGCTCTTAAATATATATATACATATATACACAATTCATGCATATATGTATATATACACATTTTATGTTCTTTTCCTAATCATTTTAATTTAATAGAAATATAAGTATAAAGTGCGTGTGTGTAATTTTCGTACAGTTATTTAAAAAAAAGAATAAAATATTACACGAAAAAAATCTTTTAAACTTGTCATACATTTTATAACAAATACAGTGATTTTTTTATTTTGTATACAATAGTTATATTAGAAGTAAGAAAACTTAATTTAAAGTTTGCAATCTAAGTTGTTGTTTGGTATACAACACTGAATATCATTTAACAATTTTAACTTTATTATAAAATACTTTCTTATTTGTAGGTTTTACTTCACCAAATCTCACTTTTCTTTTTTCTATTCTAGCTTCTAATTCAGCCTGAAATAAAATACAATTATGAAATAATTATTAAATAATACATTAATATAGCATTTAAATTTTTCATTAATTTTATTTATTACCTTTTCCATTAAACTAGAGACAGATGTACCAAATCTTTCTGCTCGTTTTTTTAACACTTCGTAAGTTGTATGCTGCAAATGTACAAAATGAATTATATTACAAAAAACATTAAAAAATATATTTATAGTTAGATAAATATATATACCACAGGTGTTTTTACAGATGCAGCTGACTTATTATTTTGATTATTAATACTGAATCTTGCAGATCTGGCTTCCTTCTTTGCAGCTTCTGATAATGGTAATCCAAATTTCTTAGCTCTCATTTCTAATCTCTATTTAATAAGATAAATCATATCATTATTTTATATTTAATTTCTATATTTCAGTTAAGTATAAAAAAAAAGAAAATATTACCTCTTTGATACCAAGCTCTGATAATTTAATTATTTTTCTTTCTGGTGGCACAATCTCAATAGTTTTTGTATCAGTCTCAATTTTTTCTGTCTGTTCATTCTTAATTTCTTCAATTACTGGCTTTCGATTTAGAACTATTTTCTTTGCACTTACATTACTTTCAGTAGATAATTTTCTTTTCTCACTACCTTCTTGTGAATCAGGTTTATTTGATAATTCTTCTATTTCTTCATCCTATTTAAGCGAATACATTTCTTACACTTGCATTGTTAATGTTAGTTAATGTTGCAAGTGAATAATAAATAAATTTGCTTTTTTTACTTACACCAAGAACTGCATCTTCATCTAAAATTTCTTCCGCAGTCTCATCCAAAGATAATGCAGAATCTAACAACAAAAATATTGTTTTATTAATCTGTGATATTTACAAAAGAGAATATAGTTCAAAAGTCATTCAAAAGTGTATACCACCATGAATTGCTAATTGAAGTCTTTCAACCAATTCATTCTTGTTACCAGTAATAGGTAGTCCTCTTTGTTTCAACTCAATTTTTAAATCTGCAACCTGTTCAATAATATTCTATAGTTATACATAATTCTCTTTTATAGTTATTAAGATCTATAAATATTTTTTATACTTAATAAACAAAATATATAACTTTTAAATATTAAAGATTATCTAATATAATTATACAAGCTAAACAGAAATTAATATATAAAAAACTATTTTATGTTACAAAAAAATTTGTCCTAATTTTGAGGTTAGCTTCCCGGGTGTAGTTGCGTATCAATAAGATGCATATGGAATACCTTCATTTTTGAAAGTTCTGTAAGCCCTTTTTCATAAGATGAATCAGCCATGATGTATTAATATTATTTTCTTTCAACTAATATCCCTTTTTGATGCCTGATTAACATGTCACAATTTTACACAGAGTATTTTCAAGTGGTCAGAGAATAAATCAAATTGAAATGCATACAACACAAAAAGGTTTGATGTCACTATCTTTAATGTGGACTAACCTTTACTGATCTATAAATATTATGTCAAGAAAAAATCATCGACTTTTGTTTTTAATAAATGAAACTGAATATAATGAAACTGAAATGTTTATTTTGAAAAAATGTAACTTTTCAGTTAGCCGGACGTGTATGTTTATTTGTTACTAAATAATTCAAATATCTCTATATATGGATTGTTTTTCGAGGTATCGATTACTTGCTACAATACGACATACAATAGAGATACAAAACCTAAATTAAAACACGTTTATGGTTTATGGATTAACATAGAAACCATAGATCATTGTATTTGTAATAATAATTATAATAACTTACAATGGTAGATGAATCAACAAAGAAGACATTAAGTAATATTCCGTTATTACAAACAAAAGCAGGACCTAGGGATAAAGAATTATGGGTTCAAAGATTAAAAGAAGAATACCAAGCTCTAATTAAAGTAAATTTTATTTTAAATATTTTGATTTACCATATGGTTGCATAAACTTCCTGATAAAAGAACTATTTTTACTTAAATAAGCACTTGATATTGATTTAAAAAATTTTGTGCTTATTTTTCAGTATGTAAAAAATAATAAAGAATCTGACAATGACTGGTTTCGTTTGGAATCAAATAAAGAAGGTACAAAATGGTTTGGTAAATGTTGGTACATACATAATTTTTTAAAATACGAATTTGACATTGAGTTTGATGTAAGTATATTTTTTGTATATTCATTAAATATACAAAGTTTATTTTTTAACTTTTTGATAAAACATAATTTTGTATATATTTAGATACCTGTAACATATCCTATAACCGCACCTGAAATTGCTTTACCAGAACTAGATGGTAAAACAGCAAAAATGTACCGAGGTGGAAAGATTTGTCTTACTGATCATTTTAAACCATTATGGGCACGTAATGTACCAAAATTTGGAATTGCACATGCCATGGCACTTGGAGTAAGTTTTTGATCTTTTATCTGTAAGCTCGTGTTTATATTTATAAATAAATTTTTAAACCAGATTTTGTTGTAACATATATTTAGAAAATTTATTATATTTTCAGCTTGGACCTTGGTTAGCAGTTGAAATTCCTGATCTTATAGAAAAAGGTGCTGTATTCCATAAAGATAAAATTGATGAATATAAATCATAATTATAAGAGAAAATATATAATACAAATAAAAATGTTAGTTAATAAGATGAATTACAAGATGATTTATATAATATATTAAATTTTATATTTAATACAAATATTTTTCATATTATTTGTCTTCATCTATTTTAACATTTTTTGTTTCTTGTATAATTTCGTCTAATTTATATAAATTTTTGAGTGACACCTTTCCACTACCTCTTTCTAAAGGTTTGGGTTGTGACGGATCTGGCTTCCAACCTAATAGATAAATTATTTGAAATGTAGCAGGTACATATGGAGTACCATCTTCTTTCATTTTTCCATATAATTCTTTGTATATTGCTGCTGCAGCAAGAACAGTATCTTTATTTAAACGTAATTTTCGGTTTCTTATTGCATTATTCTCTGCCATTCCTGTAAAATTACATAAACAATTGAACGAATTCAGCTATGCGAAGTACAAATAAAAATTCTAAATATCACCTTTTAAATCCCACATTAATTCAAACATGTTTGGATATCCAATAACAATTTCATCCACATCAATAGTTAACATAGTAAAATTAGCTCTTGTCAATAAGCTACCAATGTCTCTAACATCTGCAAATGGAGAGATATGTGCTGAAATCCCACCATCTCTTTCTAATTCTGCTAATTGTAAAGAACTCCTAAAAAAATAAAAATCGACACTTGTGTATTTATCATATATGTAACTTTTAAATTACCTTAATTCAAATAATGTTTCTCCTCCAAACAAAGCTCCTATGAAAACTCCATCATTTTTTAAACTTTTATTAATATTTTTAAAACATCCTGGTAAATCATTCACCCAGTGTAGACTTAATGAACTTATTACTAAATCTAAACTATTTTGTTCAATTGAAAAGTTTTCTTCATCCATTGCTATCCGTGATATTTTAATTCCTTCAGTAGCTTCTGCTTGATTTACAAAACTAGTTGACATGTCAGCTAAAATTAATTCTTGCACACATTCTGTTAAAATATGTTTTGATACATAACCACGACCACATCCTAAATCAAGTGCTTTTTTAAAGTTTCTTTTTATATCAAATATTCTATCTGCAAGTCTATAGCCTACTTCATCTTTGATGTAATCATATAGTTTTACATCAGCTGCTTGTGCAGCACGTTCTTTCTGCAGCAATTTTGTATTTCTATTAAAGATATACATTACACTATCTGTTGGTAAAGCATAATTTGTGGCGCTATAATTTATGTTACGAATATATCGAATATTAAATGTAAATGATAAGCACCGTTCGAGCAAGATAGACATTTTTTGCTGTTGAAAATTTTCTTACGTATTTTACTCTAAACTAAAATATACAAAATATTTGAACGAATAATAATATTTATTATTTTTATAATACTTTATAAATGTACATCTTTTATTAAAATCTTGTGCCTAATGATCTTAGTACATGTTGTACAAGTTTGTACAACATAACCTCTAGATACACAGTATGTATTATAATATTAATATATATTTGATATATAGAATATTAATTTATATTTAATCCTAATTAATCAAACTTTCTAAAATTTTTACCACTTAATTTTTTAATTTTTTATAAGATATATTAGAAAAATGTTTCATATTTTTTTTAATGAAAAAAAAAAGAAATATTTAATATTTTGTTTTATTTAATTACAATTATAATTTTATTTTAAAATTTGGAAACAAAAAATTATAAAATTATGGTTTATATTTTTTTTAATGTAATTAAAATCTAGTTTTTTATGGCAACATTTTATTCTTACATTATTTTTATAATTAAATACTTATTCTTACAATTAAAAGTTTTATAATATATAGCCTTTAAACTAAAACAAAAATATATTTTCAAATTTTTTAAATGTAATAATTCTTTCTTCCCTTTTTTCTCATTTTTTACATCTAAACCTTATTTTATATAATTAATAGTAAGATTATTATATGTTATTTAACATTACGTACGTCTATTTATTATTGTTCATGAAAATCCAAACTACCTACAGTTAAACGTAAATCTGTTATTTAATAGATTATATAATTTAAAATATGCATAAAAATTACAATCTTTAAAAGTCAATATCAATATAATATTTATATCATGTTTTATATATAAAATTTTATAACATAAACTTTTTAATGCCATAGTTAGTATCACATGTGTCTTCGATAGTACTAAGATACAATAATATTTAGAAGCATAATATAGAACATTTCTCCAAAACCAAGGTACATTAATTTAATAAATGCAACTGTTTTATTCCTAAGAACATATATATCAAAATTATAGAATATTTATTATTTAAATAAGTATAAAAATTATATTATTGTTATATAATTATAAATATAACGCTTGAAATTATAATATAATACATAAATAAAATTTTACTGTAAATAAAGAAATCAATATTTAAATTTAGAATTTTACAAAATATACAAAAAAAAATTTAATATAATTTTTAAATTATTGAAACTAATAAAACAGTTATTGATTTGGTTTCGGAATAATGTAACAGATTTATAATTCGATTTGTAAGGCAGGACCTCACTCAGATGTATACTTCATAGTGCCTTAATGCATTGATCATATATATATTTCAAATATTAGAAACAAATACAAAAAAATATATGAAATAGGCATTAATAATATTGCAGCACATACAATTTGATATACATGCAATGTATGTTTTTATAAAAATTTAAGAAAATACATACAAAATATAAATATTATAATAAATTCACTATAACATGTTGCATAATCTTATTTAATTTTCAGAATGAAGGTAATGAAATTCGTAAATGATAAAAATGATAAAATTTGTGCACAAATAGTGAAAAAAAATTTTAACGAGTATACATATTAAAATATAAAAATTTTAACTTTAATTTTCATATTTATCACAATGCTATCTCTTTTAATATTAAAATAAACTTTTTTATAATTAAATGAATAAATTTCAATATTATTATTTATAATATAATTAAGTACAAGTAACATTTTAATTGCAATAAAAAAATTGACACATTTTGTGATATACATAAAACTGAATATATCATCTTTGTGTGTTCTGCCTTGTAATATAACAAAGTTTACAAATAATAAATATTTCTCATTTATAATCTTTGAATAGATATTAAAAAAAAATTCTATGTAAAAAAGATCAGTCCTAAATATTACTAGATAATTTGTACAATTATATAATCACAATGAAAACAAATGTTAATATATTTTGAGGCACAATATATATTACACCTGAAACTTAGAAAAATGTTTAAAATGTTATATATGAAAAAAATATCGAAATTTTAAGAAAAGATATGATAATAAACCTGGAAAATAAACATAAAAAATGATAACCTTAAAAAGATAAATGGTTGAAATATAGATAGCGAAATAATATGAAAGCAATTATACTTCGATTACACTTAACGTAATTACTATTGAGACTTTGCATTCTAAATTCTTTTTCTGTGTTCTAGTACTGTGATTAAAATTGCAAAAAAAAAATTATCAGTTTTTCTATAATATATTCTAACACGCTATCGCTTATTTTTAATCAACAGTTCAAGTGCCAAGTGATATAATTTCTACATATTTTGTATGTTCACGTGCATACGTAAATAAATACATGCGGTATGTAAATTGGATTTGAACGCATTATGATAACAAATATTTGAAATAACCAATTTGAAAATTAAATTTTTATAGAATAGGTATATCGATAATATCGAAAGCTCAGAACCACATATGGTAAGAGTAACAAAGCCTCTTCTTTGCTTTTAAAAAATTTCGTTATTTGATGACATTAATATTACTTTGGCCTTAAATTACTGATAGGAGTGGCTAATGTAAAATGTGCTGATGTTGAAAGAGTTGTCGCAGCACATGTAGGGACCGAAATATCGCCCATAGTTGTAGCATTTGTTTCACTTTTATATCGTATGTTAGTATATTCTCGACCTAAATGTAGAGATTTCTGTAAATATAATAAAATGTAAATCAATAAAAGCTGTAAAAATATAGTTAATAATTAATTTCATAATAATTATAATTACTTGCTCTGCTTGCATCCGCTGAGATACAGTTTCAATATAGTGTAATACGGCCAAATAAACAAACTTATATTGTGCTTCTGTTTGAACCATTCCTGATCTTTGTGAACGTACTCTTTGAATTGTTCTCTGAATATCAATTTCACAATCCAATCCTACAAATATAACGTAAAAAAATTCTTGAACATGTTACCTAAAATATGAACTCCACATAAAGTTAGTTAGTCAGTAAGATAGAAATATCATTACCATGACGCTTAATTTGATCAAGAATCATATCGATAACAATAAATGTTCCGGTTCTACCAATTCCAGCACTACAATGTACAAGAATTGGCCCTATGCTTGATGTGTTTTGACCGTTTGAAACAAGAGAAGCAGCAATTGACTCTTGTCTCGCATTAACATCGTGAAGGAAATTTAATACACACCCAGGATCAGACGGAACACCATGATCAGGCCATGCCTAAAATATTTATATAATGCAATCAATTTATTTTTTTAAAATGTATGTAGGAATTTTATAAATAAAAATAGATACTTGAAAATGATAATGGTAAATCCGTCTAGATTCTGTAAAACCTGACTTATTTCCGTTTAATAAGAATTCTCGCAATGTATAGTCTGCCGTAGAAGTACGAGATAAAGCACGCACTTTCCATTCACCTCCATATTCGGTAATGTCACCTTCTTCTGGCCAATAGCGAGCACATTTATTCTAAAAAAACATATTTTAAATATAAAATTTCACTCAAAAAAAAAAAAAAAAAATAGTTTCGAACATCGTACCTTTCCTCTTTCCATTTCTTTAGTGGTCATAACTATCACTCGAGTATTTTCTTGATATACCATATGCCAAAAATCTTGAATTGTATTTGGGAGGCAACCTTGTGTTGCAATATAACATTTATTAAATGAACCACCATCACCGCAAGTGTTAATTCCACTAGCTTGTCCATCTCCTTCTTCATTCTATAAATATACACATGGAAATACATATTAAAAATAGATCTTTTTTTTTTTAGTATTTATTATATAAAATATTGCAATGACTACAATTTATATAAAATACCACAAATACGAAAATAATAAATAAATTTACCTTAATATAATTAGCATTAATATAGTCAGATCCAGGAATATTTGGGTCTACATCTTTCAAACGTACTCTTGTATGATCAACTATAGAACAATGATTAAAGTTTATGGAAGACAATTAAGTTAAACGAATAAACAAATAAAAGACTCTTACATGGTAAAATATTTTTATATCGATTCTTTGCTCGATTTTCAGGACGCAATCCTTCTTTTCTAGAAAACAAATGACGACATTCTAACTGTTGTAGTGACTCAAATTCTTCCCAAAAACCGGCTTTTCCTTTACCACGCCCTACTCCGCCTTCATTACTACCTGTGGCTCCATTCCACAACCATCCATTTGAACAACCATTTTCTTTATGTAATTGTCTTACTCTACTTTCAATACCACTAGCATTTATACGAGTAGCATTGAAAGGTTGTCTAAAAAATAATAAATATATCATGAAGATATGTATAACTTATGAAAAATTAATAAGTTTTTATATTACCGTAAATGAACAACACTTCCACTTGTTTCAACCATTGGATTGCGTTTATAATGTTCTATTAAATCAGTTAAGCTATCAAATTTATCACCTCCGCCAACATCATATTTATTATCCTGCAATATTTATTATTTCCAATAAAGAAACACTAAAGATTTTAATTTATAATATATATATATATATTATAAAATATATTTATTTATATATATTTATTTATAATATATATATTATAAAATATATATATATAAATATTAAAAATAATGAAGATGTACAGTAAAAAAATACAAAATGTAATTAACCTGAGATCGTATTATAACATGTGTAACACGATCATCTGTGCGAACAGATAATACAAAGTCACCAGGTTTACTCTGGGATTCACGAACCAGAAAAGATCCATTTTTACCTCGCTCCAACATTAAACGTTCTGCTTCTTTAGCTGATAAATGGCCATGGAACCACCTTTACCCATATTTTACTATTAACACATACCATGCTATATGCGTGCATTTGAAGTAACAGTAACAAGAAAATATTGCAATACATAACAAACTTCGCTGTAATGTTTATTATGAAAAATATTATGTACATGTTTTATCTTGATTGAACAAATACCTTTCAGTCGTTGGATCTGCACAATTCAGTGGATATTTCAATTCAATAATTTCTCCATTTTTTTCGCGCAATTGTCCTCCATTTTCCATGTAAAACTGTACAAGTTCTGATAACGTTGCAAATTTTTCACCACCGTAAAGATCATAGAAATCGCCTGTATTTTGTATTTTAATATGAGTTACTTCACCATTCCGTCTAAGAACAACATAAAGATATCAAATGTCTTACAATTCAAAATATTGATGAAACAAACATAATTATAATCTGTATATATATTGTGTATATATACCTAACAGATAATGTAAAGTCACCAGGATTAGATGAACTTGGACGTGCCAAAAATGAACTATCATAACCCCGTTCCATTAATAAACGTTCTGCTTCTAAACCCGATATATTCGGATGAAACCATCTGCAATAAGAACATTTATATTCTTATAATGTAAAAAACCTTCTTCTAAAACAATATATAGAGCAGAATCTTTATTTTGAGACAATAGTAATTTTAATTTTACCTCAAAAATCTGTAATGTATTCAAATTATTTTTATACTTAATATTCTATTGATCCTTCCAGTATATTAAATTTATATTTATTTGTTATTAATAACAGTAACACAAACAAATAATATTATTAAATGTATTGCACGTAAATAATTGGAGATATGTATGATCAATGCGTATATAAAACGAAATTGTATCCATTTTTGGACACGAAGAATTCAACGACATCAATTGATTTAAATGGACATAGTTTACCTCTAAATCTATTTGGCTAATCCATCAGCTAGCTCCGATAAATGAATGGACTTGTTCAGATCATCCGTGAATTACTATAATTCTATATTTTTTTACGCAAGTATAAAAACGTGCCTCACCTGCGAGATGCCATATCGTGATTCCAACTATGACCAGCTGGTTATTAATAATTCATAATGCTACATCGATATTCACACTTATAATATGCAATTATAATTACTTTCAATTTAATACTAACTATACATCGCCTCAATCTTTGACATATTCACTTCGCACGAAAACAAAAAGACCGAAGATACTAAAAGAGTCTGTCATTGATCTGTAGTATTTAGAACGGATACCTGCAAAGCAGCAGAGAAACTTAATGTCAATTTCATACGTTTCAAATTGTAAATAACACGTTCTTAACAAACTTAAACATGATAAACGTTTGTCGGTTGTATTATTTTTTAAATTCATATTATTATAATTTCAAGTTAAGAAACTGAATCAATTTGCAAGTTCCTATATATTACAATACGCGAGTTATTAAATTAAGTTTTCTTATGTAAATTGAACGATAATACTTCTAATATTAAATATTAACGATACTTTTTACATTTAAAAAAAATTCTGTATTTGATAATTTAATAGTATAAGAACGTTAATTTCATGCGAGTACCTCGTATTATTATCAGCGTTTCATACACAAATTTTTATATAATAATAAAAATGATTAATTATTTCATGTAATATCAATAAAGCAAATATTATTCAATAAGTAACTGTAATTTATCTTAGATTCATAAATTTACAAGTATATAAGTAGAATCGTACAAATGTGTATATATATATATATTACGTATATATAAAAGTATCTATTTCAATTAGAAATGGAGGAGAGTGGAGACAATGTAAATGATTATCGCTTACAATAAAAAGAGCAAAGTAATTTAAAATGTAAAAAAATCATTTTTTATTAGAATTAGAAATTATAGTGCAATTATTTATGTTATAGTGTATCATATTGGAGAATGCTGAGTATCAATGTATTTTATAATCTTATTACGAGATGCGAATTTTGTGAATGTGGAAATCATCAAAATATATTCACTGAATATAAATCGTTTCAATTGGACGTTTTGACATCTCACTTATGATAGATTGCGCTGTAATCAGAGTACTTAAATGATTAATACACATTTCTCAAAATATATATTCAACACTGTGTCGCATGTTCCTGATTGCAAGTTACTAAATATTTAATTAATAGAATAGTCAAAAAGTTTTTTTATATAAAGATGGGTCAACATGTTTCAAGAACTGATTTTGAATGGGTTTATACTGAGGAACCACATGCTTCACGGCGTAAAATAATTTTAGGTATGAATACGAAGTATTTTGAATTTATAATTTCTCTTAATTTATTTCTGAAATAAAAATCTAGTTTATTTAACGAAATGTTATAAATGAAACTAACAAATATTGAATGATATTAATATTTAAAAATTAAGTTGATAGTTTTTTCAATATAAAAATTTTAATTCATCATACACTAAGTTTATAATACATAGTATACATTTCTATAAGATATATTAAAATATTTCTCTTTCCTTTCAGAAAAATATCCACAAATAAAAAAATTATTTGGATATGATCCAAAGTTTAAATGGGTGGTAACGGGGATGGTTTTAACTCAGTTTATTTCTATGTTTTTTGTGAAAGATTTAAGTTATCCAATGTTGTTTCTTTTAGCATATTGTTTTGGAGGTGTAATTAATCATTCTCTTATGTTAGGTAAGTAGAAATATTCTTTAATTAATTTGGATAAAATATTTAACATGTGTATATATTATATATTGTTAAGTTTATATGAAATAGAAAAAAGCATCTATTTTTATATATTATTATTAAAGATTTGTTTGACTGTAGAAATTATTAAATATTAATAATTTTTATACTACAATATCTACAATATCAGTTCAAGAGAAATGACTCATTAATTCTTATTAATTCTTTAATCTAATCTAATAGATCTGAGTACATATTATAAATATGATATATAATTTTTATCTTTAATATTTGATATTAAATTTAATTAAGTATATTATTTTGTTCATAGCAATACATGAAATAGCACATAATCTTGCATTTGGACATGCTAAACCCAGAGCTAATAGATTATTTGGATATTTTGCTAATTTACCTATAGGCATACCAGTATCAGTTAGTTTTAAAAAATATCATCTTATACATCATCGTGTAAGTACAGATATAATATGTTAATAAATACAAATTAATTTAATAATGAAATTATAAAGACAAAATAATATTTATATACTAAGTATAATAAATAAGTGTAATACATTTTAATAAATAAATTACAGTATCAAGGAGATGAGAAATTAGATACAGATTTACCAACATTACTAGAAGCAAAATTATTTTGTACAACATTTGGAAAATTCTGTTGGTTATGCCTACAGCCATTTTTTTATGCATTTAGACCTCTTGTTGTTTATCCATTGGCACCTACATTAATGGAATATATAAATTTAGTAATACAACTTAGTTTTGATGGATTGATATGGTATTTTTTTGGTATGGTTTTTTATTTCAGTAATCATAATAGTATTATATTTCACTAGAATTGTATTACATAAATATTATATTATAGGTGGAAAAGTCTTAGTTTATTTATTATGTGGATCAGCAATGGCAATGGGATTGCATCCTGTTGCTGGACATTTTATATCAGAACATTATATGTATAGAAAAGGTTTTGAAACATATAGTTATTATGGTCCATTAAATTGGATTACATTTAATGTTGGATACCACAATGAACATCATGATTTTCCTGCTGTTCCTGGTTCAAGATTACCAGAAGTAAGTGTAATCCACTTTAACAAGAAGTATCATTTATATCAACAGATATTTGTCTTTACTTTTTAGTTGTAAAAATATTTATTTTTTCTTTTTTTTTTAGGTAAAACGAATAGCTTCCGAATTTTACGATAACTTACCACAACATAACTCTTGGGTTTCTGTTTTATATGATTTCGTTATGGATCCTGATATAGGCCCATATGCGAGAACCAAACGAAAGCATAGGGGACTCACTTCATAAAAAATTTAGATAATTTTAGCAAGTAATATTGTGATTAGCATCTGAAGCTTAATATTACACAAATTAAAAAATATTCTTATTAATTTATTATGTTATATAAATTAAATATTAGTAAAAGAACACATTATATTATTAGTAACACATTTTAAAGAAGTATTAAAGTTTTTTAGCTTTTTCTCATGTTTGGAGTATTTATGAAATTATAAATACGTAAGTAAGTGGAAGATGCTAAACTGTGAACAATTTTCTATTTTCTAGTGTCTGTGAATAACTGTACTAAAGTTGTAATAAAGAATACTGAATATGTATACAATTATTAAGAATATTTTATATATATATATATATATATATATATATATATATATATTTTTTAAGCAGCCTATGTAAATGGAATTTCATAATTTTGTAATCTAGTCATAATGGAATAAATTCTTTGTTATAAACAATAATGCTTTAATTACATAAATTTATTTTAATTATATAGAATTTAATAAAAATAAATATTAACCTAATTATATAGTAATAATAATTATCACATTGAAAATTTATGTTTGAAAAAATAAATGGTATAATTATGATTATATCTTCATGAATTTGTAAATTCTTTACGACTATTTTCGTCGGTATGAAATTTTGAAATTGAACACGATACCCAATTTACCAACTTATATATCTTAAGATTCCTATTTACTATTAATGGTAGTTCACATCTACCTTTCTATTGTAAACTATATCTTCAATTAAACGATTAAAATACATTTCTTACATATTGATTATATATGATTATTGAACTTGAAAATTTGATAGACTTAGGAAACTAAATTTTAGTTTCATGCATAGTGATAATAAGAAATGAAAGTATGATATCAAATTTGTCATGTAATTAAAATTTCAATGAAGATTGTTGATATTTATAGGTCATTTTTTTCGAAACGTCATAACTTAATGAAAACCGATGAAATTATGTTTTTTATTTCAGAGAGATTATAAAGATTTATTAACTGAAAGATGCCTGCCTATATCTGTTTTAACTAAGGATGTCATGAAATAGACAATAAAAGTAAAATACAATTCGGTCTGAAAGGATAATTTTCGTTTTGTATGATTTAATAGATACGTAATGGCAGAAGATAAGTAATGAAAACAAAATAATATTTGTTTATTTATCATAATATGACTTCTTGTAAAGAAAGTTACGGTTTCGTATGTACGCTTTGTGCAAAGTGTCTGCAATGGTGCATCGGTCAGATAATGGTAAAAATAATGTTTACATGAATGATATAATTCTGCACACATGTATATCTACAATACAGTGAATAGAATGGGAAAGCAAAACGGATCTTGTTGGTGGTTTGTGAAAGCCGTAAAATGGATACCAGTTATTTTTATTTTAACGATAGTCTTATGGTCGTATTATGCTTATGTGGTGCAGTTATGTTTTTGTAAGTGTTTTCATAGATTGTTCATTCAATTTTCGCTAACGAAAATTTTGTAACAAAAATAAAATTTAATTATTATTTTTAATATTTTACATTTGTAATTATGCATAAACTTTTGATCATGTGTACTAATAATCCTATTTTTCATTCTAGATACTGTAGATAATTATGTTCAAAAAGGTTTGTATTAATAGAATTATTAATAGAATATTACTAATGAAAATGTAGTTCCATTAATAATTTACTAATTTTCTTGTTTTTTTTCTTTTTTAACAGCCTTTTACTTGTTTTTCTATCACATCCTGTTTCTATTATTTTTATGGTCTTATTGGCAGACTGTATTTACAGATTTAATAGAAATACCATATAAGGTAAAAACTGATTTATATAATAATTATTATATTACCAAAGTAATACATAAAATATTAATAAAATGATGTTTTGTATAGTTTAAAATACCAGATGCAGAAATGGAAAAATTTCATCAAGCTGAAACGGAAGAAGCACAGAGACAAATCTTAGAGCGATTTGCACAAGGTCTTCCAGTTACGAATCGCACTGTAAAAGGAGGTACAATGTTTATATTTATATGTTAAGTAATATATATATATATATATATATACACACACACAAATATATATATGAAATATATTTTCTAGTAATACGTTTCTGTGAGAAATGTCAATTAATTAAGCCAGATCGAGCACACCATTGTAGTGTGTGTAGTACATGCGTTTTAAAAATGGATCATCATTGTCCATGGGTAAACAATTGTGTTGGTTTTCACAACTATAAATTTTTCATGTTGTTCCTGGCATATGCCCTTCTTTATTGTATATTCATTACTGCTACATCTTTACAATATCTTATACGTTTTTGGAAAGTAAGTATCATTTATTTTATAATATCTCTGTTAAATTACATATTTTATAAATTAATATAAAAATATAATTTAATTTTTTTAATTGTTTGTTCTTTAAATATAATTGAAAAGTATGTAAATAACTTCAGAGATCATTTTTTAATTTTATAATAATACAAATATTTTTTTATAGGGGGAATTGGACGGAATGGGCAGATTCCATCTATTATTCTTATTCTTTGTCGCATTGATGTTTGCAGTTAGTTTAACTTCCCTTTTTTTTTATCATTGCTACCTTGTTTTACACAATAGATCTACATTAGGTAATTAAAAACGTGTTATATAAAAATTATTTTATAAAGCATTTACAATAACATGCGCTATATATCATGAATTATTTGTAGAGGCATTTACACCACCTATGTTTCGCACAGGAAAAGATAAAGATGGTTTTAGTCTTGGAAAGTATAATAACTTCCAAGAAGTTTTTGGTGATAATCCTAAACTATGGTTCCTTCCTATTTTTACTAGGTAAGTTTAACAGTATTTAGCAATACATATCTTAATATGATATATTAATAACGTAATAATAAGTTCTTCATAAGATCATGAACCATTTGCACAATATATAAACCTGATAAATTTAGTACACTTCTTGTGTTTATGTAGTAATTATAATTTGTATTTATGAATCGTATAAAAGAGCATGTGTATGCTGATATGTGTATATGTATATATATATACACGTTATATATATAATATTGTAAATTGATAAATGTTAACATTTCATACATTATATATATTTCAGGAAATTTAATTATTTCTATTATTAAATATAATCATAGTACTTTAATCAAATGGTACTTAGAAATGTTATACAGATGTTTTCACCTATAGCACTATTTGTTGTGTTATATGCTTTTTTATTAAGTAAGCATAGTAGTATAGTTTCACAAAAAAGTAATGTGTTACAGATAAAAGTGAAGAAAATGGAAAAATAATAATTTTTTAAATATATAATTATATAAACTGCCTTAAAAATCAAATTGTAACATTAAATTACAAAATAAAATTATGTAAATTAATTTTTCATTGCATTCAATATGAAACGTTAGAGAATTATTGGAAATAATTTTAATGTATTAAGTTTTGATACTATTGCTCCAACTTGTTTGTATTAATTTCTGTCTTTCATAAATAAGTACATAATTGCATTACCGTTAAAACGCGATGGATACGTTAAATGTGTTTTAGTCTTGGAAATGGTGTCACCTATCCAGTACGTGCGCAACATCAAGGCACATCCAATACTTATGACTCCATGGGCAGTACCCGAAACAGGTCAGCATTATAGAAATCTAAAATACCAATATAATAATAGTTATGTATAAATTTTACTATGGAACTCCTTAACATTGTTGATTAAAAGGCAGTTAATATTAAAATAAATAATATATATTTCAACAATATTTAAATTCTTGATAGGATAAAAAACAGGAAACATTTTCTTCATATCGTTTCGGTAAATTTATGCACTTTCTTACAGAACCATCTTCCTTCCATTATCATTTATTTTGTACAGAGTTCCAAAGTAACAAAGTTACACACACATATATATATTTGCTTCAAGAATGCATGCAACTATTTATTTTATTTGTGCTTTTATTTAATTCTACTTTAAAAGTCAATGTTATATTTACAAATCTGATCGAATTATTATTAATATTAAGAGTAACATAAAATTGATGAAATTACAATGTTGATGTTACATCTGTATGTATTAATGCTCTTTATTAATTGTTGATTGATGAAGTGCGTGTTTTATTATTTGTTAAAATGTGTTGCAATAATTATAAATTTTACTTAATATAACACTAATTTTTTATGAAAAATGTAATTTTTACAATATTTTCTAATATTGTTACATTTGTTCTATAATGATAGCGTATATTGAAATTCATTTATATACTTATAATAAGATTAAATTTATATTTTATGATTCTTTTTAATCTATAGATAATCATTGAGATGGATTTTGAAATAGGTATTGTTTTTCTTCCGCAAAAAATGCATATTTTTTATAGATGCATTATATTGTATGTTCATAAAGATTATTATTATAAATATCTTGCTGTTATAAGAAGTATTGTGCATCTGGTTCTTGCAAATATTTATTTAATTATTAGAAGTGGCGTAACTATATTTAAAATCATTTTTCGTATATTTTTTATTCATAAAATGCATCGGAAAAAGAACCTAGAAAAAAGAAAAATATATTTGAAGTATTAAACACAAAAATAGAGTTATTGTAATTTTTATATATTTCATCAGAGATAAATAGATACGCTACCTCTAAAAATAAGTGGGATTACATGAAGTAGAAGGTAGGGTGTGGGTTACAGTTTTGGCGATGGGGTAAACTTTCCTGAACGGCTGTGCAATGAAGACACACATACTCTGTTGGGACATACTACCCAACAGTGGGGTGATGAGACTGAACTTGACTCTCCACCTCTCTATGGGTCACAATCAGGTATTGTGTAGTCTGGAATCCCTATTTTGAGACAATGCATTAATTTATATGCATTGTTTAAATATATGATATTTTTAGTACAAAACTCATGTTAGCCACAAGTGCCCTGCAATCATTTAAATAACATTACATACTGATATCAGCTCACACTATTAGTAATTTTCTTTTTTATCACAGATGAGTTACTATTATTATCTCATTGAAAAAATATTTTATTTTGAAATATTTTAAATATTTCAATTTTAAATATAGGGATTGAGTGTGGGAATTTATTGTATTTATTGTAAACTCTTTATTTTTATTAGTATATTACTGTAAAACAATAATTGATCTAAAAAATTATAAAAACTGATAACTTAATTCTTCTTTTCTTACTAGCATCAAATTATCATAATATCAATTAATAAAGAGTTTACTATGAGCTTTATGTAAATATATTATAGTATATTGTATAATTTTTTTTCTAAAGAAAATTTAGTTAATAATTTAATATAATAATTGACATATGACTACATGCTTAAAAAGTAAACAAATGTGTGATAAATAGTACACATTTTTTATAATAATATTTGTATAAGTAAAACAAAGAGTTATGTCTAAAAAGATATAAAGATTATATAAATTGTATATTAATTTTATGTTATTATATTCCTTATTTATGCATTTATTAATTTGTAAGATATATATAAACTCTTTATGAAATATATGTATATATAAATTTTATTGTCTATTATTGAAAAAAGCTGCAAGAAAAAAGAGATAAATAAATTGATAAAGCTGAAGCATTTACCATATTTATATATGAAAAATTTTATATATTTAATTAACTTTCTTCTTATATGTATATAATTAATTTTAATTGGGTATAACTTTTCATTTTTTTCATTAAAATTGATTATTGTGCATGAATGTAAAATTATTTCTATAAACATGCATGTCATAATAAATAACTTCATAATTTACATACATGTTGTATAAAAATTTCATTCTGTATGGTGTATTTTTACAATAAGCTATACTAACACTGCTCATTTGTTGTAATCATGTGCTAATTTTTTATTGTTTATTTTGAAAAAAATAATATCAGTGTTGATATATTTTTCTTAAAATACATTGTTTAATATTTTTCTATTTCTTGTTCTCTTTAAAGCATAACATATTGTTACTATTTGTATAGTAACTATTTGTTACTAATGTTCAAAAAAATAAATTATAAATTTTCCAATTGATTTACATTATTGAAATATATCTTCATATCAATGTACTTAATATAGTATATAGTTTGAGTTTTTGGTCACAGGTCCCGCAGTGATCAAATGACATTGATAGAAGAATCTACACTTTTGGCACTTGGCACTGGGTAATATCAAATTGGTCGAAAGTGTACTTATTTTTAACAATTGATAAATATTGTTTAAATATTTTAAAACATATATAATATATAAATATTTTAAAACATATATAATATATAAATATTTTAAAACATATTGCATATTTGACATATAAAAAAAGTTTATAAATAATAATTTTTGGAAACATTTTAAATTATCTTAATATTTGTGTTTTTATTATATAAACTATATTTTTTATTATATTTATAATGTAAATAACAATATTAATATTTTTGATGTAATAAAAATTATTCTAAATATGTTTAAAAAAAGGTAATTTACTATAGTTATAATTCATATAAGTATATTTACTATATTTAAAATTCATTTATGGCAGAATTGAGTTTTGTATTATTGCATGTATAAGATTTTTGTTTATAGATTCTGACATTTAATGCCTTTCTTATATAAGTGTAATTTATATCAGTAACTAACACAGTGGCTTTTTTTGTAAAATGATGCATCATAATTTTAATATTGTATTTTTATTAACCTTAATTGTTGTTAATATAAGTTTATATTAATCAATGAAAATTTACATAATACATTTTTTAGTCAATCTATAGATAATTGAATTTATTGAATATTTTTTAAAATATTTTACAGCTCTGCTGTGATAGGTCGTACAACAGATGCCAATCAACCATTGGTGGATGTAACTGAAGTTATTTAAAGCAGCATTTAAAATTTATTTATTTCTTTATTATGAACAAACACTTTTCTTGCTAACATAATTTAACTTTAAAGTCTTTATATAAATTCTTTGCACTTGTTATTAAATAGAAATCAGAGAGAAACTAAATTTTTCTCATTATAGATATATTTATGTAGTTTTTGTTATTTTGCTTATTTGATAATCTCATTGCAATAATTTGATATACAAATGCAAAGAATTGGTATGTATGTCATATTTGAGCCCCTCAGTTGATGAGTGACATAAATCCAAAATTATGAAAAATGGGTTTATTATAATAAATAATAAGTACTAAGAATATTTATTTATTAATAAATATTCTTAGCATATATTTTGCTTTATATTAATAAAGAATAAGTAAATAATGATACTTAATTATTTATTACTTTATCATTACTATTGTTTTTTATAAGTTAGAATATAATTATTATTTTTTCACTTTATTTCCTAAAAATGAAGCTGTATTGTATTGTTAATTAATAAAGCTATATTCGATTATTAATTTGTTAATAAAATATTATATGAAAGTTTGTTAATAAAGTATTATATTATATGAAAATCCAATTTTTACAATTGAAAAAAAAAGATTAATTCACTTGTCATGAGGGGCTCATTTATTACTATATATTAGAACTTTTAGAGTTCTGTATACATCACACATACAAAAATTATTGACAGATATTAGAATATAAAGTAATCTGCAGAAAATTTTTAAGATTTTAGGTATATATATGCAATATTCTTACTACTTATTGTTACATATGGCAATACATATGTAATTCTGATCATAATTTATAATGATATGTCTTATAAATATTAAATTGCTGATAATAATTAATGTCATTGAAATGTAAAGAATAGAAAAATGATTCAGTGATACATATTTATAAATAAACAAGAATGTTGCTGTAAATTTAATGATTTTATAAAAAATATTATCAATTAAAGATATTATAAGATAATAAATCTATTATTGTTCTTAAATTAAAAATCAAAGTCACAGTTAAAGTGAAATATTCAATCAAATTTTGTTTATATTATATAAAATATATTTTAATCATATTTGGTACAAATACTATATTTTCCATTTATATACTTACATATTTTTAAAAATATTTTTTTGCATTAAAAGAATAAAAATAATTTTAAGAATATTTCATAATTTTTATATGTTTGAAAAAATATCTTTCATGTATTTTATTTAATACTGCTAATTAGCAAGTTTTGAATAAATTTACTTTCTATTTACAATAACAATATTAAAATAAGATTAACAACAAAATTGTTATGTTTTAATATAATACATTTTATACTAACAAATAATATTATTTAATTCATTGTTAAAAAGAATTTGTTTTATAATTTATATTTTTATTATATGCTGTTCTTATTAAAATATAACGTATTATGTAAGATAATAAAAAAGGTATTATTAGTGAATTTTATCTTGTATAGGAAAACAGTAATAGCATTGATAATACAGTTGTGTATTTTTAATAGATAAAAATTGCTTGACATTTATATTGAAAATAATGATTAAGTTCAATCTAATTCTAAGTGTAAAAAGACTAAAGTGCAAAGAAATTCTTTTTTCTTAGTATAAAATATTAACATAAATTTTATTTATTCTTTAATTTTGTTTATGTAAAGTGTACAATAAAGATATATTGTAATAGATATATGACAAATATATTGTAACACATATTGAAATGTATGTAACTTAAAAAAGACACTTATAATTTCCTTAAATAGTGGTGAAATAAATAATTGTTATATTATAAATGAAAATTTTTAACATATATTTATAAAATTTTCAATATATATTTATAAAATGAATTTTATAATTTATAACCATAATTTTGTATCCAACATAATCCATCTACCGATGATAATTTTGGACGATATTCTAAACCTATATATCCATCATATCCCTCTTTTTCTAAAACTGAAAGAACATACTTATAATCTATTTCTCCAGACGTATCAGGTTCATGTCTATCTGGTACTTGAGCAATTTGTACATGTCCTATAATATTAAGAAAATTTATAAATTTCACACGTGCATGTACGTAGCATTTAAGATAAATCACATACCTATATATGGTAAAAGTTCCTTAATGTTTTTTGTAATATTGCCACAAATATGTTGTAAGTGAAAGATATCAAGCTGTAGCTTTAAATTTGTCTTATTTATCTTCTTTACCACATCCAAACCTATATAAAAAATATTATATTAATGACTTATTTTATTAAAATTAGCTTTGTATTAAAAAACTACCTTTTTGGAAACTATTCATGTAATAATTTGGTACAGTGATATTATTGATAGGTTCTATAAGAGCTATTATTTCTTCTTTTTGAAATTTTTCCACTGCATATAAAAGATTTTTCACATACACATCGTCATTAGCAGTTGTTATTTGATTTACTTTGCCTGACATTATGTGAATTCTAGGAAAAGATCGTATGAAAAATAAATAAAAAAATTATTTGTTAGAAAAAACGCTCATTAATGGTATTGATCAATTCAATCAATTTCTTTCACCGTTTACAATTTAATGCTTTTGCATATTCTATTGTTACATCAATACTTTTTTTAAAGTTTTCTTCTTCTCCTGGTATTGCTGCAAACCCTAATTCCCCTTTCGAAACATCACCTATTATAATAAAATAAATGTTATATTTCAATATAGAATGATTTTTCTTCATTATTTTCGTCATTATTTGTATAATGCTTTACATTAATGATACAATACCTGTAAATACATTTATAAGAATTTGTTCAACACATGCATTTTTTTTGGCTTCTGATATATCTTTAATAGAAATACCAAAAGGAAATCCACTTTCTACTGCTTTAAATCCAGCTTCTTTTGCCAATTTATATCTTTCAATGATAGATGGTGCTTCCATAAACATAAAAGATAAGTTGGGAATAAATTTGAGACTCATATTGCTTTTATAAAGGTTCAGGAACCTGTTTACTATACTGAAAGAGAATACTGCTAACCACTGAATATTTCTCACATTATATAACTTATTTTTATATTAAAAAATTATTATCACTATGATATGTGGAATTAAGAACTAATTTTTATATTTTCAAGAAAATACATTTCATATTTTCAAATATAGAAAAATAATTTTTATATTTTTAAATTTTTATTAAATAAATTTACAATATTATATATATTATATATATTTGATGGCAGTTTATTTCTTTTTTGCCTTATTTTTGACACAAGAAAATTTATTATTGGTTAGTCGTGATAATTTATTATATCTATAATGCTAATCTTGACGATAATCACGATATTTTTAAAAATGTTATTGTCGCTGAAGTATAATAAATGAAAAACTAATAATAAGTAATATAAAAATATATTGACTATAATAAAATATATAATTAACATTTAATTTTTTACTCATATTATGCAATTAAACATGCACTTAAGCATGCAATTAATTTATATTGTCCTTATCGCACGCTGTTGCCCTCTGTCTACCGCGCGAATATGTCTGTCCTTGTTCCATGCTATCGCCTTCTTTGTCTACCGCGCGAATATGTCTGTCCTTGTTCCACGCTATCACTCTCCTTGTTTATCGCGCGTATGTGTCTGTCCTTGTCCCACGCTATCGCTCTCCTTGTCTACCGTCCGATTATGTTTGTTCTTGTCGTACGCTGTTGCCCTCCTTGTCTACCGCGCATTATGTCTGTCCTTGTCGCACGCTAATGCGCTCCTTGTCTAATGACGCTAGAGACCCTTAGCTTGGGTTCTATGTTTCTTTTAAGTATAGTTTACGTACATAAAAAATGTTTCAATTTCGTTTACATTAGTAGTACTGACAATAGTGTGCGCATAATTTCTCGTAAACTATAGTGAATATTTGATTCAGATTTATTTGCGAACGTAATTGATAGCATTATCTTTGAAATATATGCTGGTAGAGTGCAAATTTGTAGCGTGAAAAGTTAAAATTAATTATTTTCCTTATATGGTTATAGAGCGTTTAGTTCCATCGGTCTGCCACAACACGGCGCTAGTGTCTGTTACCCTGTAGTGATTATGATAATTTAAATTTATATCACAATACTACAAATAAATAATAGTTCCGTAATTAATTTTAGTTGTTTATATAAAAATATTATCAATATAACAAAATATACAATTACTAATAATTTAATGAAGATTACATAATGAAAGTTAAATAACGAATAATTTCTATGAATGAAAATTAAATAACGAATGAAGAATTTTTACTATGGCTACAATATATATAAGTGTCAGTAAACATTTCCATGGTGATAATAAAATTAATAGCTATTTTTAAATATTCTATTTATATGAAATACACATCTCGACGGAACGATTTAACGGAACATGTCGTTGATCTAAATTCTTCGAAGTAGAGGTCGCTACAACCCCGTAAAACAAAGAAATTTTCATTTGCGAAAAAACCTAATTTAGCGAAATGAATTGTGAACTTTTGCGATTGTATTAATTAGACCCTTAGCTTTCTTTTCATACCTAATTTGACCCGCAAAATACAGAAATAAGTATTTTTGTAAATAATTAGTACCATCGAGTTACCGCTAGATGGCGCCACTATGTCCATTTTCTGACAGCTGCACTAATTACGAAAAAACCTAATTAAGAGGAATAATTTGCGAACTTTTTATATGCCTCCTTAAAATTAAGCTCCCCACTTTCTTTCTATGTGTGTTTTGTCCTGAAAAAACGTGTGTGTAAAAAGTCGAATTTTTTGTTCAATAGATCGAAGGATGTCCTTGTCGCACACTATTACTCTCCTTGTCTAGCGTCATTAGACAAGAAGCGCATTAGCGTGTGACAAGGACATATTCGCATGGTAGACAAAGAGGGCAACAGCGTGCGATAAGGACAACAATATAAATTAATTGCATGCTTAATTGCATAATATGAGTAAAAAACTAAATGTTAACTGTATATTTTATTGTATTCAATATATTTCTTTGTCTTCAGTCTTCGTCACTTCGGCACTTTGGCGGACACGTGTCAGCCACTTGGCGTTCGTGTGTTAGTGCGATCAGGATTTAGCTACTAACGCAAGTAGCTCACTGTATCCGTTATTGCATTAGAGTTCTTAAAACGGGTCAAAAATGACTCCGGTACAGTAGGTGGAGTGTTAAAACTTTAAGTTAATTAACAATATTTTTAAAAAATTATAAAATAATTTTACTATATAAAATAATGCAACATATAACTTATAAGTATGTAATAAGTAAATAAATGAGGCAATATTTTTTTTGTTTGACATAAAGTTTAATGAAAAGCTGTTGTAATATAATATTATAAGTTAAACATAAAAATTAATGAATAATTAAATGTTTCATTTGTGTATATATGACATTTACTTTATGTATTATCATTCGTCATCATCGCGAACACCACCGCCTGGTACTTTTGGTCCTCCTGCACGCTTTGCCATAATAATTTGATTGATTTTAAGTACAGTGCATGCAACGCCAACAGCATATTTTAAACCCCATTGTTTTGTTAAGAATAAATCCAAAATTCCAGCTTCAACTGTGTCTATAAGACCTGCTTTTTGCTGTAAACAAATATAATTTTTTTTTAATATATTTATTATAAAGTTTCACAAAAAATTTAAATAAATACATACGTCAATGTCAAAACCATAATTCTTTTTACTTTCTTTATGGGCAGCATAAAGCTTGGATAAAAGTTCAGAAGCATGACTTCCACTATTTTCTGCTAGGGTTTTTGGGAAAATTTCTAAAGCCGTTGCAAATTTGCGTACTGCATACTGTTCTAAGCCTGGTAAAGTATCTGCATATGTACTAAGTTGTGCAGCTAGTTCAATTTCCGTAGCACCTGCGCCAGGAACAAATCGTCCATCTCTCGTTATTCCTTTGAACGTATTAACTCCATCGTCAATAGCTCGTTCAATATCATCCATGTAATTTTCCGTGGATCCCCGAACGATTATAGTACTAATACGACTATCTTTCCCATTTATTGTAAACTTTACTATCATAGTATCTCCGACTTCGTCGATATATACCGAATCTGCATATCCTAGTTCTTCTTTTGACGGTGGAACCTTAAAATAAAAATGATTAATTGAATCTTTGTATTACATTAAGGAAATAATCGTTGTAGGAAGATTTACCAATTTTGGAAGTGCCGTAGCACCAACAGTTTTACATAATCTCCTAATATCAAATTTGCTAGGTATACGAACAGCCATTATATTGTACTTGTTCATGTAGTGTAAAGTCATATCTCCAAACTTTCCTCCTGAAACAATTACAGTAGCTCCACTATCAGCAATTGCTTTTATTTGAGATTCCAATAAGGATTCCTCTCCTCTAGAGAATTTCATCAGTTCATCTGCTGTTTTTATTAGTACTGTTCCTTTTGTTTCAGTTTGTATAATATCTACTGCACAGGTATAGACAGCAATTTTGGCATTATCTTTCCTTGTAACGTCTCCTTCAACTTGTCTCTTAAATACCATTCCTTGTACAACTTCAGAACTAGATATACCACTGCCTAGTATTTTACAAACACGTACGTTATCCACATTGAAAGTACTTCTCTTTGGTAAAATGGATACACAAGCCTGCGCAACAAGAGAAGTAAGAGGTTCCTCATTTCCATACTGTTTGCTCATAATAGCTGTCTTAATTCCCACTTGTATTTGCTTTTCATCTCGATAATCTTTTACTTCATAACAAACTAATGTTGGTAATATTTGCAAAGCTTTTTCTAAGGAAGCTTCATATCCTTCAACTATTTCAGATGTAGTAATTCCCTAATGTATAAAATATTTATTTTCTTTTAGTATATCCATTGTGAAATTAATAAAGTGTATCAGTAAATGTTACCAAACGAAGTAATTCCTCTGCAGCTTCAAGAAGTGCCCCAGCAAAAATTATCACAAAATTAGTACCATCACCAACTTCTGCTTCTTGCATTTTCGATGCCAGAACTAACAATTTAGCAGCTGGGTGTTCAACTTCCAATTCATTAATAATTGTGGCAGCATCATTAGTGATAAATAATTTTTCGATATGATTAATTATCATTTTATTCATGCCATTTGGACCATACGCAGTTCTTACAGTTTGAGCAAACTGTTTGCATGCTGTTATATTTCCATATACTGCTTCTTCCAAACCTGAGAAATACTTGAAAAGAAAAAGCATATTCATTATAAACATATTTAGTCACCTAGCAATGTCTCAATATTTCATAAATTAAAATAAATAAAAAATAAGAACTTTGAGCTTATAAGTTATTAATTATATTTAAAAAATATATTTAAATTATTACTAATTTATATACAAATTTTTATACACTAACAGTATATAAACCATAAACCAGTTGCGGATAATACAAAAAGATAAGTAAATTTAGCAATATCTTTAGCAATTACATTTTTTAATATATTATAGAAATGTAATATTAAATGAATAACTATGTCCATAAAAGGAAATATTTGATGGAACATTGTGTCATATCCTATCCAAAGAAAAAAAAACACATTTTTTGATGATGTGATATTAGCTTAATGATACAATTTAAAAAAAAAACATTTTGTACTTACGCGGGCACCTTCTTTAAGCATTTGGGCCATACCCGGTGCCTTTGGTACGTGTAAAGCCATAGTTTATTTTTTTTTTTTTGTTATTATAAAAATTTGAAAACCCTTACACCACACGTGCGATTCAGAATGAATACACTAATTTAACTTTCCGTCAAAAATGATAGAATCCAGATCTTTCCTTTGAGACTGCTATTATGGCGACATCTCTCTGTAATAATTGTAATTTTACAATTAGAAACATTTGAATGCAAATTAATATACTTCTTACATTTAAATATCAAGTAAAATATTTTCTAAATAAATGGTCGCGATTTAATTCATTTTGAAGAAATATTTCTGTGTAAAAAGTTAAATTATATATGTGTATATAAAATATAAAACTTCTATGAAAATCAACCTTAAGGGATAGGCTTAAAATACAAAAGTGACAAAATTTAGTGGCATGCAGGAAAGTATAATTTGTGTGAAGTATTATACTGTATGTTACAAATTGACGGAGATTCTTATTAAAAATTGGTAAACTTCATTTTATAGCTTTTTAATACCTTAAAATGTTGTGAATGTATAATCGAAAGAAATTTAAGAATATTTTAGTATTCCATAGAAAATTCTGTTGTCTTCAACTGTTATGGATATGGTGACCACTAATTTACAACAACAACGGCAAATCACGGAGCAGCTACGTCGTGAAGCTGCTTTAAGACGAATCACAGTTAGTAAAGCTGTTGAAGATATCATGAAATATATCACAGAGCACGAACAAGAAGATTATCTTTTGGTTGGTTTTTCATCACAGAAGTCGAATCCCTTTCGTGAAAGAAGTTACTGTACCATTTTTTAAACTTGCATGTTTAAGATGAAAAGCAAGTCATTTTAATTTCTTCTACTAAGTATTCTGATAGGTTTAATTTATTATATTGTTAAAACAAAATATCATATCCACCATCAATATTGAAACGTTTGTTTAACTATCTTAAGTTGATTTGGGTCATCGTTATTATTGTTTCTGTGCATATTTTTAATATTTGTTCAATGTAAACATCAGACTAAAATTAGTTTTGCATTCAGAGCTTATTTTTGAAGAATCTCATATATTTGCTAACACCTTGTTATAATTCTATTGGCCTATAAATTACCATAAAATATATACGCACAAATTACTTCTAGTGTTATCTACATATATACAATATAAAGTATATATGCAATATAAAATATTATTTTCTACAATGTTGACTTTATAAACCATAATATTTTTTAAATATCATAAGAACATGTTGCTCCATAAAGTATATTGTAATCTATTTTTAATTCAATCCATATAATCAAAGTTGAAATTTCAAATGCCTAATGTATGTTCAATGTACTTTTGTACAATTTATTTTGCTAACTACATATGCTTATATAAAAATGCATTTATAAAAATCTAAATTGTAATACAAAATAAAGAATGTTATAAAAATGTAGATTTTATTGTTATTATACATCTATCTTAATGATGTTTAACAACATTAAGAATTATTTATTTTTCAGTTCAAAATATACATGATATTGTGATTGTTGCATCATATTAGAAAAGACATTGTGTGAATTGTGTACTTATAATATTAACAATTTAATATATTAAAATTATAATAATTACATTTACAAAACATCTTAATATCATAAAAAATTATAGACACAATAATAACTTAAGAATGTCAATGAAAGAAAAATTATAACCATAACCTGGAATTTCATGTGAATTATTATTATAAACAACGTGTATAAAAAAAATTGACAAAAAGTATTTATTACATAAATGTTCAAGTAAACTTACTGCTTATCTTCAACCTGTAATTTTCTAAGTAAGTACTTAAAAAAATTGATTTGTTTAAATAATGAGATAATGATATATAAAAGATATATTTTATTTATAGATATGTTTTCAATTAATTTGGTAACTTTGGATAGTTATCAATCAACTCCACTGTCAGAGTTAGATGTAACATTTTCAGATTTTCGAGGAAATGAAATTAAACAAGTTCCAGTTATTAGGATATTTGGATCTACTCCATCTGGTATATTATAATTTATTTATGCAGTATTTACTAATAAATATTTAAATAATAATTATTTGCCTTTTATCTTTAATTAAATTAAGGTATAAAAACATGTTTACATATACATGGAGTATTTCCATATATGTATATACCATGTATAATAAATAACAATGTTGATAGTTATATGTATAAATTGGCAGCAGCAATAGATTCTGCAATAAATGTATCTTTGAAATCTGCAATGTTTAACACTCAACATGTTTATAAAATTCAAAAAGTTTCTGGAATGTAAGAGCATTAAATAATATTAATATATATAAGCAATTATTTAAAATTATATAAAATTCTTTTTTTCAGTCCTCTTTATGGATATCATGAGAATGAATATTCATTTTTTAAAATTTATTTCTATAATCCAGCTATGATTAAACGAGCAGCTGATTTATTACAAGTATATTATTTTTATTTATAATTGTTTTTTTTCTAAAGAATGTAGAAATAATAGGAAACATTTTGTTTTAGAATGGTGTTATACTTAGTCAAAGTTTACAACCACATGAAGCGCATATACCTTTCATTTTACAATTTATGATTGATTATAATCTTTATGGTATGAGTTTAATAAATTTAAGAGATGTTAAATTTAGACAATGCCTACATACAAAATCAAAAAACGATTCTCAAAGTGAGAGCCCAATAGGTTTATTTGATTCACAAAAATATCTGCCTGCATTTATTGTTAGACAAAGTACTTGCAAATTAGAAGTAGATGCGCAAGCATGTGAAATACTTAATGGACAAGAAATTCAGATTGGTTTAGATTTAAATCCTGGTATTGCGGCTATTTGGAATGAAGAAAAACATAGAAGAGAAAAAGAAGGTTTAGAAAATGTTGAGTCACAATTTTTGTATTCTAATACTAGTGGCAGAATTTATGACCTAACAGAGAATGATATTTATCAAGAAGAAAAATTAATAAAAAGATTGCAATCAATATCACAGGTATAGTTTTAATATTACAGGTTTAATCAAATTTTTACATTAGAAGGATACAACTTAATTCATTTATATTTTTAGATTAGTGAAAATGTAACACCAGTAACATCAAAAACATATAGTTATCCTTTAGAAGTGGATAGTGAAGATAATTCATTTAGTGCTTCATACATATCAAATCACTTTAAACTATCAATATTAAATAATGAAAATAAAAATAAAACATTTTTGAATAATGACTTATTAGAATTTGATAAATCTGAAATAAGAGAAAGTTTACCTCAAGATAAAACAATAGAAAACAGTATTTGTAAGTGATTGTATAATATATGAGATTTTTTAATAGAAATTTTTTTTGTTAAGATTTTTATATTTAAAATTTTTACTTATAATATATGTATGTGTGTATGTTTAGTGGATTTTGAAGATATGTTCTTAGTTGAAATATTGGCTGACTTAAGGAAAGAAAATGAAGGAGAAAAAATTATAGATAATGATAGCATGCTAGGTTCTCAATTTTCTATGCTGAATAATGAAATTAAAGAAGACAATGAAGATGAGGAAATTGAAGATTTGAATATTACAAGTTTAGATCTGAGTAGTCTTAGTTCATGGAATTCAATTATCACTGAAAGTGAAAGTAAAAAGACAGAAGATTTCAAACAAACTGAATATGTTGAAAGTACTTCAAGAGATCTTCCTCAATATGATGGTCCAAGTGATTTGAATTTAAAAAATAAAAAGCAATTATCACGAAGACTTACTAAAAATGAAATAAATAAAGAAATAAAAACATGTGCAGAATTGGACAATCTTGCATTATATTTCAACAATAGAAGTATGATATTAAATGAATTTATAAATATTCAAATAAATTTTAATCTTTTACAAACTCAATTAATGGTTCCATATGAAATTCTATTTGATATTAAATTACCAAAATATTTTAAATTTTATCAAAAACAAACTCGAAAAAATAAAAATAAACATAGAAAAATGTTACAAACTACTGAAAAGAAATTATTATATTACAGAGATATAAATATATATAAATTAGATCATCAAGACTTAGATGTTTATGATGTGGATGAGATTGAACATAAACTAAATAATTATAAATGTCTAAAACATTCAATAGATTTTGAAAACAATCTTGATCGAATTAGTTATAATAAATTATATGTTATTAATAGCGTTTTAAATAAATTAAACATACCTGCACTTGATGGTAATGCTGTTAACACTTCCAGTGATTCTGAGACAGATCAAGATATCACTATCAACAAGGAAGAAAAACGTGTTTGTGTTTATAATAGATTGAAAAAACGAAGGCTTGAATTTGAAGACCCTAATTTGCAATCTCCTCATAAACGACGTAATATTATTAGAAATGTATCAGATGAATCATACCATACTCCAACTAAAGCAAAATTGGTGCATAGTCCATGTTCTATTTCAACAAAATATTCTCCACTTAATATAAAAATAGTATCTCCAAAAATAGATAAAAATATCAAAAATATTGAATCTTCTAATTCAAAATCTATTTATAATATTTTAAATCGAAATACTCAATGTTTATCTGAAGACGTAAATAATTTTACTTCAGAGCCAAATCAAGGTAAATAATATATTATTATTATAAATTATATTTTAGATTATTATTTTACATCATCTGTTTCAGAATTCTTTACACAAAGCAATACTTCAAACATTAATAAAACAAGCACAAATATTCTTAAATACAAAGACAGGTAAATGTTACAAATATGATTATATATATATATATTTTTTTTTTGATTTCATAAATGTATTATTTGAAATTTAATTTTATTATTTGAAATTTTTAATTTTAGTAATGCAAGAGTACACAAGGAATTGATTGATTTAGAAAAAGAAGATAGTATATTAAAAACAAATTTTGAAACACAAGTTATTCCTGCAGATAACAAACAAATTCGTAAGAAATTAAGTTTTATAAATGTCAGTAACAAAGAAATTACTTCTATGAAAGATGATATAGATTTAAAAAATTTATCTCCAACACAAATAATACATAATACACATAAAAGCAATGATTATATTAATATTTTATTTATGGATTCTAATCGTGGAAATTCTATAAAATTGCACACAAAAGAAAATGAAAAAGTTAATTATGAATATAATTTACCAAACACATCTAAAAATAATGTAGATTTTTACTTAAATAATACGTTAAATAAAATGCCGTTGATGCATAAAAATATAAATAAAACTGAAGATGAAGATAAAGATGAAGATGAAGATGAAGAAAATATTTGTAATATGACATACACACAATATCTTAGTAGGAAATTAGAATTAGAATCAAATATCCCAAGTGTCACATCATTAAAAAGTACAAGTGATACAGATATTAAATTGATTACTATTACTACTAAATTTAATCCACCAAGCAAAGAAAGAATTATAAATTCCATGAAAACGTATGATATCAAATCAAAATTAGACACACTATTTTTTAGTAACAAAATTGACTTGCTGAAACTCAAGCAAAAAGAAAATTGGAGTAATAATAATATTCACAAAATAATTCCATTTAAATGTAGTTTAGATAGGATTACGAGTATTAAACTGTGGCGTCGAGTAAGAATAAATGAATTTTATCCATCTGGATCAAGTATAAAATCTTGCAATATAAAGAAAGTTCTTGCTGGATACAATACGTTAATAATTCATCCTCTCATTCATCCACCAATATTAAAAAATATTAAAACTTGGTTACAAGCTAAAAAATATTTATTAAAAAAGAATGATAATCATGAAGAAATAAATGATAATATTAATGTTCTAAGAGATGCAGAAGAAAGCAATATACTTAAAAAAAGATTTATTGACGATCAGTATACGAAATCACAAAGTTCTAACAGTTCAGAATATTTAAGCAAATCTAATAATTTTAATTCTTCTTTACAAAAAATGCTTGAAAATCCATTATTATATAAAAATAATGATACACCACAACATTTAGGCATTTCATACGGGCAAATCGAATATAGTCTAAAAGAACATAGTAATAATATTGAAAATGAAAATCTTCAAAATGCCAAAAGTCGAACAGTGGTAATTGTTTCTCTTTATTTATAAAATAATACTATCATATCAAATATTAAAATTTTTTTTAACTATTACAGTACCAATGTCTGAAAATATTAACAGTAGAAATACACGTTATTACACGTGATAAATTTCTTCCTGATCCAAATCATGATCCAATTGGTGCAGTATTCTATGCTATTCACAATGATGTTCCATTATCTTCAAAAACTGAACAAATAGAGCATGGTATACATTAGAATGAAAGTCTATTTCTTTTTCAATTATTTTTTATAATCATGAACTATGATATTGTTTTAGGTGTTATTCTTGTAAATTCATCCATCAAAAATACAAAAGTAAAAAATATACATTCAACTAATACATGTATTACATCGTACGTATCAAGTGAAGAGGATTTATTAAATAGCCTTATAATATTAATTAGACACTGTGATCCAGATATTTTAATTGGTTGGGAGATAGAATCTCTTTCATGGGGATATATTTTTCATAGAGCTTCTCATATTGGACTGAATGATTTTACATGGCAAATTTCAAGAATTTTGGTTCCTCCAAAATCTAAAGGACAAGTATCTGATAAAGATAATTTTAGTGATACAAAAATTCCAGGTCGAATTGTCCTTGATGTTTGGAGAATAATGAGACATGAAATAGCATTATTAAATTATACATTTGAAAATGTTATGTATTATGTCATGCACGAAAGAATTTCATGCCCTACCTTTCAAATTTTAACTGATTGGTGGAATCATAAAAATGTGACAATACAATGGAGAGTTATTACTCATTATGTCATACGAGTTGTGGGTACATTGAGGATATTAATCCATCTTGATATTATTGGTTTGTATTAGTCATTATTCTTTCATTCTCTTTCACATAATGTAATGTTCTTATATTATACTTCATTAATATTTTAGGCCGTACATGTGAACATGCACGACTTTTTGGAATACAATTTTATGAAGTATTTTCAAGAGGCTCTCAATTTCGAGTTGAGTCAATGATGTTGAGACTTGCAAAACCTTTGAATTACATTCCAGTTTCACCTTCTATACAACAAAGAGCACAAATGCGTGCACCTGAATCTCTACCACTTATTATGGAACCACAGTCTGCATTATATACTGATCCATTGGTTGTCCTAGATTTTCAAAGTTTATATCCAAGCATTATTATTGCTTATAACTATTGTTTCTCTACATGTTTAGGTCGTGTAGAGCATATTGGCCAGTAAGTATAACATTAGTATTCCTATATTTATAAAAAAAAAATATACAAATATACAAATATATCTTTATTTCTTCTAGTTATGAACCATATGAGTTTGGTACAACTACATTAAAAATAAAAAAAAATACTGCTCAAAAATTATTAGGAAAAATCAATTTTGCACCTTGTGGTGTAGCTTTTGTAAAACCAGAAGTACAAACAGGAATATTACCACGTATGCTTACAGAAATTTTAAATACTCGATTAATGATAAAAAAATCTATGAAACTTCATGGAAATAAAAATCAGGCATTACAACGTATTCTTCACTCACAGCAATTAGGTCTTAAGTTAATTGCAAATGTTACTTATGGTTACACAGCTGCTAATTTTAGTGGCAGAATGCCTTGTATAGAAGTATGTCAGATATATATTACATAATATTTTTATGAATTTTTTGCAAATTAATTATAACTACTATAAATTAAGGTAGGAGACAGTGTTGTTAGTAAAGGAAGGGAAACATTAGAACGAGCAATTAAAATAGTAGAATCTACTTCTAAATGGGGAGCTAAAGTTGTTTATGGTGATACAGATTCATTATTTATTCTTTTACCTGGAAGATCAAGAGAAGATGCATTTACAATTGGAGCTGAAATTGCTGATGCTGTTACTGCAGCTAATCCACCTCCAGTGAAACTCAAATTTGAGAAAGTTTTACAACCATCAATATTACAAGTAATATTTTATTAATATATAACGAATAAATTAATACATATAACATTCTATAATATTTTTTCAGACAAAGAAAAGGTACTGTGGTTATATGTATGAATCTCCAGAACAAAAAGAACCTGTATATTTAGCAAAGGGTATTGAAACTGTTCGTAGAGATGGCTGTCCAGCAGTAACTAAGGTAAATAAATTAAAAGCATTTGCAAGATACCAAGTGAAAGTATTAAATAATAATTTTAATTTCAGATACTTGAAAAAACACTAAAAATTTTGTTTGATACAAAGGATCTCTCCTTAGTAAAATTATATGTCACCAGACAATTTGATAAAATTTTACGTAAAAAAATATCAATTCAAGATTTAACATTTGCAAAGGAATTTCGTGGCTTGAATGGTTACAAAACCAGTGCTTGTGTACCTGCATTAGAATTAACACGGAGATTAATGCGCAAAGATCCGCGTGCAATACCTCGTACTGGTGAAAGAGTTCGATATGTTATAGTTGCTGGGGCCCCAAATCAACCATTAATTCAATGTGTACGAACTCCACTAGAAATAATGTTAGACGAAAGTTTAAATCCAAATTCGATATATTACATAACAAAAGTTATCATACCGCCACTTAATCGGTGTTTAAATTTAGTCAACGTTGATGTTAATGCATGGTATAATGAATATTGTATTTTATATTTTTATTTGTAGTTTTTGTTTTGAAGTATTGCTTTTTACTTTTAGGTATGCAGAAATGATTCATCGTCAAACACCTAATAAAGCAATTAGTTCATCTACGAATAATCAAAAACTAACTATTCGACAGTTTTTTAGTACCATAGTATGCGCTGCTTGCAAAAATCAGACGCAAAAAGATATTTGCACGAGTTGTATGGCAAAGCCAAGTCAAACAATCACTATTTTACATGAAAAGTTAAAATGGTTGGAACGTACTCATTACGAACTTACTACGGTACATATGAAGTTTTTATATTTTATTTTTTGATATATAATTAAAAGATGTAGGAATGTAATTTTTCCTTTCAGATATGTCAATCTTGTACTGGTTATTTGGATGAACCAAAATGTGAATCTTTAGATTGTCCAGTTTTGTATCGTTTGATGCAAGCTCAAAGAGATCTCGTCCAAATACCTTATTTAAATGACATAATTCGTAATAATGATATTTTCTGTATAGGAAGAAAAGGCATGAAATATTAATTTTCATCTGACATATTATATCTGCATATTTTAAAAAAAAGCGTGTAAATTAAATATCTACTTTTTATTATACATTCGTTGTACGTTAATTATCGTAATATATTAAAGAGTAATAAAATATATAATTTGTATCTAAATATTTGTAAAAATTAATTTGAATATTTGAAGCTTACTTATAGCATTACTAGATAGCGCAACAGTCGTTATATCTGTTAACTACATCGTGTGTTTACATTTGACGGTTTGTGATTTCTTGTAAAAAAAAAAAAGAGTGGTGAAGTTCATGTTTTATTAATATTAATAGTTAAAATAATAGTTAATTCCTTAAATTAAGTGAAGTTTTATATGTTAGTCTTTTGACTGATGTAGAATTTATGCGACGATTGAAATATGACTTCTTACTAGAGGATTTTGGTACAGTGAACTGCAGTACATTTAGTTACATGGAATTTCTCCCGCGCAGTATTATTTTGAAAATAAGCTACTTGATCAAACAATAACCTATCGAAATTTAAAAATTTATCTTTTTTTATATTTTTCTATATAATGTGTAGAAGAAAATATTAGTTAGATTATTTAAATTGGAATGTTTCATTTGCTTGATGGATTAATAACACGATTTCACATCTTGCCGATCGTTTTTATTATAAGATAGACGTAAAGTACTCTCCAAATATGTATTTGTAAAGAAAATTCATATAATATTTTTGAGATATATTTCATTTACACATATATAGTTACATTATTAAGAAAAAAGGTTAATTATTTTGTATGTCTTATATTGATTGCACTTTGCATGTTACCAATTTTGTATAACAATGATACATATCTTTTTTGACTTGAAGAAAGAATGTTCCGCTTGTACAAAATATTTAAACTTTTTCATAGAATTACTTTTCTTTGAATATGTCATTGTTTTAGCAAATAAACAATATATTTATTTGTATTTGTATTAGTAGACATTTGTTATATTTGGATCATAATTATATAGATTTATACTAAAAACTAAGTTATTATAAGCTCTATCATTATATCAATTATTGTATTATTTTTTGTATTGTTTACATAAAAAATATATATTAATTTCTTATGTGTTATACATTTTAAATTTGTAGCAAGCACGATGTCAAAGCGTAACAGATTATCTAACCAGAGAGTTTGTTGCTTCTGTGGATTATCACAGAATAATGAATTGGAATTTGGTAAATTTTATGAAGATGGCGAAATTCTTACGCATTATTACTGTTTGGTATGTGATTTTATAAATATTATATCTTGGATAATTTTATTATTGTAATGTATAAATTTAATATTCCAACATAATATTTTGTAGCTTTTATCATCAAACATGCAACAAAGGGGAAAGGATGATCAAGGCATTTTAGGATTTTTAAAAACAGACATAAAAAAGGAAATTCTCAGGGGAAAAAGATTGGTAAATAATTACATATGAATCAAAAAAAGAAATATTTAAAAAAAAATTATAATTCAGAGATTTCAATTCAAAGGTATGTTCATATTGTAAAAAACCCGGTGCTACTTTGGGATGTTGTAATGTAAAATGTAAAAAAATATTTCATTATCCTTGTGGACTAAGGGCTGGAACCTTAAATCAGTTTTTTGGTCAATTTAGGTTTGTATAAAATATTCAAACTTGTAGTGGATTATATTGATTTTATAATTTTGGATATTTCAAAGAAATGTAATACATTTTAGGTCATATTGTATAAAACATAGACCAAAGCAAAAAATAGATATTCAGGTTAAAGCTGAATTAGCAAAAACCAAGGAAGTAGTATGTTGTATATGTTATGAAGAAGTAGATCCTTATGATACAGTTGGTACAATGTGGGCTCCATGTTGTAAAAAGAATACATGGTTCCATAGAAAATGTGTTCAGGTAGAACAATAATTTGCTAAGAAATATTAAAATTTTTAATATTTCTAAGTTTTTAAAATATTTATTTTAGCAATTGGCTATGAGTGCTGGATATTTTTTCAAGTGTCCTTTATGCAATGATAAAAGATCATTTCAAAAGGCAATGCTAGAATTTGGTATTTTTATTCCAAGTCAGTAAGTGGAAAATGAAATTTATGTATTTTGTAATAAAATATCAAATTCGAAGAATTCTTCATTTCTTCAATGTTTTTATTCTAGAGATGCTTCTTGGGAACTTGTCCCTAATGCATTTCAAGAACTTTTATATAGACATGATCAATGTGATGCTTCAATATGCCTATGCCCTAAAGGTAGAAAATATACAAGTTTTAATGCGTAAGTAAAAAAAATTTTATTCAATATTATAATATGATTAAAGTTTTTAACTTTTCATTTTTTATTGTAATTGTAATTTGATAGGAAGTGGGAGCTAGCTCTTTGTCGAATTTGTGGTTCACAAGGAATTCATATGGCTTGTGGACAACTTAAATGGGCTAATCCTATTTGGGAATGTAAAGAGTGTATTTCTATCCTAGGTAAATAAAGTATTATTTAATTAAAATGAATATTTTTTAATTAAAATTTATAAAAAGGGAACATTTTTTGGGTCTTATACTTTTATATAGGTAAATCTGAAGAAACTGCTAGTTCAAGCACAAGAAATATACCACAGTATGTATTAATTTTTTTCAGCATTAAATTTAAATTTAAGTATTAAATGATTGTTGTAATAAATTCCTAAATTATTAATACATTACTTATAAATTTAATATAAATTTAAAATTATATGTATATATTTGTTATTTTACCAGGACTATTTCTGACTCTGAAGATTCTGACAGTGATATTTCTGTTGGTAAAGATTCACCTGTACCATTTACAACAAGTTCGTCAGTTATAAACTCTACGTCACAAACGCCAATTATTAAACAACGTCCTGGTCCTCGATTTTTCAAATTAAGACAACTTAAAACAATTAAAGAAATGCAGAAGTTAGTACACGAAAATCAAAAATATTGAAATCTTTAAGTACATTACATCTGATTTATCTATTTCAATAAAAACTATTTTATTATTCAATAGCAATAACAAGCATAAAACCAGTGAAAACGTTAATATCATATTGAATATGGAACAGCATAGTCTACAGTCTACAAGTAGCAAAGAAATCTTTATGAATGTATCAAATTCAGTAACAGATTCAACGTCACATAATTATGGAGATAATTTCAATTCTACAATTCAACATTCCAAATCACAATTGGATAAACGAGTTGATAACATTACAATTGATAGCGATAATTACATTACAGAGGCAAATATTACAACTTATATGCACGAATTAAGTGAAAATATAAATTATTTCAATATTAAAAATATAAATTAAATAATCTTTTATAAAGTAATGAAATTTACGCAAATATTTATATATATTTTACAGGCCACTAATTTTATTTCATTACGAAATATGTTTATTAAGGATAATACAAATGAAAAAAATTATTTATCTTCACTTGAAAGCAATAAAATTGAATCTAACAAAAGTAGCATTATACATGATTCTAGTCCAAAAATAGAAAAGCTATTGCAAGAAAGCAATTCAAGTCAAGTCGTTACTAATAATCTTTTAATGAGTAATTTAAATGTAACTGAATCTGATAATTTAAAGAAATTTAATTTGCAGAATGAAACAAATGATGTTTTGAGTGATATAATACAATTAGATAATGAAAAGAAATACAATTATACTGATTCTATTTCAGAAACTAAAATTACAAACATAATTTCATTGGAATCTAACAAATCTAAGAATATATTATTTATTGAACAAGAACAAAAAATTCATGATCAAACATTACAAAGCAGCAATGAATTAATAAGTAGTAATTCAGTAATACAACCTCCATGTTGTCAGAGTAATGTTTTAAAATCAAATTTGAAAAGAAATTATAACGAAACTACATCAATCCCAATAGTTTCATGTATAAATGAAACTAAAAGATTGAGAAAAACTGGTAGTATACAGTCATCACACATGTCTTTAGATGCTTTTACAGATGTTGGATATAATAAAAATAATTTACAAATTAATAATCATGATGATAGAATTTCTGTAAATGAATTTCATTTGCAGAATAAAAAATCACATATTCAAATTAATCAAAATTCTAATGCAGATAAAGATATTCTACATTCTATAAATGCATATAATATATTAAATAATAAACTTGATACGAATAAAGAAAAAGTTAGTGCATATATAAATATTGCAAATGAAACAAATAAAACAGCTAGAAATATTGAAGTTAACAATATAAAAGATGTAAGTAAAATATTTTCTATAAAACTTTTTACATTACATGTTTTACATTAATGTTATATTAACATTATATTTATATACGTTATTAATGTTAAATACATTAAAAGAAAGAAAAAAAATTTTATAGAAAATTATTTCTTATATTTAATATTATTTATTAAGGAACATTTAAATTTAAGGATTAATTTCAAAAAAGATATATTGATATAAAATTTTCTATGTTGTTTTTTTTTATTGAACATATCATTTGTAACATTAACAGTATGCTGAGGATGCAAGCACCAGTTTTATTATTGAATCAAGTAACATTGTCACAAATAATACAAAAATTAATTGTGCTGAAAAATGTATTAAATTAGATCATTCAAAGTTAAAAAAATCACAAATACCAGAACAAAGGAAAGCTCAAAACGATAATGAAATGTAAGTATTATTCTGTCTCTTTTATCATTCTATAAATTATTTTTCTGTATTATATTCTGTATATAACAATTTATCGAAATCAAATTTTATGTATTTATACTTTCAAATGGGTATGAGTGGGTAATGAATGGCAAGTAATATTATTATATTTATATACTAAAAAAATATTATAATGTTCCGTAAATTATAGGGTCATTCCAAAACATAGAACTTCAAATAATAAATATCACAATCTGTGTTGGCAAAACAAAAGTGAAACCATAAACAGTGATTGTCCTCAATTAATACCAGAATATGTGTGCTTACGTGATCTTAAGTTTCGTGTACATAATGTGGATAATCTACAGGTAAATATATTTTAAATATCTGTTTATTATATCGTTAAAAATATATAAGAACCTTATGGAATATATATTTGATTATAATTCATTTTATGTAGGTGATTCTATATGATAAATATTCTGTAAATATTAACATGGACACTACTGTAAAGAAGAATACTACATTTGATACACCAGTAAAAAAGCATGATACACCAAAAAAAATTGAACAAATTTTTAAAACACAGAATGATACTTTCCCAAACTTCATATCTGGAAATATTTATGATAATGACAAAATTACAACCATATTTATTAATGAACAATCTGAAAATGATCAAGATGATATAAAAGAAAATCTAGATCCAATATTAACAATTCCTTGTAAAAATCCAACAGATGATTTACTAACTAACACAACATTATCTACAAATAATTCTAATGTTTCTGTAAATGATAATCAAAGTGAGAATAGAAATTTAATTTATCCTAGATCTAAAATAGATGGACAAAGTTATAAAACTATTAATTTAAGTGATGATACTAAAAACAATAATGATGCCTTCACAAGTTGTAATCATAATTATGATGAAAATATTAATGATATCGAACAGAATGTAAACTTTGATAATATGATACAGCATACGCATGTAATACACAATATGGAAGAAAGCTTGAAAATTGATTCTCACGATTCAACTAAATTAGTACAACGTATATTGTTTCGTAAAAATTATACAAATAACAAATCTGAAGATAGGAATGAAAAAGATTTTAAAGTAAGTATTGATCTAAAGAAAATAAAAAGTTTTGTCGATAATAATCCTGATTTGTTCTCAAGCTATAAAAAGGAAAAAAATACAGAAAAAAGATTTAATTTATTAAAACATACAAAAAATTCAGATATAGATGAATCGGAATATCTTGAAAATTTTACATTAGTTACATCTAAATATGCAATAAAAGAATTAACAAATTACGATGCTGGAACTGTAAAAAATATTGAAGATTTAATCACTGAAAAAGAATTCAATACAATAAACAACGATGAAATATATTAATATTTCACTTAGTAGTTTTAGAAATATAATTTAAGAAGTATTAATAAATGTTTAAGAATTTTCGATATTACGATATGTACATAGAAAAATCATATTTTATTTAAAGCTTAAAAAAGTATTTGTTTACATGACATATTTATTAATAATTACTTTATTTAATTTAGTCAACTTTGTATACAAGATTTAAAAATTTAAGGATAACGTAGAAATGATTTGTAAATTTTGTACAAGATACAATATGTACATATAAGTACTTATATATATAAGGTGTATCAGGATAATTTAATTAGATGAATTTATAGGCAAAGATAAGTCGAAAAAAAATTTTTTCATTTAATGTTTCTTTTTTCAGAAAATCGAGTTAAGAATTTATGGAGTACTTGATTTATTATTGATTTAATCGATTGTATATATTGATAATTTTTATTTTAAACTTGATGTATATTATATTAAGTTTAAAAAAAAATTATCAGTATACGCAATTGATTGATATATAAACTTGATGAAATACATTTTATTCTATATTTTCAGACATTAGCCAAACGTATCATGTAGAAAAATTTTTTAAAATTTTATAACATTTAAAATTTTCTTAAAAATAAGATCTTAACCATTATTCTTTTTTCGACTTATTTTTATATGTACAATAAATTCTTGCATGATTCTACCTTCTGTCTTGATATATTTTAAAAAATGACAAAAATATACATATTTGAAAAAATATTTGTCACTTTGTTTCAATTGCAAATGAAAAGTATTACATATAGATGATAGAATAAATTTAAATTTTGTATATTCAATATTTTAGCTTCTGTCGTATTTACTTATAATATTTAAATACTTTTTGTAATTATATTTTATAGCTTATAAAATGTTTTCAAAATTTAAATACTATCTGTCTTTATTATTTTTGATTGTTTCTAACATAAATATGTTTAACTATTTTTATATGTAATTTTAAATTTTGCTGCATTTTATTTTGTTTTAGGTAGCATAAAAGACAGTTGTTCATATTTCTCTACAATTTAATCATGAATAAGAATATGACTTTATTTAAAGTTTGATTATGGAAATAAATTTTAAATATTATAATTACAAAAATTGTAAACAAATACAAATTATAAAATAAAGTTGATTACACCAATATAAATATAAATTCATATAAATATAAATATTATTTTAAAATTCTATGTAAAAAATTTGGTTAAAGAAATTTTTATTGTAATAATTGTCTCACATTTTTTACATTAAATTATTTCAATAGCTACGGCCGAAAAGGGTATAAAATTTGGGTTTATTCTGACAATCAGGGTGTATACATGTTTGCTTATCAAAAGGCACTGATGAGAGTGGTTGTTCAAATGGTATGCACAATGTTTTTGCTCCCATTGATAATGTTCCAAGTTCTTCTCCTGCATCCTCTCTATAAAAAGAAATGAAATACATATACTTTATATTTTATAAACAAACATCAATAATGAACAAAATTTTAATAACATTTACCGTGCACTATCGCATTTAATTTTATCTTCACAAGATGATTCTCCACAAAATGGTGATAATAACATGTTTTTCTCATTGAGATAAAAACAAAATTCATTCCAACTATCTGTGCGCTTGATATGCTCATTTAAGTCTTTTCTTGCTCTATTAGAAAAAAATTATTTACAATAATAATATTTACAATATTATACAGACATATTACTTACTTGGAAAGCATATTTGCTTGTATGTCAATTAATAACGTATGTAAAGCAGTGATTACTTCAGCTCTGTTTGCAAATACTCTTTCAAAATTATCTCTACGTACAAAAGTGACTTGATTCTTTTCTAAGTCTTTAGGGCCTAATTCGATTCTTATAGGTACACCTTTTAATTCCCAATGATTAAATTTCCAACCCGGAGTACGATTATTACGATAATCTGCTTTAACTCTAAGCGTTTTATCTTTCGACAATTCATCTAATAATTTATTACATTCAGAAAATAATAATTCCCTTTGTTGAGGTGTTGTATTTGCTGTAATACCGCAAGGCACTATAATGGCTTGAATACAAGCTACATTTGGTGGTAATATTAAGCCTTTATCGTCTCCATGAATCTACAAATAAAGTATGAAATTATTTGAAAAATATCTTCTATATAAGAAGATCTAAATATCTGTATTAAAATAAAGTTATATACCATTATCATAACTCCAATTGTACGAGTCGTTAGGCCCCATGAATTTTGATAAACAAATGTTTTTTCATCTCCTTCTGTGACACCCTCTACTTGAACATTGAACATCTTAGAGAAATTTTGTCCAAGATGATGACTTGTTGCTCCTTGTATTGCACGTCCACTTGTTGAAATAAAAGCTTCAACTGTGGTAGTGTAATCACCACCAGCAAATTTTTCCTTTTCAGTTTTACGACCTTTAATAACAGGTACTGCTAATAAATCTTCATATACTCTTGCATACATATTTAAAATCATCATGACTTCTTCATCAGCCTCAGCTTTAGTAGCAAATGCAGTATGACCTTCTTGCCATAAAAATTCTCTTGTACGCAGAAAAGGTTTAGGATCTTTAAATTCCCATCTCTATAGTAAACATATTTAATTACAACTATCTTTTATGCCTTCAAAAAATAATTATTTTAGATCATAATTAACAATTTATATACTTACTATTACATTATTCCATTGATTAAGTTTTAAAGGAAGTTCAGTATCAGATTTTAACCATTTAGCATAAGCAGGATACATTATAGTTTCTGATGTTGGTCTTATAGCAATAGGTTCTGCTAAATCTGATTCTCCACATTTCGTTACCCACGCAACTTCAGGAGCAAAATCTGCTACGTGTGCTTTTTCTTTTTCCAATACTGTACGTGTAACAAAAATAGGAAAATAACATTCTTGTACGCCCATTTGTGTTATTTCTTTGTCAATGTATTGTTTTATTATTTTCCAAATTGCAAAACTCCACGGACGAAGAACATAACAACCGGATACATCGTAATATTCAATCATGCCACTTTTAGTAATAATTTGAGAATACCACTCGAAGAAATTTTCTTCTTTCTTTACCTCTAATCCTAATCTCGTTTTACCAACATCTACATCTTTTATACCTTCATTCTTATTTGTTTCTTTATTCGATGTATTCTTTTGTTTACAAGTATTCTCTTTTTTCTTTTTAGACATCACATCCGATGTTATTGGCTTCCATTCTTGACCGGTTAATGTTTTATAATTATTTTTCAAATGTAATAGAATTTTTACCTCTTGATCAATAACACTTTTATCTACCTTAGTTTCTTTTAATTGTCTTACTTTATCTCCTTGTTTTTGTATTTGCTCTGACAGTACAGTTACTGGAGTAGTAGACGGTTTCCAATCTTGACCAGTAACTGATTTGTATTCTGACTTCAAAGCTAAAAGTTTCTTTACCTCTTGATCAATAATACTTTTATCTGCCTTAGTTTCTTTTAATTGTCTTACTTTATCTCCTTGTTTTTGTATTTTTTCTGACAGTACAGTGCTTACTGGAGTAGTAGACGGTTTCCAATCTTGACCAGTAACTGATTTGTATTCTGATTTCAGAGATAAAAGTTTCTTTACCTCTTCATCAATAATAGTTTTTTCTGCTTTTGAACTTTTCAAATGTCTTACTTTATCTCCTTGTTTTTGAATTTCATTAAATAATTTTTGATTAACATGTGATTCTATTGGTATATTTTGTGTTATGTTTTGTTCTTTTATTCTGTTCCATTCATTACCAGTTATATTTTTATATTCAGCTTTTAAAGTCAAATAAGCTTTTATTTCTGGATCAATTGTATGTTTATATTGTATATAATCTGTTTGTTCAATAATTTTAGACAGTATTTTGTCTAATAACTGATTAATTTTTTGATCCAGTAAATCTGCATTTAGCATTTGTTTCTGAAACAATAACAGTAAGAAAAATATTTATGTAAATATTTATGTAACATGTATATTATTAATTTTTGATTACAGAAACAAAATGATACACACATTTTTTTGAGAAATTTCTTTAACTGGTGTCAATTTGTTAATATTTGATGTAGTTTCAGTAGATCTTGTATCTGTAGCATGACCATCTGGAATGTGAAATAATATTAAAGGCTGTTCTCTAGAAGAAAATGGACTAATAGGAGCATAAGGTACATCGCATCTAAAAAATCCTTTTCTTTGTAATTGAATTATTTCTCCTTTTTCGACACGTTTTAATGCTATTTCTCCAAGCATTTGTACTTCAATCTGAAATATTATTATATTTTTATTCTGTTTCTTAAATTTATGATTATCACAAATGGTAAAAACTTACTCTTGTTTCTTTTGCAACAAAATCTTTGTAATCATCATCTTTTCCCAATACTGGTTTATGTATAATGTGATTAAAGTAAACAGTATAGCATGGAATTAGATTAACTTTATTAATATCATCTTCATTTTTGTCAGAAGATGCTGATAACCATGTAATTTTTAATGTATTTTTATAATCTTTGTTTTCTAAATTTAGCTGTGCTATTATTTGTTTGATAACATTATTCTCTTTTTCAATTTTTTTTATTAATATGTTACCCCAATTAATAAGGGTAATATTTTGACCTTCAATTAATAAGTTTGCATCATCTCTTTCTATGTATAACTGTGATCTTACCAATATTTGTTTAGTTCCTTTTGATATATCTTTCGGATGATTCTGAACGGTCAACCACTCCTCTTTCACGTCATTTATATGTACGGATACAAGTTTATCAGATTCTAAAGCAGTATATCTAAAAATCGATATTATATTAATTAGTTATACAAATATTTTTCGCAAAAACATTTTTTATATTGTAGTATACCTAGTAGCAATTGGATCAATGACTTTTTTGTTAAATGCCCATATTTTATCCCACTCCATGAAAACGACAGATTTTGAACTACCTTGAGCAATAATAAACTGTTTTAATCCTTCAACTGTCATCCCTCTTCTCAAAATACCCCTTACTGTTGGAAAACGTGGATCATCCCAACCATCAACTAAGCCTTGATCAACAAACCAAGTTAATTTTCTTTTTGACAAAACTGTGTGTGTCATATTCAAACGTGAATATTCCCATATATAAGGTCGTCTCAATCCTAGTGCATCAATTATCCAGTAAAATTGAACATCTCTGTCATGATATTCTGTTGTACGTAAAGTATGAGTAATGTTTTCAACAGCATCAACAATAGGACAAGCAAAATCATATGTTGGATAAACTCTATATAAAAAATTATAAATTAATATTATATTAAGTATAGAAAAAATGAAATATTTGATTTTTTTAAATTTTTAATATTTATACATACTTATATTTTGTACTAGTACGAGGATGTGGTTGTAATTTGCACCTATAAATCGTTGGATCTCGTAAACATCCGTTTGTTGATTGATAATCAATTTTTGCTCTAACACAACATTCCTGGCCTTTAGCAGAACCTTGTTGCATCTCATTCCATAATTCAAGATTCTTTTCAATAGCTAATTGAATAAATGATTTTTTTGAACAGATTTCTCTTCATTTAAATTATTTTGAAAATACTGTGCTATTTTTATTTCAACTTTATACTTACAATTATTTCTGTTTGACGACATTAATTTCTGATCACGTTGTTCTTTCATTATATCAGCTGGTGTATCATCTACATATGCCTTACCATCTTTTATCAATTTAGTACAGTATTCCAACATCAAATCAAAATAATCAGAAGAGTGAGTAAATTTATCTGGTTTGATTTGCAATAACTCTAAATCTTCTAAAATAGCTTTTTCAAATTCTACATTTTCTTTTGCAGGGTTTGTATCATCAAATCTCATAATGAGCTGTCCTTGAAATTTTTGTGCATAATATTGATTTAACAAAGCAGCCTTAGCATGGCCAATGTGTAAGTAGCCACTTGCTTCTGGTGGGAAACGTACTATGACCTAATAATAAATAAATTTATACGGATTATATATCTTATCGCACACAAAGAGGTTATTTTAAATATAAATTACTTACTTTACCCATTTCTGCACCAGGTAAATTAATGAATTTACCTTCCTGTTTTCTTTGTCCTATTTGTTTAGTCATAGTTTTCTCAGATGGTGCATTATTATCAGAAGACAATTTAGCATTCTTTTTAACTGAAAGTAATACTTCTGTCACAGTTGGTAATGAAAGCATCTGTTTATACCATCTGGTTATATTAATAAATTTTTTTTCAAACTGTGTTAGAAATTTCTTATCTATAAGAACACAAAATATGTGGATATCAGCAATTGTTAATTTTTTAGAGACCAACCAAGTATTTGTCATTAATATGTTATCTAAATAAGAAAGTGCATCTTCCTTCAAAGGATAAGATCCTAGAGGTCCAATTGCAAATGATAACCAATGATCAACTTGAGTCTTCTCACAAGGATTGACACCACCTGTATTAATCATATAACAAATATAAGCAATAAAGAAAAATCAACGTGTATATCATAAAAGAAATTCATCATATATGTTTACCATAAAGATTTGTACATATAGTTCTAGCAAAGTAACGACTAACATCGCTGCTTCTTTTTCCCAATATTTTATTCTGACTATCAGTTAGTTGTATATTTCCATCACACTTCCAATCATTGGGCCAAATTATTTCAATTTTTTCTTTATTTTGGGAATTGATTATCTCTACTACTATTAATGCATCTATACAAATTAAAACATCAATTATCAATTTAATACAATTTTATTTAAGACGGAAGAATATATATAATAGTATTGTTTTATTACTAAAAAGATATTTTCAACATTAGCATCAGTATATGGCTAACTTTTTAGCATCTGTTTTCTAGATTATTTTTGATATATAGTTAAATTTACTGTATTTAGAATGGAACTATGTTACGATAAAACTTACCTATTGGGGGATTTGTAGGATCAATTATAACTTTGTAAGTCATTTTTGTTGAAATTATGCTTAAATAGAAATTACATTCATAAGTATATTTGCCTGCGTTAAAACTTCTCCACGTTTGCAACAGTATCTAACTCTTACGACTAACGTCGTCAACACTGCTTTTTCTGGATACACGCATGTACACACACGCGCATACACATATAAAGAAAATAATTCTGAAGAAGTACTATAAATCAGATATATGTAAATTATCTTTTTATGATTAAGATTTCGGAAATTGTAGCATATAAATTACTTGTCGATAATAAATTGTAAATTATAGAACTAAGGTGTGTAATTACAAGTATGTACGTATATTCGTAACCATTTTAAAACATAATGGTTGTAAAAACTATTTTTTATTTAAAGATATTATAAGAAAAATTAGTAAAAGTACATTGCATATTTCTTTTCTAAACATTGAATATTTAATTTTCTTTTCTTCTTTATGAATTCATTTTAATTTCCTCTGTACAGTTATCTTTTTTCGTTTTTGATTGGATTAATATGTAATGCAATGTTGATCCTGTTAATAATCTTTGGTAACAACTATGTATATGACACTAGATTTTTACGCATGTAGATGCGTGAATATGTACATAAAACGATAGATTCATTGATTCGTTTAAAATTTCTCTATAATATATCATAGCTTTTTAATTTTTACCAATATTCTCGATATTCTAATAGGTTTTTCAATTATCTATTAATTGGAATTTAGGTAAGCAGCTGATGTGTAACAATATATAGATAGAAATATACGCAAAGGTGGGTCGGTCACCTGGAGATAACTGTAAAATGTCATCAACGAATGTGTGTCAGGCATGGACTTGACGCTGTTCAATGACACTCGTGGGATCTGTTGTCATAATAATTATGTTTCATCAATGTTAATTTGATCGAAGAAAAGATAGCTATCTTGGTACAGAATCTTCTGTTGATTAATTTAAACATATATGTAAGATAATATTTATTTAAACAAAACATTTACATGCTTTATTTAGTGTAGATAATAGATATTGCATTTTTTTTTAATATATTGTAAATATATGCATATTTAAATCGTTTAGAACACAAAAAAAATTATTGTTAGATATAATTTAATGGTATTTAATGGAATTAATTAATTTAATATGTTATTTGTTGTCTATTATACGATGATTATTTAATCAAATCAAATAAAAAAATATATATTTTATGCATATGCTTAATTTTTAATGGAAATTCTGTATTTAGAAATATTGTATAAAAAAGTATAAAGATTAGTATCTTAAGTATTGATCTTTATATCCTTGTTTTAGTTTATAGATATTTAATATAATTCACATATTAAAGATTTATTAATTTATTTTTTATTACAGATAAAACAATTAATATGGAGGGACCAGAAGTGACATTTTTATTCCAGTTTGGTTTAACTCGTGATACTGTTACAGTTGAAAGCAGTACATTGACTCTTAAGACTCTTAAAGAATTTGCTTGTGACTTTATAAATACGAAGTGTCCAGAACATGGTTTAAATCATTTATTTGAACGATTGCTTTTATTTAAGCATGACTATAATTCCACTAATATCTTACAACTTATTACAAACGCCACTGAAGTTGTTGATGAGACATTGGTAGAAATTGTTTTGACTGGTAAATTTTGAATTGATATATTTTATTATAATAAATGAAATATAAAAATGAAAAAGTTAAGAAAAGAGAATAATTGTTTAATTTTTTTTTAAGCACAAGTGCCAAATGAAGAAGTTCCCATTCGTCCCCATGCTTTGACTGTTCATTCATATAAAGTTCCAACATTTTGCGATTTTTGTGGAGAAATGTTATTTGGCCTTGTTCGCCAAGGTCTAAAATGTGAAGGTAAATATTATATTATGTTATGACTATTTTAGTTATTTTGAGTACTGTAATATAATTAATGTATTTTATAGGTTGTGGAATGAATTATCATAAAAGATGTGTTATAAAAGTACCTAATAATTGCTCACATGATGTTAGTCAAAGACGGCGCAGTTCTGCAATGTTAAATGTACCAAGGTCTCCAAGTCAAGGATCTACTAGTAGTTTGACCAGCATTAGTGATGATAATCATAGTACAAATAATACACCGAATGCAAGTCAAAATAACAGTACTTTGGTAAGATTTTATGTATGGTGCAATGTATAATTCATATATTTTTACATATATTATTGTCTTCTACCATATTATAAATTTAGACAATACCAAGTATAATGGCACCAAAACAATCTCGCTCTCCTTCATTGGGAGGACGACCAGTGTGGGTTGAACGAGAACTTGCAACACGTATAAAAATTCCACATACATTTGTGGTACATACTTATACCAGGCCAACTGTATGTGGATATTGTAAAAAATTATTACGAGGTTTATTTAAACAAGGCCTACAGTGCAAAGATTGTCAATATAATGCACACAAGAAATGTATAGAAAAAATACCGAAAGACTGTACTGGAGAAAATCCACGTGACAATACAGGTCTCTTTTACTCGTATCTTATTCATTTTTTTCATAAATAATTTATTTCAAAAGTAATGTTTATTTAGGTAACAAATATTTAAAAAATATTAAAGAAATATCAATTATTTAAAAAATTATATTTATTTAGGTAACGAATATCCTGATAGCGGTGTCGGCAGTGAACCGGAAGGAAAATGTGACGGTAGAAATGAAGAGGCCGATGGCGATAGTGATGCTGAATCTCCTTCACCTCCTCAGCACTCATCTTTTGTAGTAGATGAAACAAAAGCATCTGATGAATATACTGTAAACTTGTTTTTATAATAGAAAATATTAGACAGAAATATTTTTTTTAATTTTGTAGTTAATTTTATTTAAAATATTTAATAATAAATATAATATTTATTTAGATTATTTTTATAGGACCAAGTTCCATGCAGTGATGATATTATTTATGATGAATTTCAAAAATCTAGACCGTCAAGGTAAATTGGATTTTTTATTGTGTGTGTAAACTTGTGTTTTATTATGTATATGTTCTTTTATTATGTTAGTTGCAGTTCTACACCAAGCAATAATATTCCTCTAATGCGCATAGTGCAAAGTGTTAAACATACAAAACGACGTGGTTCGAAAGTTTTAAAAGAAGGTTGGATGGTACACTTTACAAGCCGTGATCCAATGGTAAATAATTAATATATATTTTTACGTATATACATATACATAAAAATTATTAAAATTATAATATTTGAAAATTTCATAGCGAAAGAAACATTATTGGCGCCTTGATACAAAAGCTATAACATTATTCCAAAATGAAAATAGTTCCAAATATTATAAAGAAATTCCATTGGTTGAAATATTGTCTATTGAAACTGCTGAGACATCTCGTTCACGTATGTATTGAATATTATATATATATTATATTCTATAGTTAATATTTATATTATATATTTTTTATTAAAATTTTATTTGGCACATATCAATGATATGAACATGAATTGTATTTTAGAAACAATCCATTGTTTTGAGTTAAAAACTGCCAATATTGATTATTATGTTGGAGAAGATCCTTCATATGGAGAAAATTGTAGTCAAGTTCCTCCACCAGAAAGTGGTATTGGAGCACACATAGCTAGGTCATGGGAAACTAGTATTAGGCAAGCATTGATGCCTGTTACTATATCAGCCAGTATGTAATTTTTCTTTTATTATATCTTATATTAAGAAAATTTCTTCATTTAATAGATACTAATATTGATAATATTGATAATAATATTTATCAATATTAAAAAGCTTTATCTATGAAAAATATTCTAATTATAGGTCAAGAAGAATCTACAGAACCTGAGGAAAATATTACTGATATGTCTCAATTATATGAAATCTTTCCAGATGAAGTTCTAGGTTCTGGCCAATTTGGTACAGTGTATGGAGGCATTCATCGTAAAAGTGAACGAGCAGTCGCCATTAAAGTTATTGATAAGTTACGTTTTCCTACAAAACAAGAAGCGCAGCTTAAGAACGAGGTTGCTATCCTCCAAAATCTGTCGCATAGTGGAGTTGTTAATCTAGAACGAATGTTCGAAACTCCTGAACGAATATTTGTGGTTATGGAAAAATTAAAAGGCGATATGCTGGAAATGATATTAAGTTCAGAACGTGGCCGTCTTAGTGAAAGAGTAACTAAATTTCTGATTACACAGATATTAGTAGCATTAAAACATCTACATAGCAAAAATATAGTACATTGTGATTTAAAACCTGAAAATGTATTGTTAAGCAGTGATAACGAATTTACACAAGTAAAACTATGCGATTTTGGTTTTGCAAGAATTATAGGAGAAAAAAGTTTCAGAAGAAGTGTTGTTGGTACTCCAGCATATCTAGCACCAGAAGTTTTAAGAAATAAAGGTTATAATCGTTCTTTAGATATGTGGAGTGTTGGTGTAATTATTTACGTATCATTAAGTGGTACATTCCCATTTAATGAAGAAGAAGATATTAATGAACAAATTCAAAATGCTGCTTTTATGTATCCACCTATGCCTTGGCAAGAAATCTCATCTGATGGTATGCAAATCATTGAAATAAAATAATACCCATCAAACAATAAAGATTAATAAAATTAATTTTTTTTTTAGCAATTGATTTAATCAGTAATTTGTTACAAGTAAAACAACGAAAACGTTATACCGTAGATAAGAGTTTACAACATGTATGGCTTCAAGTAAGTATTTTAATCGTAAATAGTTTTTAGTATTATAAAATATAAGGTTACTATAAATTGTATTGTTTTTAAGGATTATCAAACATGGTGTGATTTACGAGAATTAGAAGCAAAAGTAGGATATCGTTATTTAACTCACGAAAGTGATGATGCCCGATGGTCAGCATACAGTAACCAGCGTACATGACAGAACTCTCTGCCTACATTAAACATCGAAACATTGCCAAATAATTTATCTGTACACAAAGGCTGGGCTCGTAGTGCTCGAGCTACATTGCGACGTTTCATTCGTGCCTGACTTGAATACATTCATAATAGGGAGTACAACTATATTTTTTTTTGACTATCAGTAAACTGATATGAAATACTAATATGATAACTTTATTCCAAAATATATTTCATGTAAAAAATAAGAATTATTACATAGAAAATTATTTAGACTGCGTTGTGTAAGATAAAACATTCAACAAAAGATAGGAGAAAGCAACAGCAATGTTTTCATGGATATTCAGTAATTTTAATAATGAATTTGAACGTGTTACAAGGTACTGGGTATAGAAATTTTCTATAGTTCGTAAAGTATGAAAAATACTCTAGAGAATAATAAATATAGTATTATCATGATATTTTAGACAATTATTTATTTTACCATAAAATAAATAATTGTTTCATGCTGTTTTATTAATGTAACATTGCATTGAATACATAATACCATTTTACAAGTAATATACATATATAAGTGTTAATCTCGTAATATAAACATATTTTTCAGCTTAAAATAGAAATACATATAGAATGTTTTATAAATGCACAAGAGATGCTTAAAATAGAATAATTAGATTTAACATAATATGTCAAGCAGTATGTATAAATTATAAAATATATGTATATTTCTTTTATATATATAAACTTTTGACATTCTTTGAAGTAAGATGAAATTAAAAATAGTACCATATAAACTTCTTAAAAACTAATAGAATTTTTCATAGATTAAATTAATATATACGTAATATTATGCTATATATAATAAATTTACTATTTCATATTTTTGCTTCAAAGCATTTAGATATTAAAAGTTTATAATTTGTGTCAAATCTTTTAACAATTAATACAAACTAAAACTAAAGATAAAACTAAAAATAAAAAGACGTGCATAAAATGTATACTCTAAATTATTAATTCTTATGTGATAAAATAAGATTATTGCAAATACAATCTTCTTAAACTTTTGATCTTATACATCATAATAAAGCATTCATAATCTTTATAAACATTCATAAAGACAAGGGAAGATTTGCAAATAAATACATTCCAAGAAGATTACTATACATATTCTCAAGCATTTTTTATATAATATTATAATTATAATTATTATTGTGATAAATTTCATACTAGAAAGTAGTGAACAAAATTTTTTGGAACTATTTGATAATTAGCATATAATAGACAAAATGATTAATTTTACGTTTTTAGTATATTTGTTATTTTATTTTATTCTATAAAATTATTTTACACTTTTCATTATTTTATTAAAAACAAAATACATTCCAAATAGAAAAAGATCTAAATTATACGTATTTTTTTCTCCATTTTAAGTACTGCGTTTATTTTTCTCTTTTTAATTTCATATTACAGTTACTATAGAAAAAATTTAAAATATATAGAAATTAATTGACTTAAATAAATGTATATTTATAAGAAACTTAAAATATCCATTTTCTAATCATATATTAAAGCCTTAAAAAACTTTATATTTCGTTATATTACTTTAACGCAATACTTGTTTTTAATACAATATTTTTGCAATCATTCAAATTATTAATAAAAATATAGTAATAAAAGAAACATGAGGAATCAAGAAAGAAACCATTTTTTTTAAATTCAGAAATTAAATATGAACAAATATATTTCCTTATTTGTTAATCAAATATTTCATAAAGACTGAGTTGCTTTTGAATAGTAATATTTGGGATTTGTCTGAATATTTTACTCATTGTAATAATATTTTAAATAGAATATTATATTTTAAAATGAATCATTTTTTACACTACACTTTTTCATTAGAAAAGCATAATATACAGATACAAATGTTATTTCAATCGTATGTTACTTAACAGAATCTCATTTATTCACAAAATATTTTATACATCAAATTATATTTTATTATATTTAATTAATATAGCATCAAATATATTGTTGTACATGACATATGGCCTGTATTTTTGAAAATTTGTTTCCAAAAATACTTCAATTATGAAATGAATATTTTTGCTTTGTTTATATTTTTATTATGGAACATGTATTATAATTACAGTAAAATATTACGTTTGGATAGTCAATGAAATTTAAATTTAAATATAAACATAATAATTATTATTATTTTATAAAAAATTCTGCAGAAATATTTTCAGTTATACATATTATACATTTTAATTATATATGGGAAGATTTGTGTAATATTAATAGATTTTAAATAATCTGTATATGATTTGCAAAATTAATAATTCTTTTATACATTATATTATGTGTTTGTAATATGTTTCTAAATTAATTGTACATATTTTATAAACTTTTTGTGATTTAAAGAACATTTTTAAATTTTTATAAAAACATTAAATTTTATAAGAACTAACAATTTGTATTTTGTTGAAATTTATAATATTTTGTTAAAGTTTATAACATTTATAATTACATAATTAATAAACAAAAGTACTTAAAAGACAACATTATAATTAATAGATTTTAAGTGAAATTAACAAATTTTCATAAGAAGTTATAAAATGTTAAATATTATTGTACTTATTATGATAATAAGAATAAATAAATTATTAATGCTAATAGACTTTTTTAATACCTTCTATCTATTTTCTTCAATTTTTTAATAAAAATTCCATGTACAAATATATATTAGAGTATTTAGAAAAATTTATGTCATTGCGTTGTAAATTATTTCTTTGTCCTCATTAAATCTAACAGAACTTCTGCTTGAAATAATAACATCCTGATCCTGTCACACTATCTTCAGTTAGTTCTTTTATAACTTAAAGACACAATACAACATCTACTTGTGTTTATTTTACTTAGTGAATGTAAATATATGCAGTAAATGAATTATTATTATATAATATTATTAAATTATATATATATTTACATTATTGTAAAAACTACATAGTTTAATTAATTACAATGCTCATAACTAGTTTATTAATATTCAAGATATTATTGAATAATAGTTTGGCAGAATGGATTGATATGCCTCAATTTTCTAATGTGAAAAAGATATATAGGTATGTATAAAATCAGATTAAATAACATTAAAATTAATGTTAATTCAATGTCACTATTTTTTCGGATATGTTATATTTTATTCAAAGAATACCTACTACAAAACAAGATCATTTTTACAAATTTGCTCAAAGAAATATGGGAAATCAGTTTTCTTATATATATCAGAATATTACTTATAAAAGTACAGAAATAGAACAAATACCAGTTAATAAAACTGAAGAATACAATTTTCATAGTATGAAAAAAAATATCAAAGATCAGGAAAATGTGTTTGTACCTGATACAAAAGAATGCAATGAAACAATTCCCTTAATAATTGAGGTAACTATGTTATTGCATTTAAAATTTTTTAAATATTTTATTTTGAAAAACAATTAGCAACTGAATGTTTCATTTTTGTCATTTAGGAAGAAAAAGCAAATAAACAATGTTTAAACGAATCTTTTACTTCAAATAATGCAAGGCTTTTGGATTATCTTCCAGTGGATATACTTAAAAGTGTTCATTATACTTTGAAATCTCAACCAATATCAATTGATGGAAAAATTCATTTTTTGAAGACATTTGAAAATACATTAATGACTGAGATAGGTAACAACAAATAAGAATGACAATAACAATAATAAAAAATAGCTAAGATAGGTAACAATAAATAATAATAAAAATAACTCATACCAAAAAAATAATGATACGTATGACATGTCAATGTAATAATCAAATATTTTTAATAATGTTTTCAGAATTTCAACTTGCACAAAGTGTAACAAATGCTCGTAAAAGAAGAGGTACTGAACATTACGATCATAATTATGATCATGAACATGCGGCTGGATTTCCCTCCATAGAAGGTGCACTTATGGCTATTTCATTTCTTACATTTGCTGTGTATCTGATTAGATTGGTTATGGTAATTATTTATCTATAATATTTATTATAGTAATTAATGATATGGATTTATGTAATAATTCATATAATAATTTTCTTTAGCTTTTATTCAGAAATATGAATTCTACACCAACCCCTACAACTACTTTATTTCTTGGCAGAAGAAAAAGATCAATAGATAAATTTAATGACGATGCAAATATGATTCTTAAAAATTTACATAATTTTTCTTCTGAATTTTAATATAAAAGGATAGTTTACAATAATTAAACAAATATTTATAGCATTAATTATATTGAAAGCTTCATAACTGAGTCATTTCCCTGTATAACTTAAGTTATTTTAATACATATCTTCTCAATTTTATTCTATATATCCTATTTTTACAATTTAGCAGACATAGGTGGTGGTAATAGAGGCAGTAATATTGCATTAAGATATGAACCTAATGGTCGTTTTAGCGAAAGATTTTGCAATTGTACAAGAATCTGTATTATTTCGATTTTGTTTACTAGATACTTTCGTTTCTCATCTAGTATCAGAATACCTTGTGTTACAAGATTACTTATTGTTGTATTAATCAAATCAATTGATAAAGAATAAGGATGTTGTCCCCATTGACGTTGTTCAAGAAATGCTTTTTCTATCTGTTTCTGTGCTTCAATCAATACCTCTTGTATCGTTATATGAGTTGATTTTGATTCATCCCACTGTAATTGAAAACAGATTTTTTTTCTATATGTTTGAGAATATAATAAATATAAAATACTATACAATATTATTGAATTTTACCTCAAATAGAACAAGACATGTAATATATATTGTGTCTATAAATGGTAATATTACATTATAGAGAAGGGAGAATACTTTAGTATCTTTTCTTTGTACATATGTATTATTTTGAATACTTATATAATTTTGTCTTAATAATAAATTTAATGTTTCTTCCCATTCAGATTTTATCACAGATTCGTCTTCTATTAAAGGCATTGCAAATTCTGTGGTCAATAGCTTTCTTAATAATACATATCGTTTAAATACGTTTCCTATACATAATACAATAATACATCAATTCTATTTCATCTTTTATATGTAATATGCCATATGCATACAATAATATTACCGAGCTTATTTCCTTCTATTCCTATAGCAACAGTAACAATAGCTGGTTTTATTAAAAAAGATAAAGTTGGATTTAGATAAATTGAAACATTAATGACAGGTACAGCTATTCTCATAGTTTTTTCTAATAGAGTATGACCTTTAACACGGATATTGTTTTTCAGCTTTGTTATTCTATGTCTCTCTTTGAGTCTCAAAATGTTTGATGTATCAATTATAAGTAACTCTTCATGAGATTTTAAACTATTTAATATTTCTTGTTTTACATTGCCTGTATTTTGATCATTTATATCAAATGACCTGCAAACTTCTTTCTATAATATATGTAATTATTAGAATTCTGTGACTATTTTTTAAAACTTACCTTTCTATATATACTGTAGCATTAAATACTTGCAGAAGCCTTTTACACCATAAATAGTCACTGACTAATTCATCTAATGTATATGGATTATCTGAATGCATTTGACTTTTTTCATTAAATAATAAAGCAATTAAATTAAAAGGCATAAGTATTGTATTTTTTTTATGTGAATCTATTATGCAATAAGCTAGATTTTTAACAACAGATGTTGGTAGTTTTGTATAAGGTGATAATACTTTTTCTTTGCGATGTTCCATACTTAAAAATTGGCATGCAGAAATAGGTTCATTAACATTAAAAACAATAGATCCATAGGCATATGACTTCTGTAAAATAGATAGAGATTGGAGTAAACCAACAGTAGATTCTTTTGGTTTTGGCACTCCCAAAAGCTCATATGTAAATAACAATTCTTCTGGTGGTCGTTCATAATTAATACTAATAGGTATAAAATATATATCAGGTACACTGCCTTCTAATAAACTCTCCAAAATAGTTGACAAAAGACCTGAAAATGTAATCATCTTTATGTTTTTATTAAATATTAATCAAAATGTTATATCAAAATTATTGATTTTAACATACCAAACTTTGGTATTATGCTCTTCAAACTTCTACTTCGAGTGCCTTCAATGAAAAATTCAATTGCTCTATCACTATGTTTTACTAAAGACATTACATATGCATTAAATATTTTTTTATACAATGGATCATTAGAAAAACTGCGCCGCATATAAAAAGATCCTGATTTTCTGAATAATTCTCCTATTACATACATGTGATAAAAATCCATTCCACTTGCAATGTTTGGAAGTGCCATGTCATAGGAAAATAAGACATATGATAACACTACAAAATCTAAATAACTTCTGTGCGAAGGTGCATAAACATATTGTATCTGAGAAATTTGCATCTCTTTTTTCATCTTGTATATTGCTTTTTCATTAACATAAATGCTCACAAAAATTCTTTTAAGAACTTTTGTAATAATTAAACCTGAAATTTACAACATTACTCGTAACTATAAAGGATAAAAATATTATGATCTTAAATAAAAGACAGTTTTACCCATGAAACGAACAGTGAGTAAATTTTCTTTGCTAGCCATTTCATTTATTATATCATAAGCCTCTTTAATAACTTTTTTGACATCTATTTGGCGTATTGCAGCCAAAGAAATAATTGCCAATTTAATTTTTTCATCATTTAAAACTGCTTGAATCATTTCATTTCTAGAATATTTAGATTCCATTGGAAGTTTATGTGGTGATAATGGATCCATTGACCGAGAAGCCCATAAAATATCATAATCTTTACGTCTTGCAAGCAGTAAATCCACAAATTCTGAACGTTGTTCCATTTTAAATATGGAATATTTGCAATATTCAGATAACTTTATTCAATGCGTTACTTCAGTATCAAAACAATGAGCAGTATTTAACCAAAGTTCAATAATCGATACGCATCAATTATCAATTTTAATAACATTTCATTATTTAAATTTTTTTTTCATACGTACACGTATTGTATATGCTACTGATCGTACTGTGATTTTTTTCCGATTAATTATATCCTCTTAGACATTGTACATTTTTCCTCTTTTCGCTCTTTCTAATTACTATTTTTATTGACAGTTATGACGCGTTAAAAACTAATATTTGAAATACATACAAATCGACCGTAACTCAAACATTACTTTACATATAAAATTACTTTTCTAAAGTTTTAAGTATTATTATTTGTCGTTTGTCGAAGATTATGTATTTTTACTTTTTTTTATTCTTTGATCCTTAATAATTAAAATAATTATATTAATATAACACAAGAATGATACTTCTCATATTCTTGTTTCAAATAGTTTATGTATTTAATAATTATACTAAAATTTTAATGTTAAATTACATTTTAACAGCAAGCAAAATTTGAAAGAGGTAACGAAATATAACATTTTATTTATCCTAATCTTAATGTTCAAAAATCAATGTAAATACGTATATAAATACAAAGCTGAAGAGCCGAGAGAAAAATCTGCATTCCGCGTTGTGTTAATTCGAAGCATTTCCACTTGGCGCTGTTTCCGTTCTCTTGATTCTTTTACCGACGAACAATCATCTATATTTGTGATTTTGAATGAATTAGGTGCATCACCTTTTTTGAAGCGTTTCTCGTGTGGTTTTACAAAGGTGATTTAGTGATTATGGGTGGCGAAGAAGGTCTAGGAGTGACTACGGGTCAACCAAACCTTTATAAACAAGATTTGTCAAAGCTAGTGAGTAATAAGTATACTAATGTACCTTTATAATTCAGTAAGCTCTCATATATGTTACGTATAACCTTATATATTACTAACATACTGCAATAATTTTTGTTTCTGTTGAAATAAATGAAATTTTATTGACGGAAATGCCTGGTAATTAAAATATTAATTCTTGAAACTACATTTCATTTGCAATGTCTTGTTTATTGCAGACATTTTGTTATAACGATTGTTGTTGACATCTGGTTTTGATATACATCATATTATCATATAGTGATTTAAAAATACTTTGTTTATTACAAAATCACACGCTTTTACAATTTTGTTAACATGATTTTACTATTGATACAAATGCAGCAATGATTTTTATTTTAGTATATTTCATAAAAATAAAAAATGTCTTTACTGTAAACTTTTACTTAGTCATATACTTTGTAGCGTACAAATACATCTTTTGTGAAGTTATTTAATCGTTTTCAAGAAGTTTCATAGAAATTCCATTTGTACTAATTTATTAATTTTTTGAATAAGTAAATTTTTACACTGAAGTCTAATGTTTAAGTATATGAAACTTTTATTGCTTAGGATGTTAGTAAATTAACTGCACTATCCCGTGAGGTCATCAGTAGACAAGCAACGATTAATATTGGTAAATATTATTTAAAAATATGTATAAAAATGTGTTGCATAAACCACATAGAAAATCTTATGTGTAGGTACTATTGGTCATGTAGCACATGGAAAGTCTACAATTGTAAAAGCAATATCAGGAGTACAGACCGTTCGTTTCAAAAATGAATTAGAAAGAAATATTACTATTAAACTTGGTAAGTAGATTTAGATCTTATATAAAATTATCACATTGTTGCGATATATGCATGTCTTGTTATATATAAGTAATACATAATATATCATAGTATATAAATTACTACAATATGTTTATAACAGGACATTAATTTAAATCATCATTCTTGATCTTTTCTCTATTTATTTATAATTTTCTTCATTGAAACTTGATGCTCTCATTTTTTTTTTCATTTAAAGTAATTAACTTTTTTCTAAACAAAATTGATTTTAACAATATGATATGTTATATAAGAAGTTATATGTCCAATATTTTATTGTAAACAACAAGTTTGTTTTACCATTATTTAACAATTCGCATGTAGCGTAATAAGATACAATTTTAATAGAGAATTTTTTAAAATTTCTCATGGTTCACAAATGAACCGCTATTAGTTCTATGCATCCTTGCTAAAATCAGTCATTCGGGAGTTAACATAAAATTAAGATAACAGATTGTTGTTAACGATGAAAATATTACCAAATTGATCATTATTTAAGTGCTATACAGAAGAAAGATGTCAAAGAAACTTATTGTGTATTCCTATATCTTATTTACTGCATATATATACATATATATGTGATCCTTTCGGCCATTACGCGTTTAGTTTTACGATTGTATAATCTATTAGAATCATACCCGCATTGCTTTGCCTTATTATTTCGTCTTTGCACAATAAAAATACAAGAAATTGGTTTGACAGTCAGAATAAATAAGTTGTTGATAAGAACATATCAATTGCAATTGAATGGTTGGTTTGAACGCTATGGAGAGGAAATGGAACTTCTTTCTAGAGAAGATGCCGTTTAAAAAGATTATAATTAATAACTTAATGAAGGAACAAATTATTATGAATTTTTATTATTATTTGAACATTATTTATTTTAGACATTTAATGAAATATTTAAAAAAAAGAAATTTTTATTTTCAAAGAATCATATTCTTTTTATAGATGGCGCTAAATACGAGAGATTATCGCCATTTTATAAAATACTTTAGAGTGCGGGATCAAAGATGTTTTGTAACTGACACATACCAAAATTTAACACTAATCATAAATTATGTAATTCTTTTAAATATTAACTTCTATTTAGTTAATTTGTAGAATCTTATTTTATTTAAGTTATTTCATTTTTCATATTCATTATTTATCTAATTACTGTTAAACATATAAATAAAAAACGGTTTATTTTCATAATGACAATAAACTACATATATTAAAAGAATTTTTTTGTTAATAAACTTAAAGTATAAAAACGAGTTCATAATATAATAATAATATAATACATACTAAAATATCAATATAATAGCATAAGTACAGTATTCAGTCTCCAATGAAAAAACTAATTTTAATGCACTGTTCATGCATGATTATTTTTACTTATAATAAATTAAATGTGCACTATGTATTTCATGCATTAAATAACAAATAATCATATATAATTAAAAGACAAATGATTATTGATTAAAGCATACCTTAATAAACCATTTTAAAGTGTTAAAAACTTTTTTATGAACTACACTTATCTCAGTGATTTATATTTTAGATAATAAGTAATGAGTGTGAATGTATCTTTATGTTATAATGTGTGACATTAAGGTAAGTATAATTATATTTGTTAAATAAAGTCTCTTATATTATACATAAATTTTGTCTTGTATATTGTTAAATTGATGCATATATACGTAATTATTATAATAAATTATGTAAACTTTATTTATTTGTTGTGTAAATGAATATAATAAAACCAACAATTTTTTTTATGTGATGTTGATGTGTGTATTTTATTTATTAAAATCCTAAAAGTATCAAATTAAACTAAAATATTTTACAGTATTTCATGTACAATGTAGTATTTCCTTTAATTGTAATATAATTGCAATTATAAGGAAGAAAATTAATATTAAGGTATGCTTTAGTCAATCAGTTCACGTGTTATCTTGAAACATTAGTAGATTTATGCTGTTCATATTAAAAGATTATATGTAATTAATTTAATGAAAAATTAAAATAGTAACTTTATAATGTTTCTCTATGTGTGTGACACAGTCTTCTGCACAAATGTTCTACAAGTTACATTAATTTTCTTATAATAGCACCAAACATCTTCCTTAATAAATGAAAGAGAAGAGCGAAGAGGATTTGAAGGATTCTTGGTGTACAGGGTGATAATATTAATACTAAGAAAAAAAGCAGAGATGATTGTACAAACACAAAATATGGAAAAATATGACTGGAAAGAATGACATTCTTTAAATGTTTGGCATTACAGACGCTCATGCAGAGGACAGTACCAGAGGAGAACAAGAAGAAAATCGTGTTTACAAGAGCAAAATGTCTTCTACACAAGAAAAAAGACCAGCCTCTCCAGGATTAGCTCAACCAACGACCAAACATCAAAAGCTTGATCAAAAATTTAATTCTTCTCGAGCAAATAGTTATAATGATAGTAATGTCCATTTTAAACAGTCTCAAGAAATAATCAACAATGGAAGAGACTCCAACTATTCCAATAATCAAGAAATTGATGTAGAAAATATAAGATTATGCAAGTCATATATTAATACTAATATTGAAAGGCATCAAACAGACAATATAGGAAATATTAGATTAAAGGAACTTAGGATTATATTAGAAGATATAAAGCATATGAATATAAAACATGACAATAAAAAGAGAATTAAAAAATTAGTGAAGATTACTCTTTGGGAAGTAGAAAAGATTCTTGCAAAAAAAGTATTAGAAGGAGTACCAACTTATTTAATCAAATGGAAGAATTGGAATTCGGAGTATAATACTTGGGAACCAGCATCAAATCTAGTGAATTGTGCAGATATTCTAAAAAAATTTGAAAAGAATATATTACAATTAATCGATCGTTTCAAAAAGAAAGCAAATTTTTATCCAACAGATAGTGATATTGAAAAATTCATAAATTGTCTTAATCAGAGAGGAGAAACTTTAACATCTATTTCACTAGAAACAAATGCAATTGGCATTAACATACGCAAATATTTCCGACAAAGAGGAATGAATAATAAATTGGAAAAAATTATAAAACATGATATTCTTCGTATGTTAATTATTGATTCAAGGAAGAAACAATTAGAATATTTGAAAGAGTGGGAAACTGAAATGAACCTTATCACTAAAGGTAAACCAATAATACAAGTGGAGAATGTGGTAGACTTGGAATCAGCACCTCAAGATTTCTATTATATAGAAGATTATTTACCTGGTAATGGAGTTATAATACCTGATGATCCGCCTATTGGTTGCGAATGTAAGACTTGTAATTCTAAAACAAATTGTTGCTTTGCTCATGACAATGAATCATGTCCATATACTTCTACATGTAAGATTCGAGTTCCACCTGGAACACCGATATACGAATGTAACAAACGTTGCAGCTGCGACATTAACTGCTTCAATCGAGTAGTGCAACGTGGCAGTGAGATGAAGTTTTGCATTTTCAGAACTGCAAATGGGCGAGGTTGGGGTGTGAAAACTTTAAAACCGATTAAGAAAGGCTGTTTTGTTACTCAATATGTGGGTGAAGTCATAACAAATGAAGAGGCTGAAAAGCGTGGCAAAGAATACGATGCCGCTGGTAGAACGTACTTGTTTGATCTCGATTATAACGAGATCGAAGGAGAATGTCCATATACTGTAGATGCCGCCGTATATGGTAACATTTCTCATTTCATCAATCATTCTTGCGATCCAAATCTCGCAGTCTATGGTGTTTGGATCGATTGTCTTGATCCAAATCTACCTAAACTTGCATTGTTTGCAACAAGAGATATTAAACAAAATGAAGAAATCACTTTTGATTACATGTGTCAATCTTCTAAGAATAATGAAAACTCTATAAAACAAAATATGTCGATGAAAGACAATTTTAATATTTACATGAATATTAAATTTCAAGAGAAATTAAAATTACGTCCAGACACACCAGAATCCGACTTATCCAACAATAAAACTTTATGTAAATGTGATGCTCAAAATTGTAGACGATATTTATTTTGAATTATTTTCTACAAATTTATTGTACTAACATACAAATAAAATTATGTAAACATTCAGTTTCAATCATATCGATAGTCTTGTAACGAACTGTGTAAGTGGATTAAACATTGTGTTATTAGAATTAAATTGAATTTCGCATTTTGTCAATGATTATTTTTTTGTTCGTTCAATAGACTGTATACATTTAAGAAATGGTAGAAATACTTAACGAAGTTTTGATAATATAATTTTTGTAATTTGATATGTATTTGTTAGAAGTAATTATAGTTGAATTATATTATACATCATAGTTAATATCTTTACTGGCATAAGTTATTTAAAATGATAAAATGAGAGTGATAAATTTTTATTATTTTGCATTATTTGTATGATTATCATCTTAAACTTAATACCACAATATGTCATTCACTGTCATAATATAAAACATAATAAATGACTAAATGCGCTTAATTTTAATATGAATAAACATTAGAAATTTCATATTAAGAATGTTACGTAATAGTAGTTTAAAAATAGAAAATTATTTTTATTACACAAATAAAATGTTATTTAAAATTAGAGTAACTCAAAAGTGGTATAACAATGAAATAAATTGCATTTATGTGTTCACATTTATACTATTTTTTAATTGCAAACTGTGAATATCAACTTTTGTGTTAAATATCATTCTGCATATCATCATTGATATATGGTCTAGAAATTTATTTTTCACATATTTTGTGTATGATTGTATTTGTATAAAATGTATACAACATATTTTCATCTGATGTTTCTATAAAACGACAATGTTATATTAAAGTCGTTTTGTTAAATACATCATTTAATGTAGTTTGTTTTTATAGTCACTTATAATCATTTATTACCAAATTATAAAAATATTTATAATAAATAAACTTTCAATGAAATATTGCGGTACAATATCATGAATATTAAGTTTTATACCAATTTAAACTCTAATTAGCATTCCTATACATTGATTGCCAAATTTTTTTATCGAAAAATTATTCAATGTTCAATTTTATCGAAATTTATATTCGATAAAATTAAATTATTAAAACTGTTGACTTTTGTATAGTATTAATGTCTTGATATTTATAAAACATTTTTTTAGTTATTTAAAAATACGTGTAAAAAAATGTTTTATTGAGTGTAAACAAATAAACTCATTGTTATTTCAGTAACTGATCAACTTTTATATACAATGATTAGTTTCCCCTTTACCTATTCATTAACAAAAGAAGAAATGTATTAAAATATAAAATTAAAAGAAGACTATTTAAATAAAATAACATTACGAATTTTTTTCGAATTGATTCCTTTCAGGATATGCAAACGCAAAAATTTATAAATGTGATAATGAGAAATGTCCAAGGCCAGGATGTTACATATCTGGAGGATCAAGTAAAGATGATTCATTCCCTTGCATACGACCAATTTGTTCTGGACGATTTCAACTTGTACGTCATGTATCCTTCGTCGATTGTCCAGGACATGATATCCTTATGGCAACAATGTTGAACGGTGCTGCTGTTATGGATGCAGCTTTACTTTTAATTGGTACATATGTATTTCAAATTCTATTGTATTATCATGTCTAAAATGGCAATTATTGAAAATATTGAAGTCAATAAATACTTATTTATAGCTGGCAATGAATCGTGTCCTCAGCCTCAAACATCAGAACATTTGGCTGCCATTGAAATTATGAAATTGAAACATATTGTAATTCTGCAGAATAAGATAGATTTAGTAAAAGAAGCACAAGCGAAGGAGCAATACGAACAAATTTTGAAATTTGTACAGGGTATTTTAATTATATATTATTCATATACTATTAAATATATAATATTAAAAGAATGATTTTTTTTCTTTTAATTAGGTACAGTAGCTGAAGGAGCGCCCGTAATACCAATCTCTGCACAACTCAAATATAATATTGAAGTTTTATGCGAATATATTACAAAAAAAATTCCAGTACCTTTAAGAGATTTCACTTCGGAACCAAGATTAATTGTAATCCGATCGTTTGATGTGAATAAACCTGGTTGTGAAGTAGATGATCTGAAAGGTGGTGTTGCTGGAGGAAGTATTTTAAGAGGAGTATTAAAAGTATGTTAAAAATACTTTTTTTTTTGTTGTTTTGTTTATTGAACTTAATTTTATATATTTATTGTTTCCCAGGTGGGTATGGAAATTGAAGTTCGTCCTGGACTGGTATCGAAAGACAGTGAAGGAAAACTGACTTGTCGACCTATATTTTCACGGATAGTATCATTATTTGCTGAGCAGAATGAACTTCAGTTTGCTGTTCCGGGTGGTCTTATTGGTAAGTCAGCTCAAATACTGTAGAAAAAATACGAATTCTACAAAATATAAAGAATGTAATAATATTTAAAAATGAATTTTAAGGTGTCGGAACGAAAATTGAACCAACATTATGCCGAGCGGATCGTTTGGTGGGTCAAATTCTAGGTGCCGTAGGAGCTCTACCTAAAATATTTATTGAACTCGAAATATCATATTATCTACTTAAACGATTGTTGGGAGTGAGAACCGAAGGTGACAAGAAAGGCGCAAGGGTAAATATATTTGGAGATGTTATATTTAAATACTTTTTAAAGTATTTTTTATTGCAATTGTAAAATATTTTTTATAATAGGTACCGAAATTATCGAAAAATGAGGTATTATTAGTAAATATTGGATCGTTAAGTACTGGAGGACGTGTATTGGCGACACGTGCTGATTTAGCTAAAATCAGCTTGACAAATCCTGTATGTACAGAAATTGACGAAAAAATTGCATTATCACGTCGCGTTGAAAAACACTGGCGTTTGATTGGTTGGGGTCAAATTTGTGGCGGACAAACAATAGAACCAGTTATAGACCGAAAGTAATTTTACGAATATCACGAAAAAAGGAAAATTTAATACAGAAAATAAATTGAAAAAATAATTTTCACAACATAAAGTGTTGTTTGAAATATAATAAAGTAAAAAAATATACATAATTTGTGTATTCTTTACTGCATTTTGCCTAATATTCTTATCCTAAATAAAATTTATGTGTAAAATTTCTAAAAATAACTTATAAAGTATTTTTTAATATCATGAAACAAAAATTTATCTTCTACCAAAATTTTAATGATGACATGAATAAATACTTGAATATTAATCAAGTATTTTTTGTTTACTTATTCTTTATTTTGTATAAAAATAAATAAAAAAGAGATATACATAATAACTAACTTATATATATATATATAGCGTATGAAAAATTTTATTTGAATTATGTTAAATTAGGTATGGATATAAATCCCGGTTGAATATATGAAATTGACATTGAAACGCATGCTAACAATATTGGTGAATTGTCTGCATCTTGCATTAAACGGTGCAATTCAATTGGTTGTATAAATGGATCATCTTGACTGAAATGAAAAAAAAACATTATTGTATAAATTTCATACAAGAAATATAACTAACAGAAGAAATTACCTTATAACAACTATTCTATAAAATGGTAGACCAGGATTCGCTTTTCTATAGTTTTGTGTATTGGAATAAACATTGTACGAAATTTTGTATTTATTTCTTTTTCTTCTTACAATTTTTTCGGGAGCAGACTTAATTATTTTAAGTTTACTAAAAACTTCTTCCAGACTATTTGCATTTTTTGATCCGATAAGAGGACTGCGTAATTGCCCAACTACTTGTACTTCATTGCAATCTTCGATCACTTCTTTTCCCGTATCTTCATCATCAATAGTGATCGTTTTTACTTCACGCCATTTAGTTTTTAATTCCGACCATGATGATGCTTCTGGCAATATTCTAAATGACGATTGATAGACTTCGTCGTTACAACTTGATGTTATATTTGTGTTTTTATAATTTCGTGGCCAATATCTCTGACGAGAGTCTGAAAGTAGTACACCTCCAGCTATGTTACAATGTATTGATGTGTTTTCCACAATCCTCTGATGATGTAATTTTCTCAATAATAAAACATTTTGATGAGTATTATGATAAACCTGATTTCGGACAAAACAATTTCTAGTCACATTATTACTTATATTCGGTATTGACAAATTGTTCATTTGCAAAGATGTAAATCTGTTTTGATGAATGGCCGCACTATGATTATTAAGAGCAACAAATACATTCTGAAACATAGTATTTCTCTGATGCCAATACGTATTCTGGCTATAAGTATATGGTAGTTTATTGTTATATACATAATTACGATTAAAGTTCATGTGTTGCCCATGTTGCATGCAAAAATAATCTTGCATAAAAACATTATGCACATTTGTTGCTAAATTTTGATTGAATGGACCAATGTTTGTATTTCTTCTAACGTAATTGTTTCTTATAGAAATATTACTGCATTGATATGTATTTTGACTTTTATTAGTTTCTACATGTTCTGAATGTTGACCGGATTGCAATTTTTTATCTGCTTGATGTAAATTTTTTAATTTTGCACTTTCATATTGGTAAGTCGTTTTATGAGGTTTTATACTGTGTGGTATGTATGCCCTTGAAATCTTTATTGTAATTGTCGATTGAAATGCAATGTTTGGAATTAAATTTAACAAATCCATTCGTGTTACTGGTTTTGGTATTTCTTGAATTTCATCGTCAGAAAGTTCTATTACCTAATTCAAGGAAAATTATAAAAGTTTTCTTGTTATTAATATGTTAATAATGGGAATATAGTTATTATTATACAATATTATTATACAATACCTCATGTTTTGATTTCTTAAATTGCGAATTTTCTTTAGATGGTGAAAGTAATTTATGTTTTCCCGAATTGCATTCAGAATTTTTAATATTAGAATCTAAACTATCAGTGGCTGGTAACAATTTGTCTGTTCTTCTAGGTACTAATTTAACATTACGTTGTATACGTGATGCTCGCCAGTTTGCAGGTATATTATTTCTTTTGGTACAATCATTCAGATGGTCTGTGACGATTTTGATATTACCTAATAAAGTCTCATCAGATATAATTTCTACTCTGGGATTTTGTTTCTTTTTATCTCCACTTGTATTTACAGTTTTCAAAATGGTGTTTGATTTTTGTGCGTTCACAGCAATCTTTTCACATTCAACATTTTTAGAACGTACTTCAATATTTTCTACTACGTGAAGAAGATCATCCACTACCTCAAGGACATTATTTGATATATTTTCATCTTCTACTGCATTTTCTGCAGAAAGATCACTAATATTTGTATCAGTTCTTTTCGGAGAAGTAACAGACTTTTCACCACATGGAGAATTAACAGACTTTACATATACACAATCTTTATTTTGTTCTCGAATACTAGTTCTCCAAAGACCTCTTTCTGGCTCAACAATAACTTTACGTTTTATACAAGAATTTTCATCACCTTTTATATTTTTTTCTGAATTGTAAACAAAACGTTGAATGCGATAACCATATCGTACTAACTGACTATAAACTCTATATTCTTCCAATGAGCATTCAACATTATCAATTAATAGTTCATAAGCTTGTTGAATAGATAATGCTACGTCATTCCATGTGAGTTCCAAACAATTCTAAAACAGAACAATATTTTATTTTTTCTTTAACATATCAGAAAATAATTTCTACAAATATATTATTATTGTATTATAACATACAGCTTCTAGAAGGAACAATGCTTCTTCAGGTATTAAATACAAAATACCACTTTTCTCCAAACCAAAACTACTCCAATCTTGACCAGAGTATTTCTTTACTTTAGCTCTTTTCTGTTCAGGTAACCATTCTGCACTGGCTAACTGCGAAATACGATCTACTCTTTCTATAGCTATTAAATTTTTCCTGGTCATAATACCTTTATCAATTTGCATATTCTCAAGCCACGAACCATTTGGTTCAAACTGTTTCATTCCAGTTTTTGGAAGTGTTTTAATTGAATTCTCATATTCATTCCATGCATTGAATTTCAAACCTTTATTTTCTAACAGTCCTTCTGCCCTAAAAGATATTAATCTTCTGAATGTACAATATTAATCTAATATGGGAACAATAAATAAAAAATACTGTAACATTTGTTTAAAAAAAAACTAACGTTAACATATTAACAGGAACTTCTTTCGTTTCTTCTGTCATGATTTCTGATATTTCTTTCTGATCGTTTATCTTGTGAAATTCATTATAATTTATTGCCTGTAAATAGAATTATTAAGAATGAATTAGAATATTTGTGAAAATCTCCAAGTTCGTACATAAAATTTCAATAGACAATTTATCGTTAATATTTAAATTTATAAATATATATATATATGTAAACATCGTATCATATTTAATATTTAGTAATTATCAATTTTACTCACGTTTTTGATTTAAAACCTAGAAAGTACATAACGAAACATAAAATATACCGGTGAGATATAAATACATTTATACGATATTTATAATATTAAAATATATATAGCAAGAATAAGTTTTTAATCCATAAATTTCATATTTTGTATCTCTACATGATTCATACAAGGTTACAAAACACATATTTATGTGCACATTAATATCAACATATATGCAACTCAATGTGAAAATTATCTTTCATGTTGAGATGAAATTACATTATTCCGTTGTTATTTTAAAATTATTTAGTTTTCAATTCTCATTCTGTGTATTTCTTTTTACCCTCTGTTAAACAAGAAATTACGTTTGAATCATAGCTATATACAGGCATATGTACATAGTTAAATTGATCACGCCGTTTAAGGCATAGTTATTTTACTTTTAATCCCTTCTTACTATTGGATGACAGTAAATGAATGAACGGAACTATCCAATTGACATAGAGTACCTGATAGCTGCATTTCTAGATAAAAGTCTCTGCTATATTTTGATGCAATATAACAATTAATCCCAACTCGCATACTAACTATATTAACGTGCGTTATAAAAGTAAAATATCGATACTTGGTAGATGATGTCCGGTATATTCTTTTGGGATTTCACAAATCAAATTTTTGCGCGTTGCCGATGGTAAGTTTAGTGTTAATTCATACAGAGTATGCCCACTTATAGTTAATGTGATAATGTGAAAGTAAATAACCGTATGAATATATATATATATATATATATATATATATTATATATATATAATAACGTGCTTATGTTAATTATCAAGCTGAAGCAAGACACTTTGACACATACAAATGATTGTAATTCGTTGCACGAACTTTTTGGGCGTTACAAAATAGTACCTTGTCGTGTAGCTGTAAAGCACTGATATCTGAAATTATGATTACGTTATCGTATTATTTTTTCGGAATTCATTGCCATGTATCTGTCAACTGTCAATTGTAGAACACGTCAAGATATTCTCTTCTTCACTTCGCTTTAATGTTGTAAGTGACATAAATTTGTAATTATAAATAAAGCGCGCCGATTAAATATTCGTTTCGTGTAAAAATGTTGTTAATGTAGTCGAGAAGATACAGAAACGCACAGTTTACAAAACTGTACAAAGAATACTTGGTGACACGTTCGCAGCAAATTTGAAAATTGTTAGACTTTTGTCGCAGTTAACTTGTCGTTACTTGTTACTGTTAAAAGTAAAGTTATAATAATGTTCGACTTTTAGAAATAGAAGATATTTGAACAATGTTCAATACAACGAGCAAAATTTTTTTAATCAAAATGTTTTTTTTGCAAAAAGGAGATATATTATATAATATATATTATATATTATAGAATTCCGTATTATTTTAGACAATTAGAAAAATGCTATGGCGTCCTCAGGATCATATAATGGGGATGCAGAGACCGAAAGTGATAAATTTGAAGGATCTAAAATTGATCGACATGGTTTTCTTCAAGATTCTAATTGTAGCTCTGACAGGTAAAATCATCATATATCAATGTAATAGCTAAGACAATGGAGTATATATTCATGTACTAAAGTTTGTTTGAAACATTAGCCTTGTTAAACAAGGATTACCACCAGAGGTAATGTTGAGAAGAGAACGAAAATGGATACAGATGTTAAACAATTGGAGTTATTTCATGAACACAAACTACCGTAAAGTTAGAGAAAGATGTAGAAAGGGTATCCCACCATCAGTAAGACTTCGTGCATGGTTAAATCTTTGTGGAGGCCAATTGTTAATGGATACAAATCCAAATCTATTTGAAGAATTAGTAGAGCGATCTGGTGATCCAAAGTATATAGATGACATCAAGAAGGATCTTCATCGTCAATTTCCACATCATGTGATGTTTATCGGAGAAGCACCTGGACAAGAAGAACTATTTAAAGTATTGAAAGCTTACTCTATTTTAAATAGCAAAGTTGGTTATTGTCAGGCTCAAGCACCTATTGCAGCATTTTTATTGATGCATATGCCAGCAGTACAAGCATTTTGGTGCCTTGTTGCAATATGTGACAAATATTTGATTGGATATTATAGTCAAGGAATGGAAACATTGTTACGCGATGGAGATATTTTGTTTGCTCTTTTAAAAAGAGTTTCTCCTATCGCTTACAAACACTTGGTTAGTATTAAAAGTATCTATTACATTTTACTTACTACTTAGTCATCAAGGTTTTTTTTTAGAAAAAACAAAAAATGGAGCCAATTTTATACATGACTGAATGGTTCTTATGTGTTTATACACGAACACTACCATGGGAAAGTATTCTGCGAGTGTGGGATATGTTTCTCTGTGAAGGGGTTAAAATTATTTTTAAAGTTGGGCTGGTTTTGTTAAAAGGCAGCTTAGGACGTACATCTCTTACTAAGCGCTGTCCGACAGTTTATGAAACACTTCAAGTATTAAGAAATCCTCCTCATCATATTATGGAAGAAGAAGCTTTAGTTTATCAGGTAGAACATTGTACTTTCATGTCTTGTGTCCCGTGTATAAGTACGTTTTATTAAATAAATATAATATCGCAGATTCGGAAATTAAACCTAACGGAAGAAGATTTCGAATATGAACATCAGCGTCAAGTATTAAAACGGAAAGCAGCAGAGCAAGCTGCCTCTTTTTCCACTGCCAATCGGACAGACTGATTACAAAAGAATAGATAGCATATAAAATGAATAATGAGCTTACAGGTATTATTATTCCAAAGTGTGCCTTCCTTTATATATTTCGTATTGTACAGATTATAAAATGTAAACAGGTATAGTTTTACAAAAGATAGAAGTACATGTAGCAAAGTTTGAAAAATACCTTCTTTATTACAAATTTAGATAGTTCTTGAATGTAATCACTCATGCATATACATTCCCCAAATAGATCGCACAAAATAACTTATCCCTATTTTCTTTATCATAACTACGATTACAAAGATGCACAATACTTGTTTAGAATATATCATTTAATGTTGTATTATTTTGAGTATATCTCTAATTATATAACTTTGTACAATTTTAGTAATATTTATGTACAAAAGAAGAATCATAAAGCATTACATTTTTTAAGAACAAAATTAGAAATATTATATACTGTTATCGAATAAGAATTGTTTTGTTTAGCTCAATGTTGTTTTTGTTAAAATTTATCTAACTATAATGATAGACTATGTATAATGAAATAGATGTTATGAATATATTTTGAAAGATTATCCAGTTTTATTTCAGCCTTACATATTTTAATCCAACAATTATAATATATAAAATCATTATATATGTTTTTCCTCTATATTAATTATAACATTTACCTAGCTATGTACATTATTTACCTCATTATATTATAAACTACCTGATAGAATTTATCCGATGATTTCTAAATTTCTCCAACAAATTATAATGTTCGATGGCATTCGCAACTATGTTCGTCAGATAAAAGAAATCATCTTGAATACTTCGCGCTGGTAATATATCGAGTTGAGCAAGCTTTGGCAAGAAAAGAACGCTCATCATGAATACAATTGCCATAGTGACAAAAGTACTTATGGCTACAAAAAGAGGATTCGATAACTGCGTTTGAGTAGTTTGTGCAGCTTCCGTGCTGTCATATGCAGAGATAGGCTACAAAGAATTAGGAACGTAATAATGAGAAGATTAAAATAATCTTTTTGTTTCCCTTTTTTTTTTTTAAATTACATGAATTTTCTTCAATTTCAAATTAAAATACTTACAATCGTTTTGTAACCGTGATCTTTTTTAAATTCTGACATAAAAGTTTTTAGCGGGAAAAAGTAATATTGATAGAGGGGCTGCTTGATTGGAAATTCCACGTGAGTTTGCGTAACTTGAGGCAACTCGCCGGAGGAGAGTGCATTTGTTAATGAAGACAAACTAATTGTCGATCCCTTTTGCAATGCGCTTTTATACATAGCTGCCAATTCTGCTTTTGTAAATCCAAGCACTTCCGGTTCTCTTATTTTAGTAACGGTAGGAACGAGTGGCTGAAAAATCAAAAGCAATTTCTTAATAGTTTTTTTTTTTTGTAATAAACTAGATAAAATAAAAATACCAGAGAATTTATTTAGACGTATGAATAAAACAATCATTTATTTACTTCGTGATAATGTGAAAAACTTAAATCAGTTGGATGCAAATCGATCTTTTCGTTAAATACAGGGTCGTGATGTTGCAAACTATGATTTTGATATATTTGCGCATTCCGTCGCGTGTTCATATTGATTCTTTGAACTCCAGGATTTTGTCGATCTCTGTTCGTATAAATTATGTTTTTACTTGGCGACATTCTGTCGTAAATATTAATAGGCGAGGGAACATTGAATTCTTGAAGTTGGAACATCACTTTTTGAAGATATTCTCCGCTCGATTCGCTCTTGGCTTTAACGTTTCTAGTAGAGTTTAAAAATATTATAACGAAGTAAATTAACTTCATTATTTTCAACGTATTTATTTGACGTGTTATCATAGTCTTTCTTATTGTACGAGAAACATATCTGTCGATTCACGATAAAAGTATTTCTCCTTATAACAATTTTTTCATATCACCGTTACAGGATGATTTTTAGGTGTCGATGAGATTTAAACAAATTGAAACATCACATTAGTTCTATAATTAATAATCTTCGTGTTACTGTTGTAACATTAATTTTCTGCTTGGCGAGTTTATATCGGCGTGTCTTATTACCGTAATTTCACTAGTAATTAATTATTATCAGCGATTCGTTACATTTTTGTATTCCTTGACGATTTTTTAATTTTTATATTCATAATGGAAATACTGTGTTACGGATGTGCGTGGCCAACACTCGCGGTCAGTATGCTCGAAATTGTACTAACAGGGATGGACTGTATGAGTATCTTTAACTAACTCGTTCCCCACCAGGTATTCCTGGAATTCTTGGTTGTATGCACAAGAACATCCATTAAGAGATGTACAAACTTGCCGTATATTAAGTTCAAGATTTTTTCTGTGGATTTTCATTTTCATTGGGTTACGATGAATTCTACGATTAGTTACACGGTTCTTATAGCAAAAGCTTATATTTTTGCAATTAACGATGTTTACAATTAATAATTTGCCAATAATCACCTTCTACTTATTTCTTTTTAATATTCAAAAATATAACAAATAAAAGTTAATGGGAAATCATTTTTAAATGATTGAACAATCCTTTCTAATTAATAAACTGGATCGTTGGGACAAGGATAATTGTCCAATTGCAAAATATAATAATCGCAAAGAAAATTTGATCAATGGAGAATTGTAAGAATATTTGAAATTCATTTCTATTATACCGTTACGAATCACTTTATTTTCTTACGATTGATAATTCTGCAGACACGCGATAGATAGAATATAACGGAATTGTTCAAAACCATATAAATATCTGTGGTATTTGACGAATACCACATGATAAAGTTATCGAATACGTAACACATTGGAGATTTCAATGCGTAGATTCACGACCGTTCATTTGGTATTATTAGTTTCCTCATGCTTCGTAAAAAAAGTTGGACAATACGAGTGATTATTACGTGATTTGTAAGAAAAATGGGAACAGTACAGTAAACCAGTCCAGAGGAAACACACGACAAGGTCAAGTGCAATTGCGATTCCAAGACTTTTGTTTTTTTGACGCAGATTATGGGATGACATCAGGATAGATGAAATTAAATAATTGAAAACCAAAAACCTAGTTTTCTTTTGTTCTACTTGTTATCTACAATTGTTTCACTTTGTAATTAGTTATTAAATCATATATTCTCGCTGTTTCTTTTTTTTTTTTTTTTTTCTGGCAATACCTAATGATTTCTGAGAGGCGATTAATACATTGAAAAATAATTTAATTTAAAAAATTGTTCTCACGTTTGATTTATTTTTAGAAACACGAAATATATGGGATGATGATAACACACGTATATTCTGACATTCGTAATTGTCGTCAATTTATTATACAAATTACGGTATAAGTTCTGGATGTGGACGATGTACAATAAACGATGAAGGAATTGCGGTTCACTGAATGGATCTGCGAGGAGCCGTTAGACGACAACCCGCGATTTTCTTCAATTATGTTCGTCCCGTAATTACTCGTTGTACGTGCTAATATTTTTTATATTATCCGAGGAGCGTGTGAAACTTAATCCCTGTAATTTTTCATATCGATGATATTACAATAAAAATAATCAGGTATTCATATATTTTAATGCCTAATGACATGTGATTGGAAATTTACATAACGGTATGTTGACTCGTACAACTGAAAATTACTGGCTTCGCGGATGAATGGAAAATAATAACATGAACATACATTATACACACGTACTCGATACTTGAGCAAATCATCGTGATTTCGTAGAAAACTCACAAATCAACATGAAATGTAGTTTTGCGAGTACATGAATTACACGGAGAAATTTATAAAAATGTAGTGTTGTTAGACGAATGTTAAAAGAATGTACCGTAATGTTTCGTGTCCAGTTGCGCTGATGAGGGGAGGGAGAAAAACTAAAATTGCTCGTATGGCTTGTTATTGTATCGTGTATTTCCTTTTCACATCGAGTGCACCGTTACCGATATCGCTTTACAATTTTTTTTTTCTTTTTCTTTTCATACAAAAAGATGATTCGATGATCAGCGCTGCTACAACATTTTCATCTCGTTCGTTAATCACTTTCTCACGAGATCGACGAACAATCAATTACACGTACTTTATAGATGTAATATATATATCTTCATCTTCAGCATAACCTTCCTTTTATAAAGTGAATATCATACAAAATCTAAGGCTATACGTAATTTAACGTTTATCTTTCATTATATATGAACATAATGTAATAATACAATGCGCGATTGTATTTCAATTTTACATGTGTATTTTCATTTACAAGAAAAAAAAAAAAAAGAATGATTCTAATTTGTCGCGGGTTAACGAGTCGGATTGGAGACGGCGGTGGGTAGGCCCTTTATTTAGAGCGTTTACATTCTTTCATTACGAAATATACGAAGCACAGAAACCGTTCCGTTCTTTTTAATTAGGTCTGGTGCAGACGAGCCGTGCGATATCATTGTAATTACACAGCAGCGCACAGCGTCATTGTTGCGATCCAACAACGTGTATATTTTTAGCAATACAATGCACGTGAGCGTGCACTCGCGATATTAAAAATATAAAGTTGTTGAGAATGTTTCACGGAATTACCGCTACGTAATTGCAATAATGTGTATCTTCGTTTGCACAGGTTCATAGACGCGCCAATTACATGGAATACAGATTGCCGCTAAACGGATTTGAACTTAGCCGCGTTTCTCTTCGCGTGTGCGCGCGCAGTTACAATTATTGAGCGCGCCAGTTTCCAATTGCTCAGCACCGTTTGATATCGGACACGAAAATTTAAAGAACTATTCAAGTATTGTAATTATTGACAACGATGCATAATTCAACCCCGATCAGTTAGAAATATCACTTAAAAAAATACGTTATATATAGAACAAAATGGTACCATTACAGAAGATTAACGCCCAAATTGATCGAGAATGATGTCCGATAAAAATCTACATCTTGGCGTTTCGTTCGCGCGTTGAATTTAAATCGCGGATTGATCGATTAACAATAAATTTTTGCGTGATCAGTACAAACGACGGTAATGACCGTGTCAATTTTGTCTCAAAAATAGGCCAGGGTTTTTTTTGTTTCTTATTATTTAAATTGAATATAAAAGATTAGAAATAGTCATTTTATAGTAAATTCAGATTAACATAAATCAGATGAAAAAAGAGGACATCAAATGTACATCGCTTTAAATATTAAAATTAATCATTTAAATGAACGTACGCTGTACTAAAAAAAATTAAACAACGACGATTCATAGCACATTTTTACGTACACAATTCGAGAGAAACTTACATGTATTTGTACATGGCAGCACGATATTTTCAAAAGAACGTCGCACATATACTAATCCTTACTTATCAAAATCATTTACCCGATGGTACAGTTATATCGAATAAATAAAAATTACAAATTATGCGCCGGAGAAACCTAATTTAACAATATGTCTATACACGTTGCTAATTAATTAGATCGTGTAAAATATTTTATTGCTATGCAGGATAAAGCAATATTTCGATAAAAAGTTCACGCTGCAACGGTGATAACTAATTATAAAGAATACTTTTAATAATACTTTTTCGTATTATCTCTCTAGCGTATATTATTAATAGAACATTTCCTCCGCCACTACGATTTCATAGCGAAAATAATCGGAGATATAAAACGAGATATACATATATAGAGCGATCTATTTCAATCCATAAATGAATACATATTGAAAAAAATTATTAATTTGATATATATTTTTTTAAACACCCTATACATATATATATATATAAAAGCTTAATACTCAGATTTAACGTCTTTTTGCTTCGCGTATTACACAGTTTCAAAAAAATCATTACACAATTTTCGTAATTCTGGTAGCTATTTACAATAAAAGATTAATACATACACATCGTATATCGATCCATAACTGCAAGGTATTGATATTTTTACATCATGCAAATATTTAAACGTAAGTTACACTGATCTATATCAAACTATATCAAACTATATCAAACAATTGTACAAAAAAAAAAAAAAAAAAA